ATAGGCCCACCATATCGAAACGATAATTTAATTACTTTAATTGATTGTTATATCTTCCTACTACTTGAAACAATGAAGCTCAATTATATACAATATGTGGCCTTGCTTTTAATCATAGGACGTCATTTGGTATATGCACCATTGAATTATAATTATAATTATAATTATAATTATATATATATATATATATTATTTTAATTATTTGGTTCAGGGAATGACAAGATCAACATATAACGCAATTGGATTTCCGGAGAATATTGCAGTCTATGGTTCTTTGAATGAGTGTCTGCAATATGGATTCTAAATATAGACCTGTGCTGTATAACTATCAGTAACTGAGAAAAACTTGATAGAATAAAAACTTTAATAGATGCATGCACGTACTTGTGTGATTTTGCATCCACACATACTGTGTTCCCATATTTAATGATCAGAGGAGACAGAGACGTTTATCTAAGAGTCTGAGTCCGATAGCTCTATTAGCTATATTCTTTATTCTGAATGTGAAGCTTGATTAGTATTTTGAATTGAACCACACAAGAATCTTCAAGGGACCATTCATAGAGCACTGTCTACTTTCCATGCCTGCAAGGATGTGGACTATTCACAAAGTGACTGAATCTTGGGGAGTATATGTCAAACTCAAGAAAGGTGAATACTTTTGTTCCACTGTCTATATGTACGTGCTGCGTCATCTACTACTCATTTCAGGGAAGAAGTTTAAACAATGATGTGACTCTAGAAGATTACACATCACACACCAAAAAACCCTGATTTCTTTTTTAAAATAACTAAATTCAAATATCCATTAATTTAAAAAGTGCTATTTATTTTTATCATCGAAAAAGTGCGTTTGGATCAGATAATTTAAAAAATAATAATTACTTTTTAAATATTGTTAGAGAATTTTTGAAAAAAAATATTCAAATAGTTATCTCATTACAAAGTATAATCAGAAAAGGATGCAGTAACCCCAATTAGTTGATCAAGTAGAATAAGTAAGGATCTTGCAATAACTTGTAAAAGGACAACTAAAATTGAATGATAACAATATTAAAATATTAAAAAGTAATAATTAATGAATTTTTTTCATAATTGTATTAATTTGAATTGAAGGTCTACTACGATGATTTTTGAATTGAAATCCCACAGAAGAAGAAAAAAAATTCATAATTTTTAATAAAAATATCCAAATATAATACTTCAGACTATACCACTTATTTATCGTTTTGTTTACACATATTATCAGAGTTTTATATAACGGAGATTAAATAGTTATTAGGATTATTATGAATTTATATTTATAGTAAAATATATTATATTAATAATTGATGTAGTCAAGGTATATACATATCCAATTTTCATAGTAGTACAATTTTTATTAATATAATACACTATATTGTCATTAGTATAAAATTACAATATGTATATTAATAGTTTAATTTTTGTTATGTAAAATTTTACATTTGAGAGCACATCAAACGATAAATTATTAACAAATACATTTTTATAATATTAAAAATAATATATTAAAGTGAAATATACTCCAGACTAAAAGTGTATTACATGATGTTAAAAAACTAGTGATGCTAATTGTCTAATTAATGTGATATTTAAAAATGGATTAATGTATTGGATAATAATACAAAATAGAGAAAACTAAGATCCAATGGTATAAAATATTTATTTTATCAGTGTATTTTAAATTATTATGTTCAAATCCTATTGCTAACATTTTCAGTTTTTATTTTAAAAAATCTAATTAAATTTAATTAAACCAAACTAGTCAACGGTTAGCCTGAATATAAATATGATAATTTTTACAGTATCTTAATTAATCAAGAGAGTATTTTATATCTTCTCACACTTGAAATAGTTATCACCATTACTTTTATGATTGATAGATAATAAAATTAATAATGTTAAAAAATATATAAATATCTTTTAATTTCTAAAATTAATACTTTTAAATTTAAAGCACCATATCAATCATATATATATATATATATATATATATATATATATATTATATCATAATATCATCAAGGTGGTTTTTTTTACTATACAGAACTTAATTCCAATGGTTTCTATTCTGTAAGTCACTATTTTCTCCTTGTGAAAGTTTAGCTCCAAACTTTCATTAAACTTTTCTTATTAATTAAGGTATTAATCTCAAATTAGGGACTAGACTCATATCAATAAAAATTTAATAGTTTAAATATATTGAGCTTTAATTTGTTCTAAAATAAACGTCAATTAACAAAAGAGGGTCACGTTACAAAAAAATTAGTAGGGCAAGATTGAGAATAAATATTAAATATAATAATTTGTTTATGACATACTTCTTTTTACTGCCAATCTTTTATAAAATAGATTAATGATTGACTATATTTAATCTCAAAAGATAACAACGGGTATTTAAATTAAAATGGATGGAAAATTTGATTCAGATAGATGAAAAATAATATCAAATTTTATTTATGTTATAATTTAGAACGGCAATAAAGTTCTGTTCTTCTTCATATTACCTTTTTAACAATGTAATTTCGAGAATGCGAGTAGACCAATTTGTGAAAACAGACACATTTATATATGTTAAGATCTTTCTATCTTAGTTTCTTTGCAATTGAGCATTCTGATAACAAGATTACATACTAGATAATCAGAGTATTAAGAATGAACTGAAATAACTCTTATTTTCAATATATATATATATATATATATATTGTGATTCACAAACCCATATAATCGCACAATTACGTGGGTAAGAAAATAACAGATTATTAATTCAACCTGTTTTCATAAAATTAAATCTACCAATTATTAGAAATTTAAACTCAAAAATCTAACAGGTACTTCTTGTGACCTAGATCATAAAATTAACGCTAATGCAATTATATTTCTCTCAACAAACAATATATTTTCTGGTTGTACACCAAAAAGAATGAAAAAAAACACATTCTATAAAAGTTACAATTTCTGTAGTTGAGTGAACATCTTGCTATTTTTTATATTGAAGGAATAATTCCAAATTAAAAACATGTGGTGCACATCATAAGGTATCAAATGAAAACAACAGAAAGTTTAGAAAATTGAAAGAAAGGGAAATAAAGTGAAGAGATATTTATGTCACTTAAATGTTCTTTGTTAAGTTTTACTTTCCCTGTTTTAAAATTGAAGATGGGGAAAATCTTTTACTAATTCATTACGCAAAAATGTTTTAAAAATCAAAGAATAAAAAGAAGTAAGTAATCGATGAAAGCATTTCATGCCACGGTGCAGTGTTAGTTACTTTGTTTACACATTTTCATTTTAAAAAGACAAATAAATAAACTCATGCCGTATAGTATTTTCTTATAAATTTTTGTAGATTTTAAAAATGTTTTATTTAAATTTATCTCATGTCTCTAAAGAATTCAATAATTAATTTCTCTAAATAAATTGTGTATTACATTATGTGGAAAACATAAATAAAAATATAAAACGTATTAAATATTTTTCTTTTCTAACTAAGAAGACACGTAGAAATAAAGATACGCTAGTTCCATTCTAAATGAATCCCAATCATGCAGTGCGACTCGCTGTCTGTATATAATTTATAAACATAGAAACGCTAATTTCTATTTCACCTAAACTTGTGTAATTGAGGATATTACACCCAAAACTAACGTGTATTCGATAAAATTTCGATTCTACTAACGTCGCTAGTAACATGATTGAGTGGTGGTGCAGTAGAGGGTGAGTTCGACGCTTGGCAAGTGGTTTTTGTTCGATGCTCATTGATCACTGTCTTGGATGGTAGCTGTTAGCAATGATTCGTGCAAGCAACGTCGTCACTAGCTAGTGCTAGAATGTGGCATAGTGTTTCATGAGAAAGCATATAAGAAATGGGCCCTTTCCCCTTATAAAGAAACACTGGGTCACTAGCCCTGGCTTCATTACATTGTGTAAGTTTTTAAGTAGGAATTAATTGGAAGACATTAACTGATCTTATATATGCTTTGGCTTCTATTTATCTAGCTCACAAGGGGTTTGAAAAGATGTCATGCAAAGCACCAAACAGATAGGAAGACTGAAAAGGAAAGGTGTCACAAAAAGGCAACGTATGTTAAAATAAAGAATAGTGATGAGAAGAAAGGAGTGAGAAAAAAGAAGAAGAAACTTGAGATTGTGAATGTTGTCTCCCAATATTCCAAACAAGTCCACATCAAATCAAACCCCAATCTTGTAATGGGGGGTCGCTTTTTGCACTACGTTCGTATATTTCCAAACGCATCAGATAAAAAGCTCCACCCTCAACTTAATTTATTTCACATTTGGAATGATCCTTTTCTACTGTTTAAAAGCTTCTACCAAGGATAAATCAACGTGCAAGTAGACTCAAAGCAACGTTGCCCATGTAACACACGTTTCTTGCTAAACTATTAGTAAATCTTAAATCCATCTTTTTCTAATATTATAAATATTTTTAGGGTTACATTTTTATTTAAAATATTATAATGCATTGTTGATTTTTAATGTCAAATTTTACTGTATAATTTATTATAATAAACTCAAATTTTAATTAAAGAATAACACTAAAAGTATATATAATATTACAATTAAGTTTTTTCTTTTTTCTAATTTGTATATATATCATTATACACAACAAAAGTTTATATATAATAATTTTTTTAATCAGAAATTAGATAACTTAATACAATTCAATGCATTGATATTATTATAAGGTTACATTTTTCAATAAAATTTACTATTTACTAAATTTTATAATTACATTTAATATTGCACGTAATAAAAAATATATCTTAAACTTATCATAGGATGTGGTAAAATGAACGATGTGGGAGGTTCTACTTGAATTTATCCTTTGTTTTCCTCTGATGTTGTCAAATAATAAAATTTCAACAAAGTTTTGATTGCTTTCTTTTGCTACTTGGCGTGACGAGTGATACAGAATCTGAGGAGTTTTTGAGTTTGAAAATTAACGAGATAGCCATTTTATAAATTAGCTAGAAACATGATTTTACATTTCACTAAGGAAGGACAATTCATTAAAAAGAACGAAAATAAAAAATGAAAACTCATCCGTCAATTCCTCCTATTCAATTATGTGATGCTTTTCTATTTCGTTGAACATCTGTTCTCTTTCTCTAAGAAGAGCTTTGCATGGATGCCACATGTAATCTTCACAATCGTCCATCTTTTTCATTCACTCATAACCCGAGCAAGATGTAGTACACCAGCGTTATGGGCAATGCAATCAACATCCCAAAAATAACACTGCATTTAGTTCACCAAACTAATTAGTTTCATCTCCATAATTGCATCAGTTATTAAACAGAAATGAGTTTTCCTATCATGTGTATTAAGAAAAGAAATTTTATAGTTATTTGATATATTAAAAAGTTAAAAATGTTCTTTATTTCATATTTCTTACTTTGTTCAAAACACATATTAGGAAAACAGTACAAACTATAATTACACTTACCCTGTGCTGAGAATATCAGGATGTACATTGTATTCCTTCGCAAAGACAAATGGGACTATTCCTTGGGGAAGAGCTGCCTGCATATTTTGACAATCGAATTTCAGACAGGAAAATTAACAAACTTGTCAACTACGGTTTAATATGTTTGTTGTACAATCACAAACTCTAAAAAGATATTTTCCAATATTGAGATCATCTTTTGGGAGTGTGTAAGTTTTGTTCTTGCTTGTTCTTGTCTTTTTTGAGGTTTAATAATATTCACATGCCAATGCTTTCTTTTTATGAGAAGCAAGAAAAAGTTAAAACAAAAAAAATATGTAATAAAAGTTTAATTATAAAATAAAAATGATTTTTCCCTCATTTATAATACCAAACAGAAGGTTAAACCAATCAACACCTATAGTTATTTTGACCAATAAAATAGCTTATGTTGGCAGAGCTATAAGCTATATGAGCATATTTTAATCGAATGTGGTGGAATTTTTTGACCTTAGGTAATTTCAATATTGTATTGGTAGTGTTAGAAGGGAGCAGAAAAGAAAGAGAGAGGAAAACCTGAACAATGGCAACGTGTAAGAGAACGCCTCTGAGTCCAACAGCTATGGAAGCAGCTGCCATGACAGCTGGACCTGTAAGGAATCTCACGGCCATAGAAAAAGCTGCTACGGAATTTCCACATGCTATGATCCTTGGTTGCAAAGCCATGAACAGACCTATCATTCACATCAAAAGCACCCATCATAAGTAAAAGCAAATCAAAATCAAATCAAATCAAAATCAAAGCATGCCCCATCATCAGCATCACACCACCACCCTAACTCACACTGTTAGTCAATCGTGAAAGACCTTTCATCATCATCTCCACCAACACAAGCTTAGCAAAAACCAAAAAGTTATCATAAAAGCACCCTCATAATTTCATAACACGAGACTGTTTACTCACTTTGCTTTTTACACACTTGCCGCTTTCTTTTTATTAAACAAAGCATTTAAAAACAATAATCAAAGTTAACATGGAATCGGAAAAGATTTTGTGTTCCCTCTTTTTCTTTTTCAAGCAAACAAAGGTCAGAACAAGTTAATTCCCACTTTTCATATTTTTTTATAATAATTAATTAAACTAGTATATTTTCTAAGACAAGAAGGAAGATCTATGTCTATACTGACCAAGACTGAACATGGCCATGCCAAGCCCTGCATCTGACAATATAGAAATAGACTTTGCAATTATTGCAGGCATTTCAATATTCCACCTGCAAACAACACCCGACCAAAACATAAATCAATAAAAATAAATGAATTAAAATACCCAAAACAAGAATGAACAGTAAAGAACTAAAATGAATTGAAAGAAAAAGACCTGGTACCTGAAGGAAACGAGGGACCAAGTTAGGCCAATTAAGCTGGAGTAAGTGTTAGGGTTTCTGATAAGTTTTCTCCAAACCATGATCAATATAAGCCTTGTCATTACACTAGCTGGAGGCATAGCTGTTGGCTTAACGCTTCCAATTTTTTCACCTTCGTGCTGATTCTCAATTCCTCTGTTTCCAAAGCTGAAATCATCCTTCTCTAAATACTCCTCTTGACCATCTCTATGACCCTCCACTAATTACCAAAACCAATCAACCACATTAACAACCAAATAAGAAAAAACACATAAAATTTCTTTTTTTTTTAATTGAAAACAAAAACCTTTTCCGGGAGATACATTCAACTTCACTTCTTTCTGATCATGAACTCCGTATTCATGGCCGCCGAACACATCCGAAACTGGAGAAGCACTTGAACTCCAAACAAACATATGAAGATCCTTATTCCCATCCTCGGGTTTCTGCGGTGCTTGACCATTGACCCTCTTTGCATTGGCAGCAACATTTTTAGACGCGGTAGGAGAGAACATGCCTGGGTTGGGCGCAGGGTAGTGTCCTGTTCCTGAAGCAGAGTAATGGTACCTCGGCTTCCCATTCCCACCTGCGGAAACATCCTCGTCATAATTGGAAGGCCTCGGAGTTGGTCCTCTTGAAGCAGAGAGACCGTAAACATCGGAAGCACCGAAGTTAGAGTTACGACCCCCAGCCATCATGGAATAGAAATCGGTGTGGTTGAAACTAGACCCACGTGGGGTTGGGTTTCGAGAGGATTGCAGAGAGTAAATCTCTGCATTGGTGAGGTTAGAAGGGCGAGGGGTTGTTGAAGAAAGACCCTGAGACCTTCTAGAGAAGATATCAGATCTTGAAGCATTGGATTTTCTCACTGTGACATGAAGTTTACCGTCTTCTTTGATTTCAGCCTCGGTTTCTAACTGTTGTCTTCCATCGAGTGACATCACATCAGAGTCAACATGAATGGAGACAATGGTACCAGCAGTGTCTGGGAACTGCTCAGAGATCAGCATTCTGGCGCCTCTGTACTCGAACATGAACAGCATCAGGGTGTACCAGATGATGCATTGAAGGACCACAATTTGGACCATTAGACTCCCAGAGAACTCACCGTACATTCCTTTGAGCAAAGGGATTCCCATCACTAACGTGTTTGGGAGAGTGGAAATGGAGAACAGGGTTATCGTCCATTCCAAACAACCCCTTTTGCTCACGTTCGTCCAAACGGCGAGGACCACCAAGACGATGATTTTTTGGAGTGTGTCGGCGGCAATGAAACGGAGATTCATTTGGTAGGGGTTGTTGGAGGCGATGAAGTGGAAAGAAAGGAGAGGGACTGCGAACAGAGCAACGAAGCGGTTGATGCCAGAGCATTGGTCGGGGGAGAAGATTTTCCACCATTTTACTGAACCGTAGGCCAATATCATGGCCACGTAAAGTGGCACCATTGCGGTCATCACGTGATAGAAGTCCGTTAACGTTATCATTTTTGGCTTGTTTTCTGAATGCTTTGTGGGATGAGAGAAAGAAACAGAGGGTTAAAGGAGATGTAGATGGGAAGAGGAGGGGTTGTGATGATGGGAGAGCATGTGTTTTGGGTTTTGAGGAAGTGGGTAATAAGCAGAAAACAGAAAAAATGTTTTTTCAGCTTTGAGAGTTGCGAACTAGCTTACTTGCACTTGCAGTCCCCAAAGCAGAGAGGTTTTTTTTTTTTAATTTTCTTTTGTTTCTGAAAAAAAAAAAATGGTTTGTTTTTTTGCCTTTTGTTTTGAACTGTGTTTGGATTTGGGGTTTGGAGAGGAGTGGGGGTGGTAGTATTTGATGAGTCGTAGACTTGGGGTTTGAGGCTCTACCTTGTATGGGACTTGTTGAGTCTGTCACAAAAGCCTAAAAGGCATGGAAAAAGCATTTTGGCTTGAGGTGGCATGGGTGTGTCTCCAAGTACTTGTTTTGGAGAGAGCCTTTTAAGCTTTGCAAACAGCCTCTGCCTCTTCCCCCCTTTTTTAGCTCTTTCTCTTTGGATTCACTGTTTCTTCCTCATGAGCTGTAGTTTAGTACAGCCCATGCCCCTGCCTAAATCACACCCTCTTCCTGTCCATTCCACTTCTCTTTTTTCTTTAATCTTTAAATTATTATTTTTGTAAAAGATATTATACCTAACTAGTAACTACCCACCTTTCTATTTAAATCTTCATTTGACACCAATAATATGCTATACAAATGTTTTGGTCAAGAGACAAAAATACTTAGTAATTGAACGAAATTATACATGTTACGTAGGGAACTAAAGATATACAAATGTAGGATGAAAAGAATTGAAAGTGGCACTGAATGGGGATACGGACAAAAGAATCCATTTTGGAAAAAAGTATAGATTAATCGAGAGGGGAGGATATACTAGTAGTGCTATAGGACAAATGCATGAGATGAAGAGGGTAGAAACCATCACGTGGCCCTAAATTGTCCCTTCCCAACCGTATCTAATAGGGCTTGCCATTGCCAAGAGCTTTGGGTTCGTTTCGTTAGGTGGGATTACAGGCCACCCCTTAAGGCTGATCCTGTGAAATGGAAAGCAATTTCATGTTCCGTGTTTCTTGGAGAAAAAAAAATAATCAACTGCAATAGTAAGTGTAATTTTTTAGGGGTGAAAATAACAATTATGGGTAACCAATTTCAAGTGCTTCAGAGATTGGAAAGTATTAATATAAATGACTGGTTATGATTTTTGCAGGATAGAGATGGAAAGAAATATCAGGTGCAGTTTGAGATATTGGACGAGTGTTTATATTATTTTTTATGTTTGATTATCCTTTTGCGTCTCTTTTTAATGGGAATGAACAGAACATTTGTAGCTCAAACCCAATATTGGTAATGTTTTATCCGTGTTAAACATCCTTCGTCTAAAACACGTAAGATTGTCTATGAATAAATTGAACATAACAAGGGTTAGAGAGAATTTCCTTTATGGTATAAGTATTAACAAAGTTTATTAATTCCTTCTTCACAGGCACAGCATATTGAAAACAAAAGTCTTCTTAGCATTAATACTCTTAGTAAGAAAGACATAACAAGGGTTAGAGAGAATTTCCTTTATGGAATAAATTTCATTTGCTATGGATTTGACAGTCACTCTGTACATATTGCTAAATTTTAATATGTTCAACAGAGAAACCACCGAAGTGGATACAATTTCTCATAGTAAAATATTTTTCACATACAAACGATCAATAGTCAAACCTTTATCAACCTGCTTAAAAGATTGAGTTATCCACGAATTTGGATTATCTGCAATCATGCATCCTTCTACAGCAATTCAAAAATGATAAAGTATTATAATATTTTATTTAGTCAATAACACATTTATCTGTAGGTAAATTTTTGGCCGAAAGTAACTGCACCTTGCAAAGGATCTTATTTTTGTTATCAATCGAGGTGAGGCTCTATTGGTAAGTAAAATATAATGTTAATTTTACATAAAGATTAAAGCACATTGGAAGACTCACATGCCACATAATTATTATTTTTTTGTTGCATGCATATATTTAACAAGCCCAAATGATGGATACAAAAATATAATGTTAATTCCGTGTAAAGATTAAAAATTTAGAATTTTCAGACTGACTAATCCATAAACAAACGTTAAGTATAAGAAATAGATGAAATTTTAAACCTAAAAGTAAATAAAATAAATTGAAAATCAATGTTAGGGATTAACTTTTGGTGAAGAACCTTTGCTAATTACTCTAACTCAATGTTTGAGCCACTTGTTTTAGTGTTTCTTGGGGAGGGGGAGATCTAATAAACCAAATTATAAATAGTACCATACAGAGATAATACTTTTAAAACCTTACACATATAGATATATAGTAAACTCTATTTATTTATTTTAAAAAAAGAAAGGATTCTGAGACTGGTTCAGAACTGTTTATTTGAATCTTTAAAGCTGTCAAGTGTGAGAACCAAAAACAAAATAGTTTTATAACGGAGTTCAAAACCATCTTTGATTCCGGGCAATTTTTATTAAATTGTACGTATATATTAAACTTCTGCCAATTGCAGAAGCTGAAACAACTCAAACAAGCAAATTGGTTGGTACTTTTCATTAAGATACTGAGCAACTGAGGCATTTGTTAAATGATAATGTCTACGTACGAAAAGGTATAAAAGATAATACTGGTCTGAAGCAGCATATGCTGAGTTCCCATCATTATGTTTCTCCCAATTAGCTTGACCTTTCGTAAAACATCATCATACTAAAATATTACATTACTGATCACTGGAATATTTGCAGAATCATGCCTCCTGCAATTAATGGAGCCGATATCAAATTACATACTTCATTAATTATCTTGGCAAACTAACAAAGGAAATGACGTTTAACATATGTAGTATATGATTACAGTAATGTCTTTTATACGAACGTAATATTTTTCTTTCCCAGATGTAAATCACAAGCTAAGAATATTTTTCTTTTGTTCTCTCCTCACAACTGTTCTTCTTCTTTTTTTCCCTTTCAATTGCTTGGTCTTCCCATTACCCTTCCATAATTTCCATGTAGCATATTACGGCTATACAGACTTTAATTATGAGTCTATTTAACTGGTGAATAGGATGTACAGGAATGCTTGGTATGTTTCATGTCACAATTGTCTTTACTTTTATATGATATAATTACTCTCACAAAGAAAAACACAATTACCCATAAACTTTTTTATCCCTCATATTTTTATATGAAAAATATTTGTAAGTATTCTCAAAATTTTTATTCTGACTAATATATCATTCTAAAAATTCAATAATTCCTTAATCAATGTCTAATAGTTCTTCCAAGATTTTTATTCAAGTTCTGGCATCTCATACAAGACATCATTCATCAATAAACTGCCACCCCATGGAGGTGGGTTTTATTTGATAAACATGTAAACCGAAGTCTAGACTTAGTGCATGGCAAACTATACAATCACTCACCATCTTGCACGCAACCTATGAATGTGAGAGATCTTCACAGTAATTAATCCTTTACCCAACAGAGCATGAATGTGATGTCGCATTTGTATCAGATTCAAACCAGAGCTAACCGCTGAAATTTTTTTAATAGCAAAAGTAGTAATAAGACTCGAACGGAACAGAGCAAAATAGTAATATAATTAAATAATAGTGATAGTCGTAAGTTGAATAATAATGCATGAGTTAGACAGTAATATACGAATTGTCTTGTATTAATAGTAAAAAGGAAACAACACTTTCTGTAATTGTATTGCCGAATTTTGTTCAGAGGATTTTTAACCTTGTAAGAGAAAAATATACATATACAAGAAACAGAACAGAAAATGTCATAAATTCATAGTATGAAAGGCAACACTAACAGAGTAACAGTGAAAAGAGAATGTTACTGGTAAAGCATACAACCTTTGCCCTGCTTTTTAAAAATACGCTTAAACAAATTATCTAAAACCTTTTTTAAAATAAATAAACCAATTTGTTAATTGTTAGGCTCCTAAAAATATCATGAATTTTTTTAGTGCATAATCTACGATGAAGTTAAATAATTTTTTAATTGCCTCTTAATGTTCCATCAAGCAACACTTATAGATTAGGCTATTAGCAACTACAACACAATTTGTAGGAATAGGCATGATGAAAATCGAGAAGATTTCTTTTTAATTCAATTAAAATTTAAAATTACATTTTCTTCCCATTCAAACAAAAAAACGAATGGTATAGATTTTAAAATGTCAAAATATAAAAACAACTTGAAAGTTTTAGAATATAAAAGTTTGTGATTTGATATAAAAAGGATATGAATTTGAAAATATCCATTAAGAAAAGAAAAAAGAATAGTCCCTCTCCTAGAAGTGATAACTGGAGCATGCGTGGAAGTTAATGATGGGCGTGTCAGTCATACAATTCATAGATATTCAAAACCCCAAACACCATGCTTAGCTGCACGCACTGCCATGCCTTTTTATGTTTCCTAAGAGCATAAAAGGAATGCATGCATTTTATTTCTTTTTTATTATCTCTAAACTTGTTTGTCCTATTTACCTCTCCATTCCTTCAATCAATGTGTAATTTCTTTTTATTAAAAGTACAATAAATTTAGGAGTAAATTTGTTTATTGAGGATTAGGCATAATATTTGATATGATTCTGTTTCGATAGGTCCCAATAAGATGATCACGACCTGAGTAAGGATAGAATTTGTTACAGAGTTGATGTTTAAGTCAACATTTGCACCAGTGAAGTAATAGTGGTGAAACAACATGTATACAGAGTTCGAATACAGGTGATGCAGGATCAATGTATTATAACAGTTCCTGTGATGAAAACAAAACAATAAATGGTCCAACATTATGTGATTTTGACAACTTACCTTATGACATGCAGCTATTAGTGCTTTGGTGACCTTAATTGGATCTTAAATCCGATTGAATTGTGCATTTGTGTTGCCCTAATTAAGCATGTGTCCTTGAGTTTTGGACTTTCTAAATTGACCCAAAACAATATTATAAAATTCAAATATGTGAATTTGTTTATTATTCTTGATATGTTGTTTTTAATTATTTCCTTATATAAGTTAACCATCTCGTTGTTGGCTTTGAATATAAAACATCTAACTAAGAAATATTTTTGTATTGCATGGATATTGATAAAAATAAAATAATTTCCATGCATGGAACATTTTATGAGTGCTTTAAATCAATTTTCCACTTCTGTTCTCACAGACTTCCTTAGTTTTGCAGATAAAATATAGAAAAGTAAGATAATGTAATCATTCGGATGCAAAAAATGAAGAGATCTATAAGACAAAAGAAGCAAGCAATGGGATAAATTCTCTTGCACATGAGCTTCATTTTGTGGCAAGGAAATGAATTTGCGTTGGTGGGCAAGAAAAGCATTTAAGATAAAAAGCTAAGCATAAAGCTACTTCCATTTAAATCAAAGTTGTACAATTTCATTGGTTTAGAAAGAGTATAAACAAGTTGCTTTGTTGGGCAATGAAGCATATATGTGTGGATTCACATCGAATTTCAAACACATTATCCAATATTGACTTTGCTTAGGATTTCGTAAGGGATGCTTGATTAGTCGATTTCATCTAGATCACACGTCTCTTTTTGATCTTGGAAGAGTTTAAGAAACATGGGGAAGCTTATTTACCGATGTAAATTAAATAACCACTTCGTAAAGTATTCCAATTTATATTAACTAAACATTCGATTGAATTTATTTATTCAAATAAATAAACAAATTTATAAATTTAAGTACAAGTTATTTAAACATAACATTAATAATTTATAAATAACCCCTACATGTGTGAATCACTTAAATAATGATAATTTTATTTATTGAATATATATATATATATTTTTTTTAATTTTGAAGAATAATGTTTTAAATAAATAATCATAATTTTATTGAACTCAAACTTCATAATTATTTTTCTTAATTTCTAATATGATCCAATCTATTCAATCATATATATGTGTAAGAGAAAAGCTGGCACTGCAAACCATATCTCATCCCTTAGCTGCGTATTCATTCGCGAACTTCTCCTATCACATTGGCCAAACAAATAATTGTGACTTCAAATGATGACTATCAATTTGAGCTCTTCTTCTGTGTTCTTCTAATTGATTCCTCTTAAACAATATACGATTTCTTTGTATCAAATTTTATTTATATAGTGACCAGAAAAAGTTGTCTGTATTTTCATTCTCCCCATTTCATATCATTCTTCAACCTAATTAGAATTAATTAAAAATAAAACGAGATGCTCTCAACTTTCAGCTTATTAAGAAAATAATTAATATAAAATATTTTTTAACAACAAAGGAAAAAAGTTGTACGAAGTGTTTCGATAAGCAACTTAAAACCTGTCAAAATCTAAATATAAATCAATCATAACATTGTTGTTATTGTTTTCTTATACCTAACAGTTATATATAATATTAAATTAATATGGTATAATTATTTGAATTGGTAACTAATATAGCATTTGTGAAAGTTTTAGACAATTCAAAAACAGCTTTTAAGTATCTAATTTGAAGAAGTGTTTGACAACATGCACCTTCTGGATCATGCATTCATGCTAATGATTAATCATTTTATCTAAATAAATCACGGTATATTGTTTGAATTAAAGTCGATTAGGCAACGAGCATAAAATCAACAATATCATTGTAAGAAGGCAGAAGTTAACGTCGTCTCATATGGGGTTTCCATTTCATCCCTTTTCAAAACTCACAAAAAAAATTTTCCTTTTTTTCTGTGTGTGTATTAATGGCGTTCACACTCAAAGTTTAAGACTAATCTCTTTTAAAAATAAACATCACCCAAATAACTAATAAGTATAAATTTTCTCAGCACAAAATATTTTTTATATACATATGAAAAATCAAATTGATGTATGCTCTTAACAAATTGTGTTAGGCCATGTTGGTTCTCGTTAGGAATGGAAATAGGTCAAATTATTCAACAAAGCCTACAACTTAATTTTTTTAAAGCCTAACTCAGTTTAACCTTTTTAATTAATATACTTAATTTAAACTTTTTAAAAAATTTAATTAATTAAATAAGTCAGGCTTAACTTAAAAAAAAAGCTTATTAAGCCTATTAAAAATGACCTATTTAAAATTCATAAAATTTATAATAATATATTAAGTAATTTTATATAAAAATAATATAATAATATATTAAATCAATTAAATTTTAAAATAATAAAATCTTAATCTTTTTTTATTAAAGTTAAAGAATATTTCTACTACATATTCTTTAAGAGAGAGAGTCCTGCTTGTTAGAGTTTTTTGCATATCCTATATGAAAAATATTGTTATTCATACATGTTAAATTTTTGTTTATTATATTTGTTAATTTTAGGTCTAAAACTTATTTAGTTATATTGTATTTGTTGATTTAATGTGTAAGACTTTAATACTATTAATTTGCTTAATGATTTATAAATTGATGTTCATATTATTGTATCTTTTGTATATGTAGTGATTTACTTATTTAAATTAAATATATGATTTGAACATGATAAATAGGAATATGTAATTTTATTATACATATTTAAAATGTTGAATAATTTTTTTAAATAATTTATTTAACTTTATGACTTTTAAAACACATACTTATTTAAATGATTTAATAATATAACTTAATGATTTACTTAATGTTTCGATACAAAGTGGACCGTTAAAAAAGCTAATAGGATAAATTAAGTTTTTAAAAAGGTTAATATGGACTTAATAAAAAATCTATAATAGATAATAGGTTATATTTATACTTTAAAATTATTAATCAGGCTAAGACTATTTATGCAAAGTCTAATCTAACTTATTTCCATTCTTAATTTCAGTTCACGTCATTCAAATATCACCTCTTATGGACCATCATTTGAGAATTAAACATGGCTTAGAACATGGAAAAATATACAAGAAATAATATAAACTTGCTCTTACAATCAACAACATGATACATTAATTGATAGGCAGTCTCGCCCAAAAAACAAATTAACCTAGAGAGAAGCAGCCGAGTCCCCGAGAAAAAATGAACAAACAATTGCATCCCCCTAGTGCACTACAAATATGGGATAAAAAATGAATAAATATATAAGCAACCACACTCATAATATTGTTACGCATACTTCATAAAACCCTTGTATGCATGAAGCAGCTATATATATAAATATATCAAACAAATCACATACCCTTAGCGCCAGGAAGATCAATCCATTCCAATTGGATTTCAACTTCACCACATTCCACGTGTCGCAATCTAAGGACAACATCTTGCACAACTTTGCCATCGTTAAAAGTGATGCAGCTCTCTTCTGCTAGGCAATTTTGCCTGCTTGGTTGTATTCTTGTAATTATAGTACCTGTTGGGAGGTCTTCTAAATTCATCTTTAAGGCCTCTATGTATGGTGAGATGTCTAATTCTGCATCACCCATTTTGTCATCTTTGGTGAAAGTGTCGTGGTCATACACAGTCTGCAGTTAATTACTCAACCAATTAATTAGAATTTAACATGATTAAGAAAATTAATTTGACATAAGTAGATAACTAATTAAATAACAGAGGCAAAAGACATAAACCATTAATATTTATAGGCTTACCAATACGATTGAGTGAAGGTGATCCGTGACAGAAAGCGTAAGGTCTTCATTCCACTCAGGATTAACATCCTTTTTAATCACACGAGTCTTGAGTCTCTGAAATGCAAGTTACATGCAATTGAACATAATTAAAAAAAGAGAAGTGTGAAGTCCGGCTCTTATAATTCTCTTGCCTACAAAAAGAAAGTGACATATACATTATCTTCTTTTTTCGTTTCATTTTTCTCTCTTACTAAAACATGTATCACTCTGTTAAAAAATAACGCTAAAAACTCACAACTTTCACGTAAGTTTGATCTTCTTTGTTATTGTACTTTAACATTGAAAAGATTCATGAAAGGAAAATAGAAAAACCTGCTTGCCCATCTTAACAACGACGTAAGGATCGCTGGTACTGACATCTCGAACGGCGAGGTTGACGCCACGCTTGATGTGAATCCTTAGAAGGCCAAGGAGGTCTTCCATGCTGGGTGAGTCTCCCATTCTTTATCTCCCTCTCTCTCTCCCTTTAATATCCCACAAATCAAACTTAAGTAATTCTTCTTAAATAATTCTTCTTTTCACAGACTATTTGGTTGTTTCACTCTTGAGAAAGAGAGGGAGAGAGAAGGGGCTTCAGGATGGGATTATTGAAGATACAAGTTAGCTAAGCTTCTTTTGTTTTGTAGAATACAAGAAGTTCGTAGTTGCATGCCACCATCAACGTGTACGATACTCCTTTCTACTCTCAGCTAATAACGCTCTTTACCCTCCATTTTTGTCGCCACACTCAAAAACCATTAGTTTTATCTGTGTTTAATTACCTCCATAAAAAGAATAAACGAACTTGGAAATAATTTGATTTGATGTTTATGCTCAGAACTCGTTAAAAGTTCTTTGTTTGAAACTCATTAAAAAGAAACAGACTTAATTTTATTTTAATATTTACATTTTTTTTTTTGTTTTATGATGAGTTAACGAGGGATACAACCATTTAAACTCAAACTAAAAAAATGCGTAACATTTATGAAAATTTAAAAAACTAAATCACGTCTTTCTATAACATCTTAAATTATAAATGAATTAATTTAACTTTAAAATCCGTCAAACGATATGTCTGCATGTATTGAAATTTACTTGAAAATGGTAAGAAAAGAATGGTACGAAACAGTTTCCATTTGCAAATTAACATATAAAAGGAAAGAAAATTTTGCACCATTTGGGAAGAATCTTTCTAAGGTAATTCTTTTACTTACATTTTCTTTTATATTTAAAATATATTTTAAAATGTATATAATTAAAATAAAGTATATATATAACTTTTAATTATTTGAATGATACATTATTAAATGTGCGTTTGAGTTGATGTCAAATAATGTGCTCCATAGACTAAGAGGTTCTTGAATTTGCTTTGGCAGTTATGAATTCTCTGTGTTTTTTTTTTGGGCGGTGGCAGTTTTGAAATGAATTGCATGTACCGTAAAACAGAGGTTGAGACCCGGCCCGGCCCGGCCCATGAGCAGTGCAAACCAACAATCAGAAGAAAGAAAAAGTGTTCCCGCGCGAGCGAGTAGATTGAATTGGGAATTGGGAATTGTTTGTGATGGAATTGGAACCATGGGAAGCCCTCGACGTTGACGACTCTGATATCTCCACCTTCCTCCGCCCTTGCAAACGCCGCAATAACTCTTCGTCTTCCCTCATTCCGGGTCCCGCCGGTGCTGTTCAGGCCGCCATGATGAACCGCACCCGCGACGACCCCCTCCCCACTCAACAATTCCTGAACCGAGTTCTCCAAAACGGCCATAAAAACGACGGCGACTTCAACACCAATCCATGGCTTTGTGCCTTGCAATTTCTTCGCTCACAAGGTCACTTTCTTTCTCTCTATCATTGCGAATACCTTAAACTGTTGCTCATTATTTTCTGTTTTATTGTTTACAGGCACGGTGGATGGTGATGATGACGTGGCTCAATCTACCCCTTTGAACTCTATCAAGAAGCATTGGGATGCTGAAAGAGTGGCTCAGGTATTGAAGCGTTCTTGGGAATCATTGTTTTTAGTATTCCTAAAATTTCACGAGTCTCTTTTGATGGTAAGCAGGTGGTGGCTGTCATCGAATCATGCACCCCCAATGGTTTTGGAGACATGATGGTTACCCTCAAGGTATTACTGTAACTGTCATTGTGTTTGAATTTGATGACTTGCACATTCATATTTGTTTGAATTTCAGGATCCTACGAGCACGGTTAGTGCCACTGTCCATCGCAAAGTCTTCACGGAGGGAGAATTTGCGAAGGATATAACTGCTGGTTCAGTTGTGGTTCTCCGGAAGGTCCTTGTGTTGTTAAACTATTTTTTTTTTTTACTTATTCGGCCACTAGACAACTTTGCTTGCTTGAATTTTGCAGTTCTTTACTTTGCAGGTTGCTGTGTTCTCTCCCACTCGCTCTACCTGTTATCTGAATATAACATCGCGCAACATTTTAAAGGTTTTCTGTGCTTTACATTTCGGGTTACCCCAATTTTTGAATGAGTTCAATTAAATGGAATTTATATCGTTTGCTTTGATTAGGAACTTCTAGAGTGTGTTAAGAATGGGATTGCATTTCAGAACTGTTGAATCGGAGGACTGATAGATGAGTGAGGCCCGTTTATTTATATGTTTATTGTTGAGAGATGTTAGTTTGCGAAAATCATCATTCTACACTCACTAGTACATTATACTAGATTCATACATTTAGTGAGGGATAAGAAGCGAAAAAAGAAGATATGATAGTTGAGGTGATGTGATGTGATCTACAGGAAGGAAAAATAGAAAGAAAAATGAGGTCGAGAAGTAGAAGTACGTGTGTATGAATATTGTTGTTCATTTGTTTGTACTCATTGCTTGTTAACATGTTACACAGGTCTTTTCCAAGGACAGTGGACCTCCATCACAGCAACAAATTTATCCTTCACGCTCAATGATACACACTACACCTAGCATAGGTATGTGACCATAAATGGCTCAAGTGCTTTTATTAGATCGTCTTTCCTTTCCGTGGGCCAATTTTTATGCCTAGTTAACATAACTGAGTTCTTGGAAATCCATATTTGGCCTTCCTTGAAACAGAAAGACATGAAGGGTCATGGATACCAGGCTCTCTACCGCAGGAAAGAACAGAAGGAATCATGTCTAATCTCAGATTAGATTCGAGGTTTAGACAAGTAGCAGATAATGGCAAACAGAGGAGTGAAATTTTGGCCTTAACGAACTGTCACTTTGATAATGGAAACGATCGAAACCCAAAAAATGTGTTGGATAGAGAGAACTTATTACTGAGCCAAGATAATGCTAGACCTGTGGAAGTAAACTGTGGTGTTAGTGAGCTTGAAAGTGGGATGGAAGATCAACCCAACCCTCCTGAACTGGATGGAGACAGTTTAGCATGGATTGCTCAAGGCAATAGTTCAACAAACTCCGTTCATACATCTCATGGTCAAGAAACTGGGATGAAAACTCACTTAGAAGGTCAGAAGCAATTAGTAAATCCAAAAAGTTCAATTCCGCATTGGACAGAGGAGCAGTTGGATGAGCTTTTAGCGTTTGATTGAACATGGCAATTTCGTTTTGTCAACGCGAAGAATGACAATAGTTTTCATGCATCTTAGTGGTGATATTTTAAGCATTTTAAAGGTGCATGCCTTTTGCAAATATTTTCAGGAATACATTCATGTGGAAGAAACGGCTCGTCTCTAACTCGGTAATAGGAATGATACCGCCGTTTGGTTCCCTGCCAATGTTAATCATGATCGTTCTTTTATCAAGACATGTGAAGCAATAGATTCCATTCATGTTCCTGCTCAAAGTTTAATGCACTATTCTTGATTTTTAAGGCCCCACCATGCCCAAAACCTTTGTTTTTGGTCTAAAGGATATCATATTATGATCCACTTTATTACTGCCCAAGTAACCTTGAGCCAAAATTTTGTGTTCTTATCCCCGTATTACCCAAATCAACCTCAAGCTGCTCCAGCCGTAGGTCTTGTTTAAGACTGATGACTGACCAACTCAACTAATATGGGAATCCATCTCAATAATTCAGAATGAGAGTAAATATAGACTGTCAATTGTATCAAGGTTAGATAATGGACATTAATAAAAATTTAGGCAAATGAAGGAGAATATAACTACTACAAAATTTTGTGGGGGATCAATTTGAAGGAAAATTTTAATTATTACCCACATCATAACTTTTGAGGTGTCACGTGTCACTTATTGCATCAAGTACAAGCTTAGTATACCAAAAAGAATTTCATTAATTTTTACAAATATTAATCCCGTGGAGTAACTAAATATATTCAAACAAGTGAAGGACTTAAAAATGAAATCTTGAAAAGAGAATATCTTACAAATTTTAATAAGTAAAAAAGAATAATGCATTGTAATTTAAAAAATAAAATAATGTTATGCTTTAAAAGTTAAAATCGGTGATGATTTAATATTACAAATTTTTAAGTTTAAGTATTTGATAATTCTACTATAGAAAAATTATTCATGGTATTAATAGAATAAAAGTTGAATGGTTAAAATGAAGAAAATTATCAAGAATTATTTAATTATAAAATATTTATCAAGTTAAAAATATTTTTTTTTACCAAATTGCTATATATAATTACATGATAATAAACGTTAAACATAAAAAATAACACAAGAAAAGTGACAAATTAGATAAATAAATAGTGATACAAAATGACAATAAAGAATGATGATATTATCAAGAATATTAAATAAAAATTTATTGTAAAAAAATAAAAAATAATTAAAATAGTTTGAATATATTGATTGATCATTGAAAACATTAACAAAGAAAGTGAATGACATAACTTTTGATACAATGAAAGGAGATAGAAAAATTCTCAAACTTTTTTAGAAAATATAACAATAAATAATAATTTATAAAATTTTATTTTTAACATGACCATTTACATAACATAGATGAGCATTATTCTTGTTCATTCCAGCTTTCTACAATGTAGTAGACTTTTCCATCCAGAGTATAAAGGCACTTTTGTCAGTTTTGAAGGTCAGTGAGAAAATGAGATCGCAATTTCCTATCAATTCTGAGGATTACACCCCCCATTGAAAGACAATCACTTCTTGCCGTCACAAATTACTTTCGGCATTGCACTGTTGCAAGACTGTCATTTAACTCGTCATAAGTTCCTTTTTTTCTTATAATAACCACCAACAAAAGTACTTCCACCGGACAAAGAATAAAAAATCAGTGAATTACGATCTTGTTATTTTGGAGAAAAAAAATTGCACAGCTGAAGTCATAATAAGCATACGCCTTATTTGACTTTACGCACTAACGAACGGAAGTACATTCACTGCGCACATATTATAAAATTGTGAAGTACAATCTAATTGGAAAAATGCATAGCTCAATATCTAGCTATAGTCATAAGCAACCTCTTAACTCGGCTAACATTACAATCCGAATATATTTACCTCAAACAAAATTGGGACTCGTTCTGGCAATAACACGTTACTTTGTCACAGAACCTGAAGAAAGGTTGTGCAATACATGGTTTCCATGTCTAAAATTTGCCTTGCCTCGAAGGACAAAAGAATCATTATCATTTTGCAGAAATCACATGTCGGATTACTCTTGTATCACTATTGTAACTAGAAACTCATCAATCTTAGTGCATATAGGCACCAGCATCATGATTCTGGGGTGCTCCGCCAACGAAGACAAATCTCAGCGCTTATATCCCGTGTCACAATTACGTACCTACTGGAATAGCTTCCTCAACCTCTCAGCAGCTGCAGCTGCCCTTTTGTTGGTTGGCTCAAGTACAAGGGCATATTTAAAATCTGCAAAGCAAAAATTCCATTAGCCAAGGCTTCGGAAATGAAGATGAGAACAATTGCAATAATAATAAAAGAAGACGAACCCTGTTAATATGTACCTATCTAATTTGATAGTACAACCCCAAAATTCATCACAAATAATTTCAAATTACAATCTCATATTAAAAGATGAAATACTTAGAAGCACATAAATTCTTACAGAACACAATTAAAGCACATAAACCAGAAATCAGCTAAATATGGGCATTGGAACTAAATATTAATCCCTTCACCTTTAAGGTGTGGGAGACTATAACATGAAAGCAAGTGTGTGACTAGTCATTTGCAGTATATTTTTATTTTGGAGAATTCTAGGAAAGGACAAACCCAAGCATGACTTCAACAAAACGGAAATGTGAGCCAAGCCACTCTAGTGATTAATAGCTTCATTTTTTTACTTAGTAGTACAGATTGGTACTTGACTTTAATTCCCTCTTAAGTTTAAGTTTAAGTTTTAGTAAGGAAATGATAAAATGCATACACATGTCAATAGAACGAAAGATCTTACCATCAATTGCATCCTTGTAGTAGCCTAACATCTCTCTAGCCGTACCTCTACGAAAATAGGCTTTCACATTCTGGGTAAAACAGACAACACAGAGGTGTTACTGTATAATGCTCATGACCATCTCATTTAAGGAAATATACAATAAGCAGGAATCTGAACAAGTTTGATAGAACATCATATAAAAATATACAGATTAATATCCTACCCCTCTTTTTCTCATTATTATTCTCACAAAAGCAAAATAGAGAAAGTTTATAAAACCAAGAATGTAAACTGATGCACCCATTAATGTATTTGTAATTACATAAAACAATTTAATTTAGTATACTAAATAATGGTAATTTAATTACAAAGCCTTGAAAAAGTTATCATAATCTTTTAATGAAAAAGTCACCTTTTTGTCAAGATTAATTGCTTTTGTACAATCTGCCTCAGCTTGGAGATAACTGGACGAATGAAAAGAACAAATCAAGATGTTTGCAAGACACTTTTTAGGAGTAAACAGTAAACTAGCAAGAATGAAACGCTACCTCCCAAGTTCTAGATACGCTTGAGCCCTATTACTGTAGTATGTTGCATTATCACTGCAGAGTTTGATAGCTTCGGTATAAAATCCAATGGCTTTCTGCCACTGCTTATCTTTGTAGGCTTGATTTCCCTGAATCGTAAAGCAATAAACCAAAAGAAAAGAAGGTTGAGAAGAACATGCACAAAAGTGAGAATTAAACAATCAAAATTATCCTATGCAGCTTAATAAAAATGCAGAAAACTTGCAGAGAATGATGTCAAATCACAAATATTCTCAAAAGGAACTGGACAGAAAATATAAATTTTGTGATGGTTGCAGCTTCTCTAGTAACAGTTTAGCAAAGGTTGATACATGAATGCAATTCCAACTCTGCTAAAACAGATAGTTAAACCTCAAACAGAAGGATAACATGGAAGGATGTCAAGGCATATTTGTAACACCCCAAAAGGATTGTCAAATATATATCTGATGAACTAATGAAAGTTTCTATACACAGTTTTGGCATAGAGTATCATCATGAGGACACTAAATATAATGTTAATCAAGACCTGAGGGTTTTGTCCTACATGTAAAAACTAATAGCACCAGGCTTAGAATTCATAGTTACTATTTACTTGCATTGTAACTGTCCTCATGAGATGTGAAGGACTGGAGATGATACAAGCTTGGCTTTAGCTATAGCCATAATGATTATATCAAATATATGTTGTAAAAAATTCATCCATTTATATGCATCAATATTAGTTGAAATACAGACATACAGACATCCACCGCAAATAAAGGAAAAACAAATTTGATACCTATATCCAACAGACATGCTGAGAAGTTTATAACAATCCAGTTTTCAAAACCACTGGTGCTTTAGAAGTAAAATCATACCAGATATATATGGCACAATAACAATCAAAAGCAGGTAAGTGCACAATTCATCAGATGTAACAACAGCAATACCTTCTCTTTGGCCATTTCAGCAGATTGTTCCTTACTGACAACATTTCTAAATGATTTACTTTTTGCGGCAATATCAGCCTGCTCTTGGAGAGTTGTATACATGGTTTGTAGTGTATCAAGTAAAAATCGATCACCCCCATGCCTAGCTATCAAGGACACTGAAACAGGATACTTATCGTAAAATCCTAATGGTATTGAGACCTGAAAGGAAAAATCAAGGGAATATGAATGAAAGATGCATAACCACTACCACCACCACCACGCCCTAAGCCGTCTGCCACTAGGTTCAAAAAAATCAATTTGGGAAACAATTTTCCATGAAAAGAAGTTCTAAATATGTAGTCAAGAAAACTACCAGAAAACATTATGCCAGTTTCATGAGGGAGAGAATTTTACCTGACAGCAACCTGATATGCTTGCAATGCTAAGCAGACTAAAAGCACGATTCTGATAATCATCTGATAGGATCTCCTTCCCACCTAATTTTGGAGGAGGATCAGCTACAGTAGGGATCACCAAAATTCCTTCATCCTAGAAAGTGTCAAAATTTATTAAATTCAGCACAATTATGTCATGTTTATAAAAATTCAGAACATACTTTTTTAATATATCGAAAGGAAAATTTAATGTCCTCACATAAGACAGTCTGACATGCATTTCAAAATATGTTTTCAGCAGCTTGGTCTTAGAAAGGTTTCTACTCATTCAATACCAATATTCCGTTCACCATAAGTTTGTTCATAATCAGCACAGCTTCAAACCTTGAACAATCACATATTAAAATCCACCAAATATGCACGCTCTTCATCTGAATTTTTTTTCATTTTTTTTTTAAAGAAAGTGACGAAGATTATTGAAACTCCATCAGCTAATGGTTTCATTATACTCTAAAAACACTGTTAACATATAATGTTTTAGAAGATGAAAGCAAACTTAGAATGAGACAACATGAAGATTGTCACTAAATAAGGAGGATTCAAGAGAAGTAGGATGTAGAATGGTATAAAATCATAACCTTCAAAAGCAAATTTACAGCAGCACGCATCTCACTTCTAACGGATTTAGAGTTTTCAATTTCTACATCAGATGCCGCAAATTTTCCATGCAATTGTGTTGAGAGAGCAGCATGAAGATCAGGTTTTACTATGTTCATCCACTCATCATGGGCTAGTCCGAACTCATGTCTGCACAAATAGATTCAGAAAATAGTCACAATACTATTGGAGACTTCCACAGACAACCGTAACACAACAAATATTAATTATGCACATCCACAAAGAGGAATACTAGAAAGAAGAAGTTATGGCATGGTTATCTGTGAGTTAGATAGAACATTAGTAGCAAAACTGCTGTGAATGTAAAACATCTCTAACGAAAAGAGAACCAAATGACAGCATTCTTGCTCAAGCTAACATTAAGCACAAAATTGCAAATTATAGTAGCATTTCCATATTACAGAATCTGACCAACCTTTGTAGGAATTGCATAATGTTAGCAAGTAATTTTAACGAAGAAGCTTTCAATTCACCATTTGTTTTCTGACCAGAGCACTCCTTCAAGCTTGGAACTTTAGAACTTATATAATCCTCAAGATTTATATGCTTCAAAGCTTGCCCTGAAGACAATTGATGTTAGCAAAAATTAATGTAGTAGAATTTCTAGAACAAAGTAGAAGTTAGTAGAAAACAAACACACACAAGGCAAGAGCTTTTAATGACAACCAAAACAAGATGGATCATTTTAAATTGCAAAAAATCACACAGAAAAAGTAACTTACTTCCAAAAAGCTTCTCAACTGCTTTGATCACAACTTGAGAACTCCTGTCCAGAGGAACATTTATATGTTGAAAACAATCATCTGCTATAATTATTTGCCGAGGACTGCGTTGAATTACAAATGGTGCTTGTAAAAGTATATGGCCAACTTGACGTAATATATTAGGATCCTTTGCAAACCAACCTGAAAAGGGCATTTCAGAAAGAATTACAAAAATGCAGTAAATGGTGTAGCAACTAGCAATAGCATCCATATAGAAAGACAGTGCCAGCAACTAAAGAAAAGTCTGAATGAAAACAATTACACTCGAACAGTTCTTTCCATTTCTTTATGTACTTAGATTAGCTTATTTTGTTTTCAAAATAGTTTGTAATTAAGATATACTGAGAAATATTTTTTAAGAAAACAAAAAGACCCAAAATAATGAGCAAATGCAAACAAGCACTTGATCCTGATACCACATAAAAATACTAATCATTCAAAAGAATAAATAACAGTCACTTGAACCCTCCAGCCCATAAATCAAACCGTATTAAAAAATTGAATCATCCATACCAACAGCGTCCAGACTTGTTGAAATAGGTATGATTCCCATATGAGAAACAGCACCATATGAAGGCCGAAATCCAAGAATGCCACAAAATCCAGCAGGTACTCTCACCCCACCAATAGTATCAATACCTGTTATACATGATGGTGTCACAGTGTCAGAAACATTCTCGTATCAGCATATGGTGATAATGAAACAAAAAGTATAAACAGACAAAATAAAGATAACACAGTGGTTATTAAAATTGAAATATCTTACAGTGATGTGGCAAGAATACATAGGAGTAAAACAATGAATTCAAAGTTAAAGATATACCTTCATTAATATCTTAATCTACTGAACATGCCAAAGCAAAGACATGGAATTTCCCATCAAGAAGTGTTACTTTTGACATAGTTAAACAATTAAATGGATGGATTTTAAATGTTTTAAACACCTTTTTGTTAAGGTTTGAATTAATTTAAACTGCAAAATGAGATCATGCCTATTTTTGATTCTAAATAGAAATTAAGAACAGAAGCATGGACCAAGAATAAAAGGCAGACAACACTCTCAGTGTTAAAAGCTCACCTCAATGTAAGAAATAATGGCTGTTTCCTCTTTACCAACCTCAAATTCAGCATGTCAACAACCAAAATAGATAAGGTGACAACCAAGGTCATGAACCATTGGATTTCCCAAGAGGAAAAATTGGCCATATTGTATTTAGTATTTATTCTATTTCTGTTGACTGATTAATCACTCAACATAATCCAGTAAACAGATATATAAAGAAAACATACATGAAACAAACCACCCCTGGAGGTACACTAACACCACTACATCATGAAAGCGTGATGCTCTAACATAACCAGGAAGATAATTTTATAAAAGTATATTATCCTGCTATTAAGTTACTTGGTTTCTGCAGAATACCCGGCCAATGAAGGAAGACACACACAAACACATCAAAAAGAGACATAAAATTGCCTATAAACCTTTCAGCGACATAAATAAGTATGCCACTTGTCTTTAGAATAACAACAATCAAGAAAGAAGGATCATTAACTATCAAAACGATATCGAGAAGCTCACCCAATGCAAAATCAACCAAATTGCCAGCAACAGCCACAGCTGCGCCCCCGGAGGAGCCACCGGGTACTCGAGCAGGCACAGCAGGATTGGTCGGCGTTCCATAATGCTTATTTTCACCACTAATACTGGATAGAAAAAATGAACAAAACAACTAAATTTTTTTTCTCAAATCCAAAGTTCCAAAAGATCAAACAGTGAACCGAAATCGAGGCAACACTAAACCCTAGCCCACCACTCGGGCACACCATTCACAATCCTTAATCGCTTATACAACACTCTGTTACCAGGTGGAAAAACGTTGCATGACATATTTACAAACTAAGCACACAGTTGTATCAACATGCAAATTTTTGGAAAAAAAGAAAAGAACGAACCCAAAAGCAAAGTCTTCGATAACAGTAGTTCCCACACAAGTTGCACCTCCTTCAACAAGAGCAGAAACTGAAGGAGAAGTGGAAGAAGCAGGTTCGTGAGTCCGAGCCCACTCGGGATGCCCAAACGTGGATACATGACCTTCCACGTCAAATCTGGTAACAAATTCATTTCAATATTTCAAAAGAAAAATAAAAATAAAAATCTTATCATAAATTCAATAACAGTAACAAAAAATACAGAAAAAGAAATTGTGGTTAGGTTACAGGTCAGAAAGTGCGAAAGTGAGAGCAGTGAGTGGATGAGGAGCTTTGGGAGGAGCAGGTTGTGGAGGAGGAAGAAGCTGAAGCTTGCGAATGAAAGCGCCAAAATCTTCTTTAACAGACTGCTTCAACTTTCTGGTGATGAGAACAATTCCAGCCAAACTTAGCCCCAACAAAACCCATAGGTTCGCTGATTGAGACGCCATTGATTGATTCTGCCACACTCAGCCACAACGGTTGAACCTTCACAAACACAAACAACAACACCAACAGAACAAGAAGAGGATAGGATTCTCCAACACTCGCCGCCTCAGCTTCTTTCTTCTGCCTAAACTCTATGCTCTCCCCTCATAAAAACCTTCAACAAATAAATAAATAAATAAATACTATATTATTATTATTGATGTCTTTTTTAAAATTATTATTTAATTTATAAACACTCAATCATATTTACATTACTTATATTTTTCCTTTCGACATTTTTATGAATTTTAAAATACCATTTATATTTCTATAGAAAAACAAAAATGTGCAACATCAATACAATTTAATATTGAAATCGTGTACCAGACGGATTGTTAATTGTAACATGGGACCAACAACAAAATCAATATTTCAAACAAAAATGCCTTCGTCATTCCTAAGCCACCAAGCTTTATTTGTCATGTCAAGTGAATAGTTTGTAAAGTAACAATTATTAGGTATACATTATGAAATTTTTTCAATAGAAGTGAGCTTTGAAATTTATAAATTAATATACATACCAAAAAATCATTAATAAAAATATTGTATTCATAATACAGATATAAATAAAATATAAATTTTATATGTTTAAAAAATAAATTATTGAAAATATTAAAAACTAACTTAAGAAATAAAAAAAATTAATTCAGTTTCCTCATGTGGGTCTCATTGTATATTAAATTAGTTAAAAATTAGAGTATTAATAACCTGTTAATTTAAATAATTAATTGTAGATAAATTATATAACTAAACATTAAATTAGAAAATATGCATTATAAATTGAAAAGAAAATACAAAATTATGTGGAAGCATGTTTGCTTTTTAAATAAAGAATCAAATTTATTATATAATAATAATAGTAAGATTTTGTATTTAATTAAATATATTTATAGTTATAAAACTAATATACATAATTAAATGGGTTATTTAATAAATTTAATGGTAGAATTTATTATTGATAAATTAAAAATAATTTATTAAAATAAACTTATAAAAAAAAGTCACATCTCTCATAGCTACAATTTATTTATAATAAGTTATAACTTATTCATCCTCCCTATTTATAATATAAATTACATATCTAAAGGTAATTGAGAGAAAGTAAAAGCATGAAATAAATAAAAAAACCAAATTTTGGTATTATTTATATTGAATGCGTAAACATTACATGGTTAAAATTAATTAATTAATAATAATAAATTTACCTATAAAAGAAGACATGCAATATTTTTAATAATTTATTTAGTTGACATCAAACTCGTTTTGACTTGTGAGTGCACAGGATAAAAAAACTTTAGGGTGCACAAGAAAAAAAGAGTTAAAAAAAAGGAAGAGGAGCATAGAGTAGAAAGCTTAGAGTGATTGAAGAACTGAAGAAAAAATGGAGACTCCTCCTTCTCAACAAGGCATCCTGAAGAAGAAGGAAGTGAGGAGTCGAAAACCTAAGTCCATATGGGAAGAGAAAAAGGAAGAACAACATGGGAAAACAATTAAGGAAGGAAGAAAGACGCAACAACAACAAAGGCAGAAGAGGAGCACAGAAAGGGTAGAGGGATTGAAGAACTGAAGAAAAGATGGGAAGAACAACATGGGAAAGCAATGAAGGAAGGGAGAAAGAGGCAACAACTACTCGGGAAGAGGAGCATAGAGAGGTAGAGTGATTGAAGAACTGAAGAAAAGATGGGAAGAACAATATGGGAAAGCAAAGAAGGAAGGGAGAAAGACGCAACAACTACTGGGGAAGAGGAGCATAAAGAGGTAGAGTGATTGAAGAACTGAAGAAAAGATGGGAAGAACAATATGGGAAAGCAACGAAGGAAGGGAGAAAGACGAAACAACAACAGCAACCTTCCATGGATGAGAAGTACACTCAATGGAAGTCCCTTGCTCCTGTTTTCTATGACTGGTTCGCCAACCACAGCTTCATTTAGCCCTTTATAACTAACTACAACCTTAATCTCATGTTTTGTTAACTCTACACTTACATTTCCTACATAACAATATGGAAAGGGAGAAAGATGCAACAACGTGAAAGTCTCTTGTTCCTGTTCTTTACGACGGACTCGCCAACCACAACCTCGTTTGGCCCTTTATAAACTAACTTACATCTCCAACACTGCAGCCTTCTTCCACACCTTCCATGCTATTTTTTTTCTCTTCTTTCCCAAACTCTTCCTCACTTCTAACCTTTAATTGCATCACTATGGATTTCACCCATGGATTTAGTGAATTTACCTTGACCACACCTTGACCACGACCTCTCATTCCGTAGAGTAATTGGTGTCCCCTCAATCCCTCAAAAGAGATGGAATACCTGTGCATGATTTGTGCAATCATGTGCCATGCATTTTGAAACAACATGAGTGCATACATTGAATAATTAATTTTATTTTAGTCACATTTTGAACTAATAAAATAAAATATTAAGATAATCATTAAATTCTGCAAAAAATAAAGACACCATATAAAAATTAATTTAAAAATTTAAAACTTAAAATTTTCAAATTTTAAAATAAAGATAACTAGATATTTTAAAATTTTAAATGAGTGGGTTGGTGAATAAAAATTGACTTAAAAAAATTTTGAATGGTTAAAAATGCTGAATAAATTATTTAGAAAAATAAATAAGGAATTATGAAATTTTGGAAGCCTTTATTTAAAAAATAAATATAATATTAAATAGGATTTAAAATTAAAAAAAACAATAGTATCTTAAAAAAAAGTATCAAAATAATTACTTTTTATATTATTATATTTCTAAATAGTAATTATTTTGATATCACTTAGCTCAACAGTAATTATTATATTTCTAAAATAAACTCACTTTTTCTTTAATATCACTTAGGTTGTAAGAAAATTTATTAAATAGTCATGAGATAAGTTAAATTTTACTGCCAAAAAGTGAGTTTATTTTCAAAATAAGATAAGTAATTTTTTTAATAATAATTTATTCTCAATTTAAATTTAATCTTTCTAAATTTTAAAATATGTTTCTTTCATTGTTTAAATTAGTTTTTTTCTATTCAAAAATTAAAATATAAGACTAAATTAAAACATATTTTTTAAAATAAAATTAATATTTTTTAAAAATATTTTATAAGTAAAAAATAATCTTCATCGCAATCTAATATGAAAAATTTTAAAAATCAAGTATAAAAATAATCAAAATTAAATTTTCTAAGAACAAACAAAAAATTAATTTTTAAACTTATTCCTGATTATTTTTAGAAGAATTTCATGACTTTAATTTTTTCATTATCTTCAAGTAATACGTAAGAGTATAAATTTAACTGTGAAGTTTAAATCATTTTTTAAAAAATATTTTTCCTAAATCTAAAACACCAATAAAACATATTTTTTTTATACTTTCTCAGTCTATTTTTAAATTTTAAAAAACAAAATAAATTCAAAATCTTTTTTCTTCAAAAAATGAAATTTGTTACTTTTTTTTAATTTCATTATAAAATAAAGTATCAAAATAATAATTTTTTAAAATTTATCTCTTTTATCCAGAAAAAATTTATCTCATTATGTAACTTTGACAAACTTTTTAAAATAATATATTTCATTAGACTAATAATTAAATGTTATATCTTTAATTTTTCTAATTAAGCTAGTGCTTCAGTATGATAAAATATTAGTTAAATGATTTGTAATATTTTTATTTGTTAATTTTATTAATTATTTTAATTATTACATAAATTTGTTATATATATTTTATGAAAATAAATAAATATATTTGTATTTTAAAAAATATTTAAAAAAGTGCTTGCTACTGTAAAATTACCATAAAGCTGACATCAGCCTTTGCAGTTTCAATTGCAATTGTCTGCGAGCCAAAGAGTGCAACTCAAATTTTCTTTCACAAGATAATACCCCAATCCCAATCCCAATCCCAAAAAGAAATTAAAATTTAAAAATAATAGTATAAAAAATCCTTCGCCAATTGATTCCCATTCTCCAATTCTAGTTTCTCAAATAAAAACAAAATCAAACATCTACTCACCCACCATAATAATTCATTCTCTTCAGGTACCTTTCTTTTTTCTCTCTTCCTTCACCCATTGTGTTTGCCTATGTACCATCTCTAAATTTGATCGAATTTTTCCTTAGCTTTTCACAAAATTTCTTTCCGCTCTGTTATAATCGAGTGATTTTCTTCTCACCCATTATGCCTTTTGATTGATTGGTTATGTTGTTTTGTATTGTATTGAACTTTCTAGATTCTGGTGGCTTTAAAGCACTCCATTTCAAACGTTTTTTTGATGGGTTAATGGCGGTTCACTAACCAATAGACCATCTTTCAATTTTTTGCCCCCAAACATGACCCAGATTCAGCTTTTCACTTATGTTAATAAAATTAGCTTTTTTTTCTCTTATCCGTGGAATTTAGAACCGTGCTCATTTAAATTTTCATAATTCCTGGTTTATAGTGTTGCAAGCCAATTGAATATGTTATTGTCTGCTGCATCAGAATTTATCCTTTTCAGATGTTCACTCGAAGATTAAAGAGGGAAGACGACTTCTCCATAACTACAATGCGAGAGATTAACAGTTTCATGTGTGTCAGTTAATGTGCTTGAGGTGGCAGTCCCTTAAAGCAGGTTTTCCTCACCTACAATTTGATTTGGTGTGGACCAAACTGACACAGTAGCATATTCTCTGTGATCTTAAATTTTCATCGACCTGATTTCCTCACCTACAATTTGCCTTGATGAATGCATGTAACAATTTGTCAAATGTTTATGCTTAGCTTCATTGTTACTTCAGCCTATATTTGATTTCTGTTAAGTCATAGTGTGTCCTTGGCTCTCTGTTTGCACATGTTTCAGTGCATGCAAACAGAGAGGCATGTCTCTTGGTGCTTTTTGGCAACATTCATCTGAGGCTGCACCAATAGAAAAACAAACATGTACAAATCTGTGTAGTCACATGTATTGATGTCTTTTCTTGCTAACTAAGGTTTTATTACATATGCCAGGATTGGAGGGAAGAGACAAAAAATGGTAAGATCTACATATGAAAGATTTTCGAAGGATTTTGCAATGGGAGGAGTAGCAGCAATTGTCTCAAAGAGTGCAGCGGCACCAATTGAGAGAGTGAAGCTTTTATTGCAAAACCAAGGTGAAATGATTAAAAGAGGCCAACTCAAAAAACCGTACCTGGGTGTGTCTGATGGCTTTAAGAGGGTCTTCATGGAAGAAGGTTTGATTGCCTTTTGGAGAGGTAATCAAGTCAATGTAATCCGATATTTCCCCACACAGGTGTGTTTCTCACTTATCTGACATTCTGATTGATGTTAAAGACCTGTATGCCCACCCTCACCATTTGTTTTCTCTTTCTTTCAAGCTGTCATATCTGTGAGGTTAACGGACTATCACCTATTATAATTTTGTAGTGTTTATATTGCTTTTTATGCAACTTCCATAGGAAGATAGAAAGAGAAGAAGAAAAGAAAACAAAAGAATTAACATGACAAGTTATCATGGAAATTGAATGACGTTTAGCAATTTACCCAATAAATATATTGCGGTAATTATTTCTTGTGCATCACACCAAATAATAGATGGAAATCCTTTTGTTCCTGGATTTTGTATCCTGTCATCTATGGACCTTAAATATTCAAATTATAGGGATTATCTGTTAGCTTACTTCCCTTCCATACTCAGTTTTTCTCCCGCATTCTCAATTAAATTGAAATATATATTATTTCAAAGCCTTTTCTTTTCTCAATTACTTATACAAAATCATTTCATGGCATGATGCAATATTTCCTATGCATGTCCCGCTTGTTCTTCGTTCCTCCTTGTGTGCTATTCCTGTCAATCCATGTTAACATCATTAGTCGGGTCTCAGCACATGCATAAAATAATGGCCCATACATATGCAAGGGAAACCACCTGTTGGTTTTTACCACTTTCTGTTCCCATCACTTCCTGTAGTCGTATGTCTCAAATAATGATTTCTTTTTTGTGTTTATTAGAAATAATGTTTGAGTAAACAGTTAATTGGTCTATAGGCTTTCAATTTTGCATTCAAAGGTTACTTCAAAAGCATTTTTGGGTATTCCAAAGAGAGAGACGGGTACATTAAGTGGTTTGCTGGGAATGTGGCTTCAGGCAGTGCTGCAGGAGCGACTACTTCACTGTTTCTGTATCATTTAGATTATGCACGTACACGATTGGGCACAGATGCAATAGAATGCCGTATGACTGGTCAGCGCCAGTTTAAAGGACTAATTGATGTATACCGGAAAACCTTATCAAGTGATGGAATTGCTGGCTTATACAGAGGATTCAGTATTTCAATATGGGGAATCACCATGTATCGAGGGATGTACTTTGGGATCTATGACACCATGAAGCCTATTGTTTTAGTTGGGCCTTTGGAGGTAAGCATTTGCACTTTCACCAAAGAGATCTATAGTTCACGGTCAATGGGAAAATATATTGCTGGTACTCGATACTTAACTGAGAAATTTTGCTTTCAATTGCTACTGGACTGGTAATCTCTTTGGTCTAATACACAGTGGTATGTGGGCCAAATATTGAAGTTACCCCAGACTCTGGAATGTTACATTGACAATTGAACCCTTGAATTTGAACATTCATCTTCTAGACATGTGATAAGTCAGATAACATTATTTCAGAAAAAGAATTTACTGAATTTTCTTGTGATAAACTTTTCATAGATGCACCTCTTGATTGTATATTTGCTGAATTCAGAGGATTGGTTCTGTTCTCTTATACCCTGCCCATCAATGTGAGTCTCTTGCTTTATTTTCTGCAGGGGAACTTTCTTGCTTGTTTCTTGTTAGGTTGGAGCATCACAACTTTTTCAGGGTTTTGTGCTTATCCGTTTGACACCTTGCGCCGACGAATGATGCTTACATCTGGACATCCAAACAAGTATTGTAGTGCAATACATGCATTTCGTGAGATTGTTCAACAAGAGGGTTTCTTAGCTCTATTTCGAGGAGTTACTGCAAATATGCTTCTTGGTATGGCAGGAGCTGGGGTGCTCGCTGGATATGATCAGCTGAACCACTTCTCATCTAGACATAATCAATATAATGAGACAAACCAAAGAGTTTTGAAATGAATTGCCAATTTGTGAGGGAGAAATGCCAAACAAAATGGCTTATTCATCATGTAGAATGAATATTATGCATGTTCATTTCAAAAATTTGGTTTTAAAGACCATAACAATAAACAAACTTTTGGACATGATAAGATTTATTCTATAAATCAAACTCTTCAATAAACACATTTTTCATGTCCAAAAGAATTTTTTTTTTTCGGGACGGAGGGGGGGTGTTAATGTATTTAGGGACCTTGAAAATCGTATTTATCATTTAGAATGAAAACTATGGCTGTTCATTTTTAAAAGTTCGGTATGAAGGATCATAACACAATACACAAACTCTTGGACATGATAGATAGCCAAAGGTATTTGTGCTATAAATCCAACAGTAGTTCAATCTTTGAACATACTAAACTTGATTTTTAGGTCCTTAAATTAAGTTCACCCTTCCTAGTGGTGAATGTTTAGTGTCGATATCCTCTACTGCATTATTGTAAATTTATCTCCATTTTTAAAAAAAATTTAGCATGCGGGGAGGGGTAGCTGAAACATAGGAAAGGGCTGTTAAAAACGTAACCAAGACTTCAAAATCAAGCTATCTGTTTTCATGGATGCTGTTTATATGAAGTTTACAATTTAAATAGCTTACATCCCCAGTTTCAGTTATTTTGTTAACATGATTATGCAGATCTTATCTCGGGAATTTGCCTACAGTATTCATACATATCAGAATTTGAGGTCTTATACTTCTTTCTACTGTGATATACAATTTCCGAACACGAACTAATTATTAATCGTTATAAAAAAAAAAGACAATTTTTGCAAATATATTGAATTGGAATAATTTATGAATAATCCTGTCGCAAACACCGTGCACTTGCATGCTTGCCTAAAAGTAGCGTCCAACATTATGATGAGTGACAGTGAGTCGTCTCCAAAAATGTTTTATCATCCAAACTAATTAGACGATTAAATTAAAGTAATAATAATGATAAATTTGAGTTGAAATTTTTTCTCGTCAAAATCGATCTAATAACAGTCTTCTTGATATGCTTGCACTGTAACAAGTTTCCAGCATTCTTCGACAGAACTTCCTACCCCCATCATTCAAGTTTCAGGCTGTAGCAAGAAAAGTACTCTATGATGGTCAACTTAAATATTATAAGATTTAAACAAATTAGGTAATGAAATAAATTCAAGCCTTCTGATAAAAATATCGAGAATGTAAAAACTGGTATTGAAGGGGTACCCTTCAAAAAGGTGAACTGAAACATGTAGAGCTGCAATCATTGCAGCAAACCACAAACTTCAAAAGCCAAAGAACTGAACATTATCGATTAAATACTGCTAGTAACATGCAAAGCATCGAATTGGTCTAACATATTCAGCTCTCAGCACCCTCATCATCTCCTTCATAATCACCATCTTCATCAGCCGGAGCATCCTGGTACTGTTGATACTCAGCAACAAGGTCATTCATGTTGCTCTCAGCTTCAGTAAATTCCATCTCATCCATCCCTTCTCCAGTGTACCAGTGCAAGAAGGCTTTCCTTCTGAACATTGCTGTGAACTGCTCACTTACTCTCCTGAACATCTCTTGTATGGAAGTTGAATTACCAATAAAAGTTGAAGCCATAGAAAGACCTCTGGGTGGGATATCACATACACTAGACTTAACATTGTTGGGAATCCATTCAACAAAGTAGGAAGAGTTCTTGTTCTGCACAGTCATCATCTGTTCATCCACTTCTTTTGTGCTCATTTTGCCTCTGAACACTGCTGAGGCTGTTAGGTATCGGCCGTGGCGCGGATCAGCCGCACACATCATGTTCTTGGCATCCCACATCTGTTGTGTGAGTTCTGGGACAGAAAGTGCACGGTAGTTCTGTGATCCTCGAGATGTGAGGGGAGCAAAACCCACCATGAAGAAGTGAAGTCGAGGAAACGGAATCAAGTTCACTGCTAGCTTCCTCAGGTCTGAGTTGAGCTGACCCGGGAATCTTAAGCAACAAGTAACTCCACTCATTGTTGCTGATATCAAGTGATTCAAGTCTCCAACTGGAAGGAAATTAACAAGACATAGAATCCATCAAGAAGAGAAGGGAGAAAAGCAAAGTCCTTAATATGTAGTGCTTGCTCATGAAGATTGCCATAGGCCATAGCTATATAAATTAGGAAAATGTTTTGTTGACAACAAAATGGGACAACTAAAATTTGTCTCCTTTGGGGTGTATTTTCATATAAAAGTACGCGAGAGATAGGGATATTATATACTCTATTAGGTACAGGGTCAATTTTTAGATGTTCCAATAATGGATTAGATAAATTATATTATACTTACAGCTTGGTGTAGTGAGCTTGAGGGTCCTGAAGCAGATGTCATATAGTGCTTCATTATCAAGGACCATGCATTCATCAGCATTCTCCACCAACTGGTGAACAGAAAGAGTAGCATTGTATGGCTCAACAACTGTGTCTGAAACCTTTGGAGATGGAAACACAGAGAATGTGAGCATCATTCGATCAGGGTATTCCTCTCTGATCTTTGAAATCAGCAGTGTTCCCATTCCGGAACCTGTTCCCCCACCCAGGGAGTGGCACACTTGGAATCCTAAATTGAAAACCAAAAACATAAACATATAAATATCGCATTAAAAAAAAACCTAGATATATAATAAAAAATGGAATTTTCAGGTAATAATTGTCTCTTAACAAATATTTTGAAAGTTAAACAGATTCCTAGTCGTTCAACAATGTTTCATGTTTTGTTCAAGTGATAGTGAATCAAAATTACTATACCGAAGCACAATATTGCATATAACAAGAATCTGTGTATAATATATTTTTATAAAAAAATAAAAAAAAATTAATGCAATTCAATGCATTTAAATATTATAATTTTTAATAAAATTTATTGTATATAAATTTTTTATCATATCTGATGTTGCACCATTTGGTTTCTTTGTTTATTTTATTTTATTTTATTTCAACGGAACAGTGTCCCATGATGTTTGGTTATGTTTATTTTACCTTGCAAGCAATCACAATTCTCAACCTCCTTCCTAACAACATCAAGAACGGCATCAATAAGCTCAGCACCCTCGGTGTAATGACCCTTTGCGAAGTTGTTTCCGGCACCGGACTGGCCGAAAACGAAGTTGTCAGGTCGGAAAATCTGACCATAAGGGCCGGTTCGGGCAGCGTCCATGGTGCCAGGCTCAAGGTCCATGAGCACTGCACGTGGCACGTAACGTCCATTGCTACCCTCATTGTAATAAACGTTCACTCTTTCAAGCTGAAGTTCGGTGTTGCCTACGTACTGTCCTATGGGGTCAATGCCATGCTCATCACACACCACTTCCCAGAACTTTGATCCTATTTGGTTCCCACATTGCCCTCCCTGAATGTGAAGAATCTCACGCATTTTCTGTCTTGGATGAGGGGCAAAAGGGGAACTAAACTAACTCTTTTCAACTGTCACTGACTCTCCCTGCAAGGGCTTGAACTTGGACGAAGCAAAGGTAATTAGTTACATTTATAGTAATTGTAAATGAGTGCTCTTTGAAAATGAAGAGTGAGGATGAGAGGTTGTGGATGAGATCCCACGGTCAGGATTGCTCGTCTGCTAGGGAAACGAAGGTTCGGTTGCTTGGATGAATGAGGGAGAGCCATTTGTAAAACGCTATTTGCAACTTCGCCGGCTTAACAAGGCGGTTTCTATATTAATATTGCTTTGGAACATCACATTCTTCAAACAATTCAGTAATTGGAAACGCTTAAAAATTAATTTATATTTCACGTAATAACGAATATGATTAAAAATGTCATTTTGTACATCAACTAATATTATTTAACATGGTCTATACCAAACATCTATAACTACTTTTTAATTTATACAGAGTGTTTGGTATAGATATCTAAAACGTGTATTAAAATAGTATTAATTTTTTATATATTTTTATTTTTCTTGCTTTGTTTTGTGACAATATTTTTGTATGAAATAACATTACTGTATGTAATATTATATAGCATTTTCATTTTTTATTTTTTTATACATACATGACAAAAACACACTTCTAATATAAAGAAGTTTTTGGAAGTGCATTGAAAGATTTTTCATGGTAAATTAGAACTGAAGGACTCATTTGGAGTTTCTCTTGCCCTATCTCTTAGTGTAGTCTTATAGTAGAACATCAACATCATATTTTGACAATATCAAGGGTTATGCCATTTGAGGGACCTAAATGACGTTTTTTGTCTCTTTACATTCGAAAGTGACTGAAACTAAAGCTAAAAGAGAATTTTGGGGATGAAAGAGTTTAAAATAAAAGGGTGAAGTAAAAAAAGGATATTTTTGGTTGGTGGGTTGAGGGGTTGATGCCATCAAAGCGAGAAAATACTTGTATGCTAAGGCCAGCAGGTTCAACGACGTATACCAGGTCCAACTTCCTTCCTTTATTGGCTTCAACCCATCTAAAAACGGAACCTACAAAATATTATTTAGACGCAAAGTTCCCTTTCAGGAAGTTCCTTTCTCACCCGATTTCTTTGTTCAAATATATCAAAATCTCTTAGTCTAATATGCTAATAAAAATCTTATAAAAGGTTGCTTTTATGGACATTATAGTTTAGAGGGCAAAAACTTGACTTCTACTTTCTATTCCTCGAAACTAAATCAAGCCAGCAATTTTAAATAAGCGGCGACATTCTAGCAATAAATGAACCAACAGAAAAAAAAGAAGAAAACATTGAACATTTGTTCATTAAGCAGTATCCCTAATAGCAGCTGCTCCAATATTCTAGCTGATGGGTGCTTCTTTGGATTGATAAATGCCATTCGCTCAACTGAAAGACCATCCCAAAAATTCATATTGTTATAGAAATTTTTAAGAGAAGAATAATGAATGAGAGAGAGAGAGAGAACAAGGAGGAATCTAAACTAGAAAGTATTTATAATTTCAGTACATGATTTCTTGATAAATTAAGTGTCTGTTTGAAAATGCATTAAAAAAATCTGTAAACATAAATTTAATGCAAAAATAACAAGTAATTGCGTTGAAGTAAACATGGATTTATGCCAATTCAAATGTGAACCCAAATATACCATTTAAGTATCATACAGACACGCCAAGACAATGTGGGTAAAGAGAACTATACCACGCTACATTTTTACCTATGTCAGAAAGATAAATCCTAATTTTCCCATGAAAAGTTCAAGGGGACTTTGAGACTTCGATCTTGCTCAGCCATGTAATTGACACCAGCGTAGCAAAAAATTTCCCATTGAATTAGACCGTGTCCAAATCACCAAAGATGATTAAGAAGGAGAAGAGATCGTTCCAGTCTTAGAGAACAATTATGCTTAATATAGGGACATTTCAGTATGTGTCTATAGGTGTCATCCCACATTCTCAATCACCAATCCTGGCCATCTTTGAGTAGTTCAACAAGATTATGACCATCTGCGTGTGAACACACTTCACAAAGTTCTTGTTTTATGCATCATATGGTTGGCGGTTGCCTTGAAGAACATAGTGCTGGAGTTCATTCGTTTCATATTTATAGCATTGTTTGCAAGATTTGCATATACATATAGATGATTCGCAACAGTGTTGGCATTTCTAATGAACTAGATCTTGGATCAAAATATCCATTCTTTCTTGCAGACAATCAGCAGGTGCCATGCAGCTTAACCAGCCTATCTCCACTCTCCAGTAGCAACTACACAACATGCCCTCGGCTTGAATAAACAATCAAAACTCCCAATGATATCAAATCAAAGTATTACATCCACAGCAAACAGAAGGTCACAAATCTTTCCTTCTGTGCCAACACTTTCCTGCGAAGTACTATTAGCATGTAGGTTCTTCTTTGCTCTCCTATAAAGTTCTGCTTCAGCATATCTACCATTTCTCTCCAAACCAGCTACTAGTACATTATAAGTACCTAACACAGGACAAAATCCTTTGCTGCACATGATTTTGTAAAGTTCAAGTGCCTTTTTAACTCTTCTAACGGAGAAGTAAACACTAATTAAAGCAGTATAGGTGGCAGTGCATTTAAGGTTATCAGGTAATAGGTTGAAAATCTTCGTGGCAAAAGTTTGCTGCCTAGCACAACCAAGCCTATAGATCAAAAGTGAAGCCAGATAGATTCCAAGAGAATGCCCAGCTCTAGTCATTTCCTTGACAATTTCCACTAGTTTTGGAAACATGTTTGATCTAATCAGCAAGCCTAATAAGGACAGATATCCTGCTCTCTCAATATTTATTCCCATTGTCACACTGTACTGGAAAGCCATCAAAGCACCTTTGGGTCGACAATTACTACAATTTACCTCAATAATGGTTGAGACATCCTGACAATCTAAAGATATTTTCTTATCCATCATCCCTTCAAGCAAACGGTCAATAGCAATAACATTTTTATTTTTCAAGAGAACAAATAGAAGCTCTTTATCTATATTAGGAGGAGAATCTGCTGCAACTGTGACACTATCATTTGACTTTTTCCTTATGCTACAGTCCATATAAAATTGAGGATTGACTTTCCTTAGAAGGGTATCACTCTCCCCAACAATTTTTAAAGCTTCTAATGCTTCCACAAAAACAGGGTAACGAAGAACAAGATGGTTTTCTTTCATATACTGAAGGATTTGAGTCATGAACATAGTCCCACCAACTTTAGAACACCTCTCAATCAAAATATTGCAAGCAGCTTTATCAGGTTGCACTCCAGCTTCTTGCATCTTTTCAAATATCTCAAGGGCTTCTTTACATTTTCCTAAAATACACAAAACAAAAATAACCATCACTGCCTTCAACTTCATAATAAACAAAAGACAGTACAAGTCAGGATAGGTGATAAGCAGTAGCAAACAAATGAGATTGTTCCAAAAGTACACTGCATAGAAGCTACCATTCTAATTTGTTGAATTTTGTAAAGCCAAGCAATTTGTTCTTGATTTTGTAAATGATACAAGCAAAGCAAATACCTCATTTTAATTCTTTTCATTAAGACTGAGATTAGATGGTTCTCAGTAAGTCCTATGGTGGAACTAGCAAATGCAAATGTCAACAGGTTACTTAACCTCGGGCTGCTTCCAGCAAGTAAAACAACCCTTCTATCAAACTCGTAAAGCAAAGAATCCCGAGAGTTCAGATGGTATTCAAGTCCGTTTATCTATAAAAAGGTGGCATCACCAAAGGATATCATAAAAGAAACAATAAAAATTATACTTCTACATAATTTTTAACATCCACCATTTTATAACTAAAAAAGACAAGCAAAGAATGCCCTCGTACAAAATATAACAAACAGCTTAAAGGCACACTAACCAGACCCAATAAGATACTCCATTAGAATAGTGTAAGTGTGGCAATTTGGAGCAACGCCAGATCGAAGCATCTCCTTGTAAACATCAGTAGCCTCTTTCACTCTTTGATTATCAAACAGAATCTTTATATAAGCAGTGTAAGAAACAACGGTTGGGTAATATCCCTTGGACTTCATTTGTTCCCACATTTCCACAGCCTCATCCACATTCCCTGAACTCGAAAGCCAATGCATCATGGAAGTGTAGGTCACAGAATCAACCTTGATCCCTTTCTCTTGCATTTGGTGGAAAACGTGTTTCATGGAAGAAATTCTCCCAGCCTCTCCAAAAATATCGAGCATTGTAGTGTAAGTGTATTGGTCATGTTTGAAACCTCTAAGCCCAGAAGCCCAATTGAAGAACAACCACGCTTTCTCCATTGGAGGGTGGGATTTGAGAACCTGGTTCACCGTGTAAGAGTCCCATTTTACGGGGAGATTATTAAGCTCTTGTTCAGCGGATTCCCAAGTTGAAAACTTTAGCGTTTTGTAAATTTTCCCAATTACGTTCCTCATAAACTCTCTAGGAGAAGACGAATTGTTATTCTTCTTCTTCTTCTTCTCCTTCAATTTCACTGGTTTCTTCATGTTATTGTTGCTGCTGCGAAATGGAGTAATAGGTTTGTTGTTTTGTTTGGGTTGATGTCGATGTTGACGAAGGGAATGCATGCGTTTGGTGGAAGGAGAAGGAACAAGGTTTGTGAGGAATCCATGGAGCCTCGTTATTCTGCTTCTGCACATCGATCACACTGCAAAACTTTGATGCCATAGCCATGTTAAGCATTCAACCTTCATAATGGGCCGTCAATTTTGTGGACGGCCCAATGATTACAAGGTTAATCATAAATTGATGAAAGTTAATGCATTTAATTTAGGCATTTTTTTAATTATAATTAGAATGTTGTTTTACTAAAACGCAGAATAAAGTTCAGTTAATATTAATTAATTATTTCTATAAATTTTTTTAGTTCAAAATATATACTTGAAGTGTTACATGTAAATTTCGTCTTCGTATAAATTTATAAATTACACTAATTTTGTACTATAATAAACTTTTCTTATTTAGGAATTGGAGATTAAAAAAGTACTTTAAGTTAAAAATTAAAGTAATAATAATAAATAAATAAAGAAAAGCAAAAGAGATTTGGGGGTTTCTTGCACCGAGAGAAGCCCCCAGCCCTAAAGACTAATGTTAATGTTTTTAAAATTATATTAATCGTTGATTCAATTGTGATTCAAACTGATAACAATGATAAAATGTATATTTTTATGAGTATATAATATATTAAGTAGTAAATAAATATAAAAACAACATTGCATACAGTTTGTTTTGAATTAAAATTTATTTAAAAGTCCATTAAATAGATTAAAAATAATTTTAAATAAATCAATAAACTTAAATTTATCTGTAAATTAATGAACTTAAGTCTATAAATAGACCAATATGTATATAGCCTGAAAATGACAGTATAAAACTATTATTATTATTATTATTATGTTTGTTAACTTAATTTTTTTAATATCCTAAAATATAATTGTTTTAAACTTGATTAAATGTGAATTGAGTCGTAGGCTTCAACGAAGAATAGAGTTATGTATACCCTTAATTAGACCCATAAGTTACCATTTCAGAATTCCATTTCAAAATATGGAAAACAGGTTGCTACTTATTACATTCAGTGGTCATCCATGAAAATGCTTTCAGTATGTCACTTAATTAATTATTAATATAAGGTTAATAACACTTTCAATTTCATTAAAAGACATTACTAAATGAAAAGAATTTTAATTGAATTTAATGTAATGCAACTATACTATAGTATTTTCTTATTGGATACATTAACACGTGAAAACATGTCTTTTTCCCCCCTACACATTGGATAGATAAGAACAAAAGTTAAGGCCAATAACTCTCGTGCGTCAGAGGAGCAAGCTTGCATTTAAAATGTTCATATAATACAATACATGTACACTGTCACTCTGTTGCATTGATAAATTAAATAAATGTAAACAACATAAAATATAAGTTGCTTCAAAACTATATTGAGAGGTAAATAGTTTTCTAATTAACCTTGACCGTGTCATTCTTCAAAATCTGGGTAACACGTGCTTTTTAAGACCACATTTGGTCATACCTACTCAACTAATGCTTATTGGTTTAAATGATGAAAATAGCAAATTTTTTAAATAAGATTTGAAGTTTAAGACTTATCAATGAAAAGACACAGCAAGAATTTCAACATCTTAAATAAGTTTACCATATTCAAATTATATTAGTTTTAATCTAACATGTTTTTTTAACTTTCAGATATCAAGGATTTCAAACTAGTAGAAAATATTCTTCTCTATTCAGAAATTTTGAACCATTTTTAAACCCAAATCAAGCCATACTATAATATGTATATACTTTGTTTAAATTTTCATGCTTCGTTTGGTTCCATTTTTTTAAATTTTATTAATAATCCTATATATCACGTTAATTAAAAGCATGATAAACACAAAATATACATAATTAGTGTATAACAAGAACTTCATTACACTCTATTCCTAGCGAAAACTTTTTGTCTAACCTAAACATATTACAGATTGTGACAAATATGTCGACAGATACAATCAATGAAAATGTGTGTCCATAAATCCACAAAGTAACAGCTGATTGTCCGTTTTCAAAATCAGCTCTGATTATTGAGTTAATAAATAAATATATATATATATATATATATATATAATATTTTTCACTTATTTATTTATATTTTTAAAACATCATATGTTACATTTTATATATATATATAGTCCATCAGATTTATGTATACAAGCATAGAGTGGAACATTCTTGATCAAATTGGAAAGGATCGAAATAATTATACAGGACAACATCACAATCATTTCTCAAACCGTGCAAAAAAAAAATCATCATTTTTTCGGTACAATACTGTAATTATTTTCATGGGTGATGACACATTAATGCAATTAAAAATATTTAGATACAAAGGGCTTCCATACATTAAAAAAATATAATGACAAATAAAATTTAAACAGTTTTTTCTACAGTTTTTGAAGTATATAGTTTTAAAACAATAATAAATTAGAAGAAAACAATTTTGGAAATTTTAAAAATGTCAGTGATATGATTAATAAAAGAACATGTTAGTTAATTTTTGCTAAATGAAAAAGTTAAAATTAAGATAGCAAAAGTAGTGAATAAATTTATATGAGGAGAGTGATCAACCTGTAACATAATAAAAATTATATTAACATTTTATATCATCATAACTTTATTTTAATATCTACTTAAAAGTAAATGTTTTGAATTTTATCACGAAAAATGTTTATCTCTCTTCTTCGAAGCATGATTTTTCATTACTATTCATAATATGAAGGACAGATAAGAAAAGAAAAAGTTAAATTTTTTGTGCTAATTAGTTTATATAAAGTACATAATTAGTATATCAATTTTTTTAATATACGTCTAAACTACACACTATATAATTTTTTATTAAAATTATAAGACCTACTTTTTTTACAATATTAAATGTTATAATTTTTTTAATAAATAACTTATTATTTATTACTTTTTATTATATATTTTTAACAGAAATTAAAATAACCGTTAATATATTTGATAGTATAACACGTCAATACATTAACATAAACAGTATATGTAAAGTATATGTAAAGTATATGCTGAAACATAACAAGTAAGAAGGAAAAGGAATCCAATTCAGTGTGCAAACGCTATTATATTAATTTGTATTGCGAAGAATTACTTGGAGACTAGGACGGGGTGAAGGGAACAAAAACTATGCTATGTCTGGGATGGAAGAAGGAGTACACGCTGAAAAGAAAAAATGATTTAAATAATATTTTATAATGAAAAATCTTTAATTTTTTACAGTCCTTTTTCCCTTTACGGGGGAAAAGCTCTAGCTGTTCCCTCTGAATCCTTGTCCCTTCGAGTGTGATTGCTTTCATCATGTTTTGTCGTTGCAAGATTGAGAGTCTCTTACTATACTCTTGGGAAATAGAGAAATTCTTGAGTAAGACTAAGACCAGTGTCACCTGAATTTTTATGAAAACAATGCATGCCGATGCGTGTATATGTGGACATGTATACAATCATGTTTCAAATATTCGGCTTAACTTTTAAAACGATACATACTTGCTCTAATTATCGAAGAATCAGAAGTTGTTCTTGTTAATTCCTAGTCCTTCCTTGCTTCCAAGTTTTAACTGAAAATACATGCACTTATTTTGCCTTTTCACCTTATTTTCTTCATCTATCCTTTTCCCATAACACATACCAATCATATATAATCTTGATTTGTTTTAAGTCGTAAACAAGTTGCACGTTTTGCAGATTGGAAGAAAGAGTAGTTTGAAAGTTGGCATGATTCCACGACGGGTAGGCAAGAAGCCATATATGTGAATGATGAAGATTCACGGGGGTAACATTATGTTTGATATATATTCCGTTATGAAGATATATACCAAAAATAAAAAAGAACACATTAACTATGACATGACTAGTTGGGTAGATTGATGATATGTTAGTTATGGGGTTTGTTTTATTATAGTTTAAACGTACTAAAAGACGAGACATCCTTGGAGAAGAAAACATTCCCATACACATGGCTCCGAACTCTCGCCATTGACTAATTGGAGCTGAAGCCTAGAGGACAGAACAGTTTAAGGGGCCAATACCAAAGTTTTGACTAGCTAGGTGGGTGGTTTTGGTTTGGTTTTCCCTAGCCAGAAATGACAACTGATTAGGGCTTTTATTGGCACAGCAGTGGTAAGAAAATGCACAACATTACAGACTCACAGTAGATAGTGGATGCATTGTTCTGTAGTTTGCATGGTACTCTCATTACATATTTTGCATGCACATCTCATAAATAACAGACATACAAATAGTAGGGATTCAGAATTTGCAGGATGTAGGCCCTCTACCCAACGAAAAGCTAGAAATAATTAATCAATTATAGCTTTCAAATTCTATATCAGCCGTGACAGACTTGCTCACTAACTCGAGAATTGAGTCATTCCTTCATAATGACCAAGGGGTTATACCTAAGAGGCAAACAGTGTGAGAGAGAGACAGAGGTAGATGCAAACCAAGCCAAGCCACGCACAGAGAGGACATGGACAGATTTGCTTATTACAGTACAACCCCTCCTTGATCAATTTAATCCAATAAATGGGTCTGGACCATGCAAAGAAGATTCCAAATGGGTGGTAACATGCAGTAATTTTTCTAATTTCCTACCTCCACCCTCAAGGGTGTAAATTTATGATCATGTCTGGCTTCCATATAGCTATCGGATTTCATCATAATTACATACGCAACTCCTCAAAACTTTGGTTTATATATTCCTTATTATTAATTTATTTACTTAATGTAACACGTAAATTATTTTAATTTAACTAGTGGGAATCAAAATACAAATGTTGTGGAACATAAGGCGGTGAAAAATGAAGATTTGAGAGAGAGAAATCCGTACAGTAGATCTGCAGAGGGGGTGGGAGAGAGAGAGAGGGGATGGACAGCATATTAGACAAAGAAAAGGTTAAGAAGGAGCAGAGAGGGAGAGAGGGGCAGTTCGGATTGAGAATTAGTGTGAAAGGCACGAGACGTGAAGAGAACAATAAATGAGAGAAGGGAAAAGAGAAGGGGTGATGAGGCTCATGATAACCCTCATGATCGTCACGTCGTTTTTCATTCGCTACTCCCAAAAATCTCCCAGAATTCCACGCTTCCTCACTGACTCCCTTCTTTGCTTTTCTTTTTTGCCTTTGTCCTCTCTCCCATTTTCTCTCTCTAAATAGCCTAGTCAACCTCATGTCCCCCTCACTTTGTCCCATATTAAACCAACACCATTCTCTCTCTCTCTCTCCCCCCATATGCTAGTGAGAGAGTGATCAATCCCCATCTCTGAATGTCTCAGACACAAAATACTTCACAGTTTCAGCTTCAACTAACTCACTTTCAACCATGGCCTTCACTTCTTTGTTAGCATCAACCTATGCCATATATAAGCCTTGTCTACTTTTCATTTCAAGTAGCTAGGCGTTACCATTTTTTGGGCCACCTTCACATCACAATCTTGCATGCTCTACCCTACACACACACCCAACCCCAACCATCCTTTTTATTTTTCTCTCCATTCTAGTACTCCACCATTTCAATTCCCACTACCCAACTCACAACCAAAGAAAATTCCATCAAAGCACTCCCACTTTTCCTTTCCATTCCCCTTAATTATTACATATCTTTCACTTCATTGCTTTCTTATACTATATATAGCTGCTAGGTTCATTCTGCTGTTTATAAAGCCTTTTCCACCTACCATCACCCCAGCACTGAACACGCTGAGTGAAAAAAAGAAACCCTAGCTTTTGGTTTTTATCAAGTCCTGCAGCAATGTGGATGGTAGGTTATAATGAAGGAGGCGAATTCAACATGGCTGATTATGCATTCAATGGAAGAAAACTCAGGCCTCTCATGCCAAGGCCAGTTACTTCTCCCAACAACACTTCAACCACAAACACTCCTTGTTTGAGCCGGATTCATCATGGCAACGATTTCTTCTCACAATATCACAATCTGGGTATGCTGTTTTTGTCTCCAGTTTTTGCATGTGCTTGTCATGTTATGCATGTGAGACATGGTGTGTAAAAAGTTTCTTGTTTTAGCATCAGTGGCTGAGCAAGGGAAGAGAGAGTTCAACACCCCACCGGTTGTGGTGAGTTCAAGGTGGAATCCAACCCCGGAACAGCTTAGAGCATTGGAGGAATTGTACAGAAGAGGAACAAGAACACCATCTGCGGAGCAAATCCAGCAAATCACGGCACAGCTTAGGAGGTTTGGAAAAATTGAAGGGAAGAATGTTTTCTATTGGTTTCAGAATCACAAAGCAAGAGAAAGGCAAAAACGCCGCCGTCAAATGGAATCAGCTGCCGAGGGTCATCACACCCGTGACTTTGATAGTACTCTTGAAAAGAAAGATTTGGGTAAATAAAAACCACATAGCATAACATAACATAATTATCTCCATATATAATTGTTTCTTTGTATAAAAAAGACAAAAAAAAAAAAAAAGGAGGTTCTGATGCCTCTGTTTTGTAATGCATGGCTAATGGCTCCTTCTTTTTTTTATTTTTTTACAATTGAGTTTGGTTTGGTGTAGATCCGTATTACTATTACATGTGTTGCTTCTTTTTTTTTCTCATTAGGATTGTTGCTTGAGATGGATGTAAAGTTATATTCTTTTTTGTTTTTCTTTTTGTCTGCAGGCGCAAGTAGGACAGTGTTTGAAGTTGAACAGACCAAGAACTGGGCACCCTCTACAAACTGCAGTACTCTTGCAGAGGTCTATTATTCTATATCCTGCTTTGTCTTTGTCCTTGTTCATGGACTAATCCTTTTTCTTTCATTTTTTTTCTCAACTTGGGATTCACTTAATCGCCAAAAGTCTTTAAGGAATATATACTTTAAGGATCCATTAAGCAAACTGATTAATTATTTGCATATGATTACTAGAGAATCATGTTGATGTTGGAAACGTTATAGAAAGAAAGATATGCACTAGCTAGTAGCTAGCTAGAGAAAGGACCCTAACAAAAGCTTTGTTTGTTGGGAAATGAAAAGGGCCTAAAAGCTGCATTCCTTCCTTTCTGTCGGGGCTGCTGTTATGAAACTTAGCTGGGCTTTTGGGGCTTGTGCATATTCATGTCATTTAGGCCAGTAGCTTTTGGACAACTCCATAATATTCTATGGAATTGAGCACCCATATTGATGGTGGAAAAGACAACTCTCACCCTACTTTAATTTGACTTCTCAGACCATGTACCTTTATTTGAAAATACAAACTTGGAGTGTGCCCATTTGAAAACTGTGCACTCCCAATGCCTTTTTTACCTGTGGTTTTTTGGTTTTTTACCACACATGTTGAGGTTTTCATGAGTTTGCATGCCCTTTATTTAAATTCCTCAGGAATCTGTTTCAATACAAAGGGCAGCAAAAGCAGCGGTTGCAGATAGTAGAACAGATGGATGGCTCCAATTCGATGAAGGAGAATTACAACAAAGAAGAAACTTTATGGAAAGGAATGCCACGTGGCATATGATGCAGTTATCTTGTCCTTCTCCTCCTACAGTTACACCCCACCTCATAAACACACCTCCTATTATCTCTACTACTAGCATGGCCACCACAACCACAGTAACAGCAAGAGTAATGGACCCAAAACTCATTAAGAACCATGATCTCAGCTTCTTTATCTCTCCTCACAGAGAAAATGGTATTATACACTTAAGCAGTATCAACACTCAGGATGCTAATTGTGTGGAATCTCAAACCCTTCAGCTTTTCCCAACAAGGAATGGGGATGAAAGCAGCGATAACATTAACCAACAGAAAGAGACAGACACATCAGTTTCAGCAATGAATGCTCCCAGCCAGTTTTTTGAGTTCCTTCCATTGAAGAACTGATTAGAGATAAAAAAAAAACAAAAAAAAACTTGCTGTGTATGTAAAATGATGGGGCTGTGTTTACATATTGTATTTTGTTGGAAAATAGCACTATTGTTATTGTTATTGATGTTAAGTTTCAAGAAATTGGTGCTGTAATAGGACACTCAGTTTGAATGAGGTATTTTGCCTTAAAATGCATTTGGACTATGTTGGTTGAATCAAAAAGAGTATTTAAATCTAAGGGGTTTAGTTTTTATAGGCCTTATTTAAGTAACTTGATATATATGTATACATGTTGCTTCTGATATGAAGAGAGAAACGGGAAAGGGAATGGGGGAAGGGAGGGATGACTTAAATAAAGAATGTATAAGGAATTTGATGTGAGGGTTTGATTTGAGACATAGTATCCGAAATGGGAATAAGATGTGACAGACTAGGATGTTGAAGTAACTATGAGCATGGGTTGGAGAATTATTTTGTACTTTTGTTGCATACCTGGAAAAAATGCTGTTTCATTATGCTGTACATTACAATCAATGTTTCTGGTGGAGTAAACTCTGTAGTCCAATTTATGACATTAAAGAAATCACATCAATGCACCAAATTGGGGAACAGCGGGTGCATTTAAAGTAAAGTTCATGAATTCAAATGAAAGATGATTTAAATTACACTGGCAAGTTTTAATACATGCTGTGTTTATTATTATTATTATTATTCATTTCCGAGTTAAATAGTAATGCTTTTATAGTCAGTAGAATTTGAGCTTTACGAAGAGTATATCCACGTATCATCCTTCAACAGCGACAATATACTGAGTGTAAGAATTGTAACATGAAATATAGTTTGTCCATGTACTACTTTGTTAGTTAAAAGTGCTCGTTATAACTTGTCTATATTCCAAACCTCTACCAAGGCTAACCATCTAAAGCTACACAACACTTCTTGAACTTGATTATATTTGTTTGTATACACAGTTGAAATATTATTTCTCTTGAATAAATTAAGATACAAGAAGTGCCTTATTTGCTCACAGTATGAATTCTGAGACATTAATACAAGACACTAATCAACACAACATAAAATTTATTCGCTTTATTTATTTATGAAAAAGATTGACTAATTTTTAATATATTGCAAGAGAAATAAGAAAAGAAAGTCCAATGTAAATATGAAACACCTAACATACAACAAATCCTGATGATTGTTTCATCATCAATGGGTATAGCTGAACCTGTCACCATTTGCCTAGCTGTATCTTAAGGTATAGCTTATTACATTAGGGTATGATCCATTCCACCTTTCAAAATCCTTAAGGGCTAAGATTAGGACGTGTCACTCAAGAGGCGTCAAGCATCACCAGGGTAAAAGAAGGCCAAAATATTCCCTCTGCAGCCATTGAAGCCGTGAGTGGGGGACCATAATTTAAACAATATGCATGCACTAGAAGTTTCACAAATTGGACCATATATTTGCATGTTTCGTTTATAGGCCCAGATTTAAACCATATGATATCATTAATGATAGTTTCATCTATACGTTTATCAATCATAACACTCGGATTTGGCATTATATAATCAGTTTTGTTAGGAAAGAAAAAATTGTGAAACATCAGAAGCATGTTGGCAATGGCTACTTAAACAATAGAATATTTTTCTGCTGTTTGTTTTTTGCTGAGTCTTTTAAAGTAAAAATGAACTTTTGAAGTGGAGGATGATTTCATCCACACTGAAACGCCAAATATGTTTTGTTGCTATTCACCAATCACCAAGCCATGGCGTATAATAGGGGAATGAAAAGAGATTGGGTAACATAACAAAGTGTGAATTTGATTATAATATCTTGAGATACAGATCAGTGATCACGGGTGGTATTTTGTGGGTGCAAAATAACTGTAATAATAGTTTGTATAAAAGGGTAATTTCCAAGCTGGTTTTTCTCTGTTCCTCACCTACCTATTTGGTACTCTCTTAGTCCCTACAGCATCTAGTTCACTGCTGCGAAAACAAAAATCCAAGCCAGCCAGAGATCCATCGCTATAAAAGCAAAGTCCACAAACAATAGGGACTCAGAGAGAATACATTTTCTTTTGTTGCTTTGTCTGTTTCATATGCTCCCATTTAATTTAATTCAAATAGCCATTCAACTCAACTCCATGCATTGCTTTGTCTGTTTCATATGCTCCCATTTTCTTGTTTGTGAGATTCTAGTACTCTCAAATTATTGCATTTCATTTCTGGGCTCGATTATGACCCACTTCTATGTGAGGCATCTAATCTTACATTTTCAGTTGGGCTAAGTAGCATGACCAAAAACGAGTTGGGCCATTCTTCAACCTTTGTAGCATAATCAAACTTCATTACGTTAGCAATTTTTTTATAACAATAAATATGAGAAATTTTGGATAATTATTTAATTAAGTTCATCATATTGTGTAATAAAGGCAAAATAATAAAAATATGAAATATTTACCTGGTCATTCATCGTATATATAAAACATTTTCCAAAGTTTTTTTTGCCTTATTATACACATGTTTACTGAGAAACAAAATGATTATATAATTTTTTTTTTCTTGTCAATGCTATTAAACAAGTATATTTATTTTGAAAATAAAAAACGAGGGTTAGCCATTAATATAACAACGCATTTAATCTGCTTTGCCATAGGCTATGATGACTTTTGCTAAAGTTTATAAAAGTTACCGAACGTTAAGTAACCGTTGATAAAAGTTCTTCAAAACGGAATAGTGTAACATTGACAACATATGAAAAGCATTTTCGGTTTTTCTATTTCAACTTTTCTTTGACTACTGTGACTTTTTGGTTTGAACTTGGGTAAGATTATTATTGCTAATATTATTATTGATATTTTAGGGATGCTACAAATTGAGCATCAATTTAGGGCTAATTATGAACAAGAAGTTACATGTGATTGGCATATTTGACTTTCTGGACACAAGTAGCTGAAGAGAAAGTTGTTGTTCCCAATATTTTTCTTTTACCTCAAACAGTATAAGACTTACATGTGTTAACACTGTGCAGGCTTCATCTTGTGCCATTGCCTTTTTGCCTTGAGCACTGTCTAATTTCTCTTTAACTTAACCTTTTATTTAATAATAATTTCTGCCTCAATGAGTATAAAATCAATTTTATTCACTAATAATTTACCAGTAGATCTCTGTAACCCCTGCAAAGTAAACGACAACAATTTCAATATGATAGAGTCTATGCGTCACAACTCACAACTCGAACTATTAAACGACAAAACTATAATGTATGTGTTGACGTGCTGTTTCGGCATTGTGTAACACAAAATCATCCTAACCGTACAACCCACCTCATTCCAAGATTTTCACCGACTGAACCGGACAGTGTGACGAACGTGCATGCATGAGCGCGTGCCATTCCTATCTGATTTGTACCAGACATTAGACTCAGCGCTCAATGTTTTGTTCTGTACATTGTAGGAGACTCCATGTAACTATTTTCTCACGCGCCTTTCCAAAATTCTTAATTTCAAATATTCTGTACATTAAGTAATCTTTTGAAAATATTAGTGGTTTTTTAAATTATAAACAAATTTGTTAGTTTACTTTATTTTATAATTTTAATATAATTTAACTTTATTTTCAAACAGGAATATCCAAAATAATTTCAATGTTTTGAAGTGAAAAATTAAGGACCTAAAGAGAGAATGCATTGATTTCATACTACCAACGTTAGTAGCAATAAAATGCAGTATTTTCATAGATTATAAAACTGAGTTCTAAAAAAATTATTTTTATAAATTATATTTTAAAATAAATATAAATAACATACTTTTTGTTAATTTTTTAAAGTATATTTATAATAAAATTAATTTAATAAAAAGTTATTATAATTTATTTAAAGTTATTAACTTAAATTATACGATTTAACTTGACATGAACAGCGAATATATATTAAGTCGTGTTTTACAGATTCATAATTATTTAAATTTTTAAAATAACAGTTCAAACTTTATTTTATGTGAGTTTGAATATATAATAAATTTAATTCAACAAACTCAAACACATCAAAATTCAATTTCATCTTATTTAAATGTATCAAAAAACTTTTTTTGACACTCCAAGTCCAGATAAATTTATAGAGAAATAATTATAAAAATATAAAAAATAAATAATCTTTTTATTAATTAAAAATAATTCATGTTTGTCTATTTTTTTAGTTTTCTCTTAGATTTCTGTAAAATTTGAAAATATAATTTGTTTAACTTATAAAATAATTTTTGTTATTTCTAATATACTGTTCATCTTAAACTAAAGTCATCTGCTGCTTTTGAATGATTGCTTGCATAACTTCTGTTGATCCTTATTCACAACTCTATTGTCATCCCATGCCATTTCCATTATTTTCCTTCCAACAAAGGGAGTGCTACTTTGAAATTTGAGCATTGTATCTAACAATAAACACATATAAGAATGATATAATAATAATCTATGAAGCAAGAAACACAAGTTGAAAATTAGAAAAACACAAACCCAGATAAAGTATTAAAAAATCTGCTTTTTGTTTTTGTGGTTTCTCTTTTATCTTGTTCCAATAACTTCATTCATTGAAGTTTTCGTTAACAATGCCTTTGTCCATCATCTTGTTGACCTTAGCTGTAGATAAGATGCAAAGGGAGAACAAATGGATTTAATTTTTAAACCCACTCAGAATGTTCAACAAACTTAAATTTAAGTTTTTAAACATAAAAGGAAGACAATAGTATTTGAGAAATTAAAAGGAGAAGCGTGTATTAGAAGCTCTAATAAAAAGAAAGCTATCGGGTAAAATTGAAGGACAAATAATCAGTGGGTTGCAGTTCACTAGACAAATTTAATATAACTAGGAGTTTTACATAGAGTTAAGATTAAGGTAAACGTTAACAATTAAAATATTAGTTAATAAATAAAAATATATATATTTTAGAAACATGATTTTTATAAATTTTAATGTAGTACAGCATAATTTTATTATTTTTAAATTTTTAACTAATATTCTTAAGACACTGGATAGCAATACTTAAATTTAAACAAAAAATAATAATTTTATTATTAAATTTTTTTTATTATCTAAAAACTATAAAAATTTGATAATCTTTTATTTTTATTTATTATAATTTTACTATCGTCATATAATTACACTTAAAAGTGTTTTTAACTTTAATTAACTTAATTTTGAATAAAAAATTTATCTGATCCAATTATAAAATTAAGATTTATAGTTGTGATATCCCATGAACAAATGAAGGAGGAAGTAGGCTGGGTATGTTCTAATTTTAGGCGCTGCTTAGGATGGGGAGTAATGGCTGGTGTAATGAGGTGAGAAGTGGTTTTTAGCATATTTTCAGCAGAACAAGCACGTGAATGAGTAGAATATGTAACAAAATAAGAAGAATTTAAAAACGGCATAGGTACAAGATTACACAATTAAAGATAATTTAGAAGAATTGATTAGCACTACTTATATTAACAAAATGTTTTTATTTTTTAAAAAATATAATATAATATAATTAAATGTGATTTGGATTGATTGAATAGTTGATTTCTTACAAATTTTAATTGAATTAAAAATTAACAAATAAAATATTTTTTGTTAGCAAAATTAATAACTATAATATAATTAGTATAGTTAATGATTTTATAAAATATTTAGGAAATAAGAATGCATGACACAATTTATTTTTCAAAAAACAATGACTCAATGTTTGTTTGTTTATTTTGTTCCTTTTTCAATCTCAACATGATGTTATCACGTTGTGAATATCCTGTTTCCAGTGGCAGGTACAGTGTTGGAAAAGATTCTGAGAGAGTTAATGAGATTTACGTGGAAAAAAGAAGGGGAGTTTTTGGAATGGGTTGGGAGTGGTTTGCACTTATGAGAGAGCATAATCGATGAGGCATCTCTATATTCTATCTATTGTTCTGAAATGAGGACAAACCTTCCCTTCCCCACTCCCTCTCTTCTCTCTCACTGACAGTTCTACCTCGGGACCTGACCATTAACCAAAACCATTTTCCATTTCTCCCAAATCACACCCTTCTATATACTCAACGGCCTCTTCTCTCTTCATAGTTTTCATGTGGGGTTAAGGTTAAAAAAGAAACACTAGAAAGAAACTTGACAGCAGTGACTCAGTGAGAGTGAGTGAGGAAGCCCATTTTTGCACTTTATAAAAGCTGTCGTTGCTCATTTTATTCAACATAATACATATTCCTACAGGGCCCGCATTTCAACCCACTTCATTCATTCACTCGTTATTTACTCTGTACCAATCAAACCCAAAACCCCATCATTTCTCTCTATAAAAAGCCAACCCTTTGCTCCACTTACTAATAAGCAAAACAGGGAGGACATAGCCCAAGCCCAGCCCACTCCATCCTCCTCCATGGCCTCAATGCCCGGACTCCTTCTCACCGCTCTCTTCCTCAGCACCATCCTCCTCTCCTACATTCCAGGTACTGTTCTCTCATTCCCTCTCGCACACATTCTTAACCTTAAAAAACATTGCTTTGTTTCTATGGGATCTACTTGAAAAGATGAAACCAAAGATCAATGTGTGTTGTTCGTTGATGTGAACAGTGATAAAGGTTTCAGCAGCATCAGTAATACTATACAACAAATGCCAGTACCCAGTGTGGCCCGGGATCCAGCCCGGCGCTGGAAAGCCCGTTCTGGCCCGTGGAGGCTTTAAGCTTCCACCAAACAAGGCTTACTCTCTTCAACTCCCGGCCCTGTGGTCGGGCCGCTTCTGGGGCCGCCATGGCTGCACCTTCGACGCCTCTGGACGCGGTCGATGCGCCACCGGAGACTGCGGCGGTTCCCTCTTCTGCAACGGCATCGGCGGAACCCCGCCGGCCACCCTCGCGGAGTTCACCCTGGGCAACGACCAAGACTTCTACGACGTGAGCCTCGTCGACGGTTACAACCTCCCCATCTCCATCACCCCTTTCAAGGGATCTGGTAAGTGCAGTTACGCGGGCTGCGTCAGCGACCTCAACACCATGTGCCCAGTGGGCCTGCAGGTGCGATCACGCGACAAGAAGCGCGTGGTCGCTTGCAAGAGCGCTTGCTCAGCTTTTAACTCCCCCAGGTACTGTTGCACTGGTCCCTATGGAAGCCCACAGGCCTGCAGGCCCACGGCCTATTCCAGGATCTTCAAGACCGCGTGCCCTAAGGCTTACTCCTATGCCTATGATGACCCCACCAGCATTGCTACTTGCACTAGAGCTAACTATTTGGTCACTTTCTGCCCCCATCATCGCTGAACCCAACTATTCATCCATCGTCTTAATTAGCTAGCTAGGCTTATATTATAATATTTTAATATTTTACATTTCATTCCTTACTTTGGTATCACACTTTTGTGCTTATGGGTATTAGATATTTTGTAATGTTTTCCTCTGTATGACAATTGATATTGTATGGTAGTTGAGCTTTGGTTCTTATTAAGTATTCACGGGGCTAGTGGGCTTGGACAATCTTGGATCTATCTATAATCTATGCTATGTGACGGGAATGGTGTGGCACAATGGAAGGTCTTGGTTTTACGGGTTATATAATTGGATATTACCCTTTTTTTGTGAAGGTGCGTTAAGGGTGCCACATTGGCATTATATCATTAATCTCCATCCATTCTGTTTTTATTTCCACATGCGTGTAATGGATTCGTACGTTTATTCATCGCTAATAGGTTCATGATTTTGTCTATTTCGCAAATGCGATGCCAATTTGTCTACTTGGCATGAGAGCCGATACTTATGATATACATGGATTTTGCACACTCTCACCTTAAATATATTATCTTCGCATTATAATAAACGGAACTAAACATATGGATATCATGAATCCTTTTCTGTTTGGACCTTGGACTCAATCTAGCTTCAGATTCTTAATGTACCCTACCTCCAGAATTGGATAAAGAACTTGAGGAATTGTAGATCGATGCCCTCAACGTCGAAAGCAACGTCTAGTTATTAAAATCTAGTGAGTTTATAGTTGAACATTTGTACACATTAAGCTTAAGGTTTAAGCATAATAAAATTCAAACAAATTAATGTTAATTGAGATGAGTGCTTAAATTAATCTAAGTCATTTATTTTCATGAAAAAGTGTAAGACTTCATGAAAAAGTGCTTAAATTAATTTTAAAACAAAAGGCGTCTTCAACTGTTCTTTTGATAATAACTAGATAGTTAATTACGGCTGATTTTAAGGAGCAGAACAGTGTAGTTGTGATTGTCTGTTAAAGTTCTTAGTTCCTTTCCATGAGATGCTGGTAATGCCTGTCGGTAATGGTTGTTCCTCAATTAGAAGAAATGTTTAGTTTACCTTGCTAGAGCAACCTGATAGTTCAAAGCATTATTAAGCTTTAAGTTGAATTATCTATCATAATTTGTTAGACCCTGCAAATTTTTAGTAGTGGAAAAACCCCTTAAAACACTGTCACATGGTTATAAAACTTTTATTAAAAGTTAAATCACAGCTTTTATTTTGCCATTAGTCTGTTCCTAGTTGTTCTCAAGAATTTTATTATGTGGGATCTTTCCCATATATGCCACCCATCGCCTTTGTTGTCAGAGAAACGGTGAAATGTGACTTCATTCGATTTGAGAACACACTGACTCAACATTTTAATTCTTACATATATACCTTTGATATTGAGTGACTTTGTCCAATTCTCGGGCACAAGAAAAAGTAAAGTCAGTTGATAATGCTGGATATATTCTCTCTGTTCATTAAGTAGTATATATCGTGAGTTCAAACATATTGTGTAGGACGACATCTACTAACTACAGAGGCATCTCTAAAGTAAAGAAGCAGTGTTTGATGATGTTGATGAACTATAGCAATTATAACTAATAGCAGGAGCCTATTATTGGTTTAGTGCTGATAGTAGGATCATTGTAACAAGGAATGGACGTAGGTGCTATATCGGATTCTAAATCGACTAAACTGAGCATGGCTTATGCTGCAGAAAACGGTAAAAGAGCAAGGAATTGTATCAATTGCTTTCCACCACATCTGAGTTTAATTAACTTGAGCATTCCTGGACACAAGCACACCAACTTCGGCATAAAACAACCACAAAACTTAGCTCTAAACTTCAGCATCACCACTGCTTTTGCTGTCAAAATGTCTGTCCTAAATATCTCACAATATAGCACTCCTTTGATTTAACCTTGAAATCCATGTTTAATCCTACCAGATTCAATTATTTAAATGTATTTGTCACCAAACTGGCTTTTAGAGCTACAATGAAATAAACCAACTTAACCAGAGTTTGGAAAAGTGCATGTTCTTCTCATTAATGATTGGTTAATTTTTATTAACGTGATTAAGATGTTGTGAACCCCTTACTAATATTGTCGCGTGACACAAATATTTTCAGTTTTAATCAACTTGTATAATCTTTTCTTAAAAAAATAACAGTTCAGAAAAAAAGGAAGTTTTATGAGATCAATGGAGGCTCAAGAGTTTTTAGGACCTAAAGCAAATTTAAAAAAGAGACTTTTTTATTAATAAAATAATTTATTATTATTATTTAAAAATTATAGTTCATTAAATATTATTTGTAAAATTTTCTATATGCTTAGTAATTAAAAAGGTTTGATATTTTTTCCGTAAATCAATTATTACTATTAATCTTATGTTAATAGAAAGTGAAATTAGTAGTTTAATTGAAAAAGATGTTAAATATTTTATAATTTTTAAAACATCTAATAAATTAGATTTGTCTGTCTAAAAAGGATATACTCTTAAATTTAAGTATCATAGCAAACACTTTATTTTTTCCCACTAAAGTCATTAGTTTGGGGCCGGCTCAAAAGATGGGCCTGATATTGGGCCCAATAAACACGAATAGTAATGGACTCCATTTGAGTATCGTCCTCCTGCGAAGTTCTATGATTAATGAACTGATGGACCCTCGTCATAAAAGCTTACAGTGGAGCTCGTGGGTTTCAATCCATGATTGAAGTTGTCCCTTTTCTTCTTGACAAAAAATAAATAAAATCCCCTTTTCCTTTTGAAGATAAATTATATTCATACAATAAAAATATACAATATTTTATATAAATAAGAACAAAATAAAATAAATAACGTGACCAAAAATGTTATATGAATTATACCAAATATTAAATCAGTTTTTAGGACTGTTTTTGAGTAATTAAATGTGATACAATTTGATTAAAATCATTTATTATATTAAGAATATAAAAGTAAAGATGTAAAGATCTAAGTTATTTAAGTTTGGTTTATAAAATATTTAATAAATTTGCTTATTTATTTAATCAAACAAGTTTAAAATTTAAAATTAAGCTCAGTCAAACTCAAACTTTGTAAATTTAACCCTATTAATTGTAATTATTATCATTTTATATACACATGATAATATTTTACATAATTCCAAAAATTAAGATTTGAGTTCAAACAAATGATCGTAATATATATAAAAAAAATACCAGTTTTACAATAATTTTTTTAATTCAAAGATATTTCTATATAAGTGAAATTATATTTTATTTTATTTTATTTTACTTTTTAGCATTAAGATATTTATTAAATACTAAACTGATATCTAAAATTGTTAAAAAAATAAATAATAAATCAAATTTAAGTTTTAAATTTAACTTATTTTTAAAAAATGAGGCAGGTAAAGTTGAAATTCAAATATTCAATTTGAAAACTCTCCATTTTGAAACTAACAGATTTTATTTTATTTTTGAAAAATCAGATGAAAGTAAAATATTTATTTTCAGGTATGTCTGCTGTCATTTTAAAATAATTATCAAAACTTTAATTTAGTTTTATATATTCATTAATAATAAAAATATTAAAATAAAAGTAATACGAGAGTGACGCTACTATCCTTTTCACTGTTGAAGTTAGAACCGCGTTCAAACCGTGTTCTTACCCCCCGTGTGGACCCACTTTAAAAGGGTCCACAAATAATTTACTAATAAAATTAAAAACAAAACGCAAGTGCACACCGAACGCAAAACCACCTCTACAATTTCCTGGATTACCACCTACGAACCCCCTTGTCGTCGGCTACCCGTAACTCTCCAATAAATTGACACATTCAAATATCCAAATCATAATATTAATTTATAATAATATTCAAATATAATTCTAATACGTTATTACGTTATTATCTCACTATTATTTATGACACTTCACTTCAATGATAGATAGATAGCTCACCAAAATGAAAAAAACTTGTACGATACCGTCTTGAAAGTTGTTACTTAGAGTGATTATGTTGTGGGATTGAAAACTACAAGTTATCGGATATGAATTCTCTCTCACTGTAGAAAACTAGGTAGGTGAAATCATGGAGGAAGTGCCAATGGGAGCTTCTAAGGTCAATATTGAGTAGTATGTAAAAGGGGATGCAATGACAGTTGTAGAGAATGCTCGAATTTACCGTCAAAGTTTGTGTCTTGGGTGTGAATTTTCCTCAGATAGAGAAGCTTTCTCAGTTGGGTGTTGTTGAATTATTTAACACAGTTGTTGCTCCTTCTGTTGATCCATGGTGGAGGCGTTAGAGAGGAGGGAGACTGTGGAGTCAAAGGAGCTGTGGAGGTAGAAGAAATTCAATAGCATTACAAGGGACAGTTTCAAAATTTTAGTACAATTAAACCTAAAAACTATCATAAACGTGACTTTAAAAATAGTTATTATAAAAATTAATAATTCTCAATCACATATATATCACAATTTATAATTAAATAATAATCTAACAAATCTTTACTCTATTGATATATATATTTTTAATTAAATTTATTTTTTAATTTTTTACAATAGAGATATAGAAAAGGAATAATAATAATAATAATAATAATAATGATGGAAACCAGTCGAACTTGTATCTTCAGATTTCATGCTTTATAGTTAATCAATTGAATTGATTTAAAGAAACAATTATTACATCTTTTAACTGGCTACTGTCAAACACTTACTCTTAGTTTGTCCTCATTGTCATAAGTTGTTTTCTTTTTGGGTTGATTTGTAAGCTATTGTCGTTTTATCTTCTTTTTGTGAGATACTATGTTTGGCATTGTCTTTACTTTTAGAAAGGGGGCTGGATTAAAATGTTTAATTGGAGCAGAAAATACATAAGTGCCCGTTTGGATATTACTTCAATATATTATTTTCAATCATGTTTCACAATAGGAAATTGATTGTACATAAAAGCATATTCATTTAATTGTAAAATCATCTTTGTGGTTGGTTAAGTGTTTTATTGGACACATCAAAATTAATTTCTAAAATACCAATTAACAGTTGAAGTATTTGCTGCAAAATTTATATGGCACAATATATAAAAGTGATTATTATTATTATGATGGCTATATTAGTGTTCTTCCCTACTTTACACTGAGACAAGCCTTCTCTCAATATATAATTTTAAAAGTTATTTATTAAGAGAATATTAATTTAAAATTGCTTGCTTAACTGAATTAATTTAACTATTTTTTTAAAAAGCAGAAAAATCAAATACATAATAAACTACAAATTGTACGTGCGATGCAGCCTCACAAATGTTGCCATTTAGCATCCATTGTAGGTGTCGTCCTTCCAAGCTTTGCAACACATTATGAACACGACTGTGTTGTTTTTACGTGAGTGATTCTTATTCTCTAAGCCTTATATTTTAAAATATGATACGTGTCATGTTTTGCAATGCTATATGTATTTTAGTTTTATCGTATATAATGTGTTAGAGAATAATGTTTTGTTAGTGGGTTTTTTTTTAAATTCATTTGATCTTTGTTATTCTATTGTTTGTTGATTAATCTTTAATAATATAACACAACACTCTTCTATTTACTGTTAATTTATCATAGTATTACTTTTGATCTTAAGTGAAATATCCTTTTAGGAAATTTGTCATGCTTCCTTTTATAAAATATTTCATAAGTTTTTTTTTATTAATAATTTAAAAGCATCTTCAATGGAGGCAGATTTATTGATTAGATAGAAAGAGAATAAAACAACAACTTCTAATAACTTAAAGGATATTTTTTTAAAATGTTTAAATTGTTGGTAAATAAAATATTACTAACTTCAAAGGGATTGAGAAAATATTACTTAGTATAACAATTTATTATACTCTTATTTAACTTTCTCTTTTTTATTTAATTAGTTGAGATGATTTGAATAAATTATTTATACAGTTATTAAAGAAGTAAATGATTGGAAAATTTTGACTAAGCCATAATTTTTCAAAATGACAAGTTTTGAAAAACAATAGTTTTTTTTTTCGGTAACTGATTAGAAATTTAATAAATAATAATTACATTTATTTTACACTAAAAAAATTTTATTTTAATTTCTTTAATCAACGTGTTTTCACATGTTATTCATCTTTTATCAAAATTCATATTTTGTAAAAAAAAAATATTAATTGCACAAGTTATTATGACAAAGTAACTTTAGTTAACCAAAATACCATTTTTACAAGAGTTAAAACATAGCCGTGAATTTATTTAAATATTTAATAGAGATAACAATAACTGAAAGTACTATTAGATAACCATAATTGTGTTTTTTTTTTTTTTTTTGGGTAGGATGATAAATGTTTTAAGATAAATTATTTTCATTAAAATATCTCATAAAAAATGTAGAAGTTAGTGTAGTTGTTAACGGGTAAAAAGTATTCCTCACATAATATTAAAACTATAGTGAATAGTTGGCAAATACTGTTATTAGTAAATAAATATATTAATTAAACAGTTAATATTTTAAAATATTAAATAACTTGAGGCAAATAAAAAAATATTTAAATCAATTCTAAAATGAGTAAAAAATAGTATATAAAATTGTTTCTGTTCACATTTATATGTTCAACGAAAACATATTATATATATATATATATATATATATATATATATATATATATATTAGACATTTAATTATTTTATTATAATTATTTAGTAAAATTTCCAACTCTTTCCTTCGGGTTTATTTCGACCTTTAAGCTATGTACCTAATGTAAATATTTTATTCGTTATATATAATATTTTTATATAGGAAAATGATATTATTAAATAGGAACACAACTCATTTTCTTTCTGTGACAAATAAATAGGAAGAAGTGGTAACACTCTAGGAAATAATATATAATAAAAATTTTCTAAAATCTTTATCTTGTATTTCTATCATTTTTCGTAGTTATTACACAAAAAAAAAAAACATTAACTATAATTTCAAGATAAAAAATTAATATATTTTTAATCAAATATTTATTGATAAAATAATAAAAAAACATTAAAATGATACGTATGAAATCTCATCAATTATTTCGAAATGGAAAAAATATATGTGGTAGATATTAATATTGAGAATTTGCCAAAATTAAGGTGTTTAAAAGAACACACACATACTTTTAAGAATAATTTATGGTTCTGATGGATTATTTTTAATTTATTTCAATAAAATTTTCAATATACTTTGTTTTAATATTTTTTCATTTATTTCAAATACACATTATAATTTAATTTATAAGAAATTTTTTATTTGAAATAATTTATTAAACAAAATGTATACTCCAAATGCACCTTACTAATACTATAATGTGAAAAAACAGATTAGATTTGTATTTATATATTATTAAGTACATAATGCTAAAGTAATAAATATATTTTTAAAAAAATTAAATTATTAAAAGGAGTAAACATTTTATTATTTATAATATTTTTTATTTCTATTTTCTTTTCACGTATTTTTTCTATCTTTTTTATAATTATTTATAGTAGTTTTTGTTGATATTTAATATAATATCTTTTACAAAAGAATTTAAAATATTTATTTCTATTTTTATATAATTATCTTTTACCATTATTGAATTTTTAACTTATTAATAAATAATATAATAATAATATTTAATTGTAATTATTTTTTAAAATTAATACATTAATCACTTGTAATAATTTTTTAACGTATATAATTCAATTTGAAAATTATTTATAAAAAAGTCCCGAAAAGTTATAATTTATCCGTCGTAAACATATTAAAAAAAACATGTACAAATATCTGCAAAGACTTTTAAAAATCGTCAATTTTATTTATTTTTTTAGTTTACAGTAAAAGTGGGTCCACCGTCCACCCCCAACGCGAATATTAATCCAAACCAAAAATGTGTATATAAAGCCCCAAATGCCACCGTTTCATTCAACTTCCTCATTTCGATCCCTTCCTTGATTCACCGTTAAAAACAAAGCGACCCCGTTTTTCTTTCTCAAACGCTCACAATGGCGACGAATCCAACCGCAGCGGAGAACGTCGACACTAACTCAAACCCTAACGGGAGTACCAAATCCTCCGTCTACCTCCAAGACATGGAAGAGCTCAAGCGAGTCTTCAGCCGTTTCGATTCCAACGGCGACGGCAAGATCTCCGTCTCCGAGTTGGACAACGCTCTTCGCACCCTCGGATCCGGCGTTCCGGTGGAGGAGCTTCAGCGCGTCATGGACGACCTCGACACCGACCACGACGGTTTCATTAACCTCTCCGAGTTTGCCGCCTTCTGCCGCAGCGACAGCGCGGACGGCAGCGCCTCGGAGCTCCGCAACGCCTTCGACCTCTATGACCAGGACAAGAACGGCCTCATCTCCGCCACGGAACTCTGCCAGGTGTTGAACCGCCTCGGAATGAAGTGCTCCGAGGACGAATGCCACAACATGATCAAATCCGTCGATTCCGACGGTGACGGCAACGTCAACTTCGCTGAGTTTAAGCAGATGATGAGCAACAATTGCGCTAATACTAGCAATGGTGAAGGAAAATAGATTAGGCACTTTTCGATTTGCGTCTTACTAGCTAGGCACTTTCCACAATCTCTCCCAAACAGATCTCTGCTTCTATTATGCTCTGTTATTACTGTTCTACTATTTTCTTCTTTATATTAATAATTGTGTTCAATCCCTGGTCAGAATTAGAATTAGAAAACCTAATGAAAAATTGCTATGGTTGCCGTTTTAGTTAATCGTGAATTTGTGTTGCGTTTTTCGTGATTTTGTTACGAGTCGTGCTTGGCGGCGATGAAAAGTTGAATTCGTGAGAAAACGCTCGAAGTTAATCTGTTTGTTGTCGCAGAATTACGCTGTGAAGTTTTTATTCTTGTTGAACGAAGGTGAAAAGGTTCTAACAGGAATCTTGCTTTACTTGAGGCACACTGTGGAATATATAATGAAGAAGCTTTGTTGGTTTAAGGCGAGAGAATTGTGTTCACAAGGCGTGGGGGGGCCGTGGAATTGGGATCGTGACCTCGGCTTATGTATTAATCTTGAATACGATTTCTCAATACACGTTATTTTGTTCGAGTTCTGCTATTTTTTTCCCACACATCATCAACAAAACGTAAAATCACTTGTTTTATATTTTTAAATAATTACAAATTCTCCTATTTTTTATTCCTACAAAAAATTCTAATTATTAAATAAAAAAGTATTTAATATATTTAATATTTTTAATACAATAATAAATAAATATGTTCATTTATACTTACGACTTCATAAGAGAATGCAGCTAAGCTCGAAGCTGTCGTTTGATCACACACAGATGAATTCATGCAATAACCGTAAAGTATATATTCCAAATCTCTTCTCATGCTCAACCCATAATTTCCCTAATAAAAATGAATTATGATTATTATGTGATTCCAATTATCCGCGGGAGAAAGTATTGATAGGGAATTATAAGATTACTAAAAAAGGTTTATATGTTCAGACATAAAGAAAAATGCACGTGTTAAGATGGATTTTATCATTTTTTATTTTGGACTTTCGTTGTCGGTTTTACATCGGTGGCTAACCTATTCTCTACGTCAATGGTTAACGTGTAATAAACGATGTTCCATAATAATAATAATAATATATATTTTCATTACAAGTATAATATTCAATATTATTTATATTAAAATTTGTTGTTTTTAAAAATATTATAAATAATTTGTTATTATATATTTTTAGGCACATTTTTAAAAATTATTAATAAATTTACATCAAACTTTATATTTACAACAGAACCGTCCCTTTTTCTTTTGGTCCACCTCATCCCTTTATTCTAAAGCACTTATCCGACATGCTTATTTTCTTTTTGAACAATCAGCTGCATCCATGACCCAAGCCTGCATTGATGTCTTTGAAAGAAAACCAATATTCGGGTGTATGCATGCAATCTGATATGCTTGTCAAATATCAAAATTAAGCAGTATTTATTGTTATTCTATTTAATTGATTTTTATCTAAAAGATTTTTCAGAAAAAAACATTTCAAATACAAATATTCTAAATAAAAGTAACACTTGGACACTTAAAACAATAATATACATGATCTAAAATCAATAGATAAATATAACAGTTTAAAACTTGATTATTGAATTATTATTATTACTATGTTCTTATTTTAGACCCAATTTTCCAACACACTAACAATAAGAAATTTTTGGACCATTGAAGTAAAAAAAATTTAAAATTTTGGACAAAAAGAAAAAAGACTCACTAAAATTATAAAACTGCGCGAGGATTCAATATTTGCAATGCAACCAATTTTCGCACCAATAATTATTTTAAATACTTTTTAAAACTGGTTTTTTTAATTAAAATAATTTTAAAAATAAATAAATAATTCATGAGATAAGTGTTTTAACATTTTAAAAATAATCGAACAATTTTTTAACATGTGTCTAACGACACATAATACAAAATTATGCATTACCATTAATTTCTAATGAATATTTAAACTATATTAAAAAACTAATCAATCAGCTATTAAAAAGTAAATTAAAAATTACGTTTTAAATAGTATATTAATAAAAAAATTTGTTTATTTCTTACGCGGATTCGAATGAATACTTGTGCTTAAACATTTGTGGGCTTAATTTCTAGTACTCCTATTCTACGTTAAATTTTAAGTGTTTATATATATATATATATATATATATATATATATTAATTTTTAATTCTTTACACCAAATTCTGTTCAATAACTAACAGTAATTTCAATTAAAGTGTAACATATTATTGAGTTTTATAAATTAATAAAAAAAGGTATATGAACTATTTAAATAAAAATAATAAATAATTTGTTATTCGATTATTTTGTAAATTTATATAAATTAATGATATATAACATTTTTTATATTTCTAATGATTATTGAATAAATATTTAAAATTAAAAATTGAATAATTATAAAATTATGAAAACTCAATGTAAATAATAAAAAATTTGAAAATTAAAATTACACATAAATTAAAATATAAATATATTTAAAAATTAAACCAAAATTTTATTTTATTTTTACTGATTGAGTCTTTACACTTGTTTTTATCATATTTCTTTATCCTTAGATTGAGTTAATCAACTTTAACCCTAACTTTTTGTTGATTAAGTTCATCCTTAGATTGAATTATTGTCCTGACTTTTGATTCATTATTTAATGTAAGATATAAATTCATTCTTCTTTTTATTTTGATTGACAATTACTCTGATTCTTTTGGATGTGTATCCACTTTAATTAACATGAGAACTGGAAGTTCAATTTCATTTTTCTTAAGCGAAAATGCATAAAATGACAAAAAAAATTTATATAAAATTAACTTAAACTAGTTTTTTTGTATAAGCAAATAATTTTAACTTAAGTGAAAGTACATTTGAAAATATGGAAGTTAGGTGTAGAAGAAAAGAGAATTGAGGATAGATAGAAATAAGAAGAGCATTGTTATAAGGGTGGTGTTAGTGGAGGGAGAAAAAGGTGGGAAGTTGGGTATGGAGGAAAGAAGGAGAAATAAATAAGGTAGAGTGAAAGCGTGAAAAAGAAAATAAGAGTTAGGCATGAGGTGAAGGGAAGAGGGAGCTGGTGCTTGACTCCAACAATTGAGAGAGGAAGAGTTGGGGACGATAGAAGAAAAAATGTTGAGTATGAAAGTTAAAGAAGATTAAATATGGAGATTGAAAAGAGAATGTTAGACACAAAAAGAAAGAGAAGAAAAAAGACGTAAAATTTGCTTAAACCAAAATAATTCTCTAAAGCGAATCTTGTAGATTTATTAAAGCTAAAAAAAATGTGTTCAAACTAATTTTGTATTTTCACTTAAACAAAAATAAAATTGGACATTTAGTTCCCACGTTAAGTGGAGCGAATCTGCATTTAATTCTTTTACCTTCATATTTAAGAGCTAAAAAGTGATAATTATATAATAAATATTTACAATTATCTGTATGAATTAAAATGATATACAAAGAGTCAATGGAGGTATAAAATGAAGGATTTGATGGAGGAAAATTTATTGTAAAAATTTATGATAAGTAGGGTCTTACATTGGGCTTCTTTTGTGCTATGAGCTTGTGTTTCTCATATGCATGCTAATTCTGCTTGCCTGGAGATTTAAGGGAAACAGGGTTAAGTGTGTTTGCTCATTAAACTGCAATTGAATTAATTTTGTTGTTCTATTATGTTTTCTCATCATTATTTTTAATTATTTATGTAAATAACAAAAAACTCAACCTGCAAACCTTTTTTTTAATCTACTTTAGATTCTAGACAACTGATAATAACTAATAATTTTATTGAGCATTAGCTTAACATTGTAGAATTCTTTAATATGATATTACCTTACAAACTGACATGACTTTCAATGTTTCATTTTCTTCTGCTACTTGCAATGATCTTTTGCATTATGAATTAATTCTAGCGTGGGTTCCACAGGCAGGATCTCTATGATTGTCTTTGTTGGTATTATCCCTTTAACACTCAATTGGAGCATCAATGTGATGCTAACGTTTTTTACTATTCCATTCTAAAAGGATCATCAGCTCTAAAACTGGCATATAATTTACTATTAATCAGGGGAGAAAAACATTAATGATGCATACTTTGGCAATTGCCACATATCTCTAATATATCAAAGAGAAGATATTAGTTTGAAGTAATGTCCTTTGATATGATTTTACTTTTCAAAGATAAAATGGTTTGAAAAATTCCAAGGAGTGTAAACTCCTCCTATCATTATTTTACTTGCTAGAATATACAGGAAAGTTTGGATAAGTTTTGTCTGGGAATTTTAAAATCTGATCAGTTCTTTACATTGTCTTTTGAAGGTTGTCTTGATTTAATGTTGAATTTTGGTTTGAATTAACATTTTTGAATTCAGGTGTACCGTGTGGCGATTCACATAACTCTTAATTTTTGTTGGAATCTTGCTCTTTCAAATATATACTTGAATCAAGATAGAATGTCCGATTTCATGGCCAAGATTGGTTCAAATCTTGTTTCGAATCTTGATCCAGCTCTCTTGGATATATTCTGCATGCACCTTTTATTTTTTTGAACTTTTGAAAATACCATTTTATTTAAGTTATAGAATGTTTTATAACTTTGACTCTCATCCGAGTTTTGTTCAGTCCTAATGGTATCATATGAATTATGCTGTTGAATATTATTAATAGATGTTTTTTCTTTTCTAGTTGATTCCTATTTGAATCTGTTTCCACCTTGAGAATTTCTAAACTTTGATATTTAGAAGAAAAAAAAAAAAAGAGTCCACAAAATTTTATTTTAAATAAATATGATTAAATTTGAAAATATTTTAAAATAAAAAATTATCTTATGATATCTTAAACTTAATAAATTAATAATTTATTTACTATCACAAATGATATATAAGAGATAATCAATTAAAAAACAAGTGTAAAAATCTAAAATAAATAAAGTAATATAAGATTTAAGAGAAAAAATTAATTTGTATATGAAAATGTAATAAAAATATATAAATATATTATAGCCATGATTTAATTGAGTTTTAATCCTAAAATTGAAGTGAATTGTAATAAGAATGGTTTGATTCAATTTTAAGTGTCATGTTATAATTCTCTAATCAAGACAACCTTTTTTAACACTTTCCCTTGACATACTCCCTTACATGTACAGAGAAGGAGGCAATGAATAGGATCAATTGATATGGAAGTGTCATATAAATTTTGTTTATTGAAAAAGAAAGAATGCTTGTATTTTAAGTGTTCGTTATCGTATAATTATAATTATTATAATTATTTTAAAAATTAAAAAATATTTTACAGTTTAAAAATAAATTACTTACTTTATTATCCATTTATATATTTAATATAATATTAACGATATTAATTAATTCACATAAAAAATTATATTAAACGTTCTGTTTGTTAATCTTACCGTCACCATAAAAATTACCTTTAATTAAACCTCCAGCGAAAAAAAATCAATACCTCCAAAAAGACCCAATCCAATTATTAATAAGTAAATATCTTTAGGCCTGTTTCTGAAAAGTCCAGAGTCTTCAATTTAATGCCCATAAATATGAGCCCAAATTTAACGAGTCATTGTCGGGATAATTGCCGATCCACAACTTCTCTTAGTCCAGGCCCTGCTCCACAAGATCCTTTGGAATAATGTAGGGAACGTGGATTTTTTTTTTCTTGAAAATATAGACACTTGAACCATGAAAATAGCTCCCCCCAAAAAAACCATGAAAATAGCTAGAAAATTAAAAAAAAAAATTTGAAATTATAAATAGTTGTAACTTTAGAATTTTTTTAAACATGTTCGGAGTTAATCTCTAAATCACATATATTCTACATATGTAAAATTCCTAATCTAACTAATTTACCTTTATTATATCAAAATTATTAAAAATATATGTTAATTACTATTTTATCTACATAAAAACAATACTTTCTATCAATAAAGGTTGGTCTGAGTGTTAAGCGTCTCAATACCACTTAAGTAAAGTATTGAGTCTGAATCTGTATGTATGCAAAAAAATTTCTGTAATAAACTTATCTATCACTCAACACATCCAAGTGTACGATCTGGGTCAAATTCAAATTAAATCAAATGAATAAAAAAAAATATACTTTTTCACTTTTTTCACCTTTTTAGTTTCATAAAAAGCACTGTTTTCATGATGGAATAAAAAATTAATTTTTTTAATTTTATCATGACCATTACACAAAAGAACATGTCCGTTTAACTAGGATCATTCAATGATTTTGTAGTTAAATATTTACTTGTGGTATACTACTCCTCGTCAATGTTGCCATCCTAAAAACATGCCAGTCATTGTACTAATAATAAATAAGGTTCGAGTTAGTGAGTTACAGCAATACAAAAATAGTTAAGTAAAAAGCCTTTAATAATAATAATTAGACATTATTGAAAACAGTGGTTATAATTTAGTGCCCATAACTATAATTGAAGGTCCTAAATCTTATTCTAGCATAAATAATAATAATGATAATAATAATAAAGTTATAACATGTATTATCTTTAAATAAATATTTTAAATACTTACTTTGGTACAATATTGATTTTCTTATGATATATACTACAATCAAATAAATAAACATTCTTAATATTATTGTAATTTATATGAATCAAATAGATTTAATCAACGTTCTCTCATTAATAAATTTATTGTTTACAAAGTCATGCTAGTGGTAGGGTGATCAATTACATGCAATGAAATATTAGGGGAAAACTTAAATTAGTCTTCTATGAAAATGTCATTAAATTATTTTTAAGAACATTAAACTATCATTTATATTAGTCTTTTAAAGATTTTATTATTAAGATAGTTTATAAATAAATGTTTATTTAAAATAGTCATTTATAAATATAAAATATTACAATGTTAGACTTAAAATTGACTAAAGTGGTCAAAAAAGAATTCAATTTCATCACATATTAAATCTTTGAGAATTAAAGAAGTGATAAAAAATCTAATTCAATGACAAATATTTTAAAAGACTAGCGTCATAATAATTTAAAAATTAATTTAACAGCTCAAATCTTTAAAAGTTGTACTTAAAAACGCTTTTAATTTTTTGAAGAATTAAGTACAATGTTTTCTCATATACTTATTATACAAGGTTAATTAGATGTCTATCAGTTGACGCACATGCACGCTCATATTCTTCATTAATATTATTCAAAATTGTAAAATTCAAAGGATTAAATTATGTTGAATTTGATAGTAATAATTTTTTAATATATCAATCTTATAAAGATGTTATGATATATTAATTCATGCCATTCTTATACATATATATAGAAAGTGAGATATTGATTTAAAATTCTATTATCTTCTCCTTGTTTGTTTAGAAAAATTACAAACATAACTTTCCTAAAATAGGACAGCAAAATAATCTGATAATCCAGTCAACCAAGAATATAGCCTAAAGTTGGAGAAAAGGATCGATAGTAATCAAGTCCTCTTGGGTAGTTAACTGTTATACAAAGATATAGGTTTTTTTGCCAAACCCACTTTCATCAATTTGATGATTACAGCAGCAACTAACCTCAAACAATTATGATCACTAGTAAAACTCTTTTTTCCCAAAGATGAGATACATATAATTCGGAATCATTACCCTTGTACAATTTTTTAACCACCCTGAGATGAGATGAGATGATTATGATGTAAACAATGTCATTTGATAACCAATCTGTTGAGTGATGTGCACAAAGTAGTGTTTGCCAATCATGGAAGGCCACATAAGCATGAAAATGCCAACTTTTCAATTGAAAAATTGGAAAGGGACAGGTGGAACAATGCCATTGGACCTTCTTTGAAGATGGAGGCAAAACCATGGTTGGCTCTTCCAGTCGGTTAATTACATCCACAGGTCTAGACAACATCAAGGATTGTCCATCATGTCTTTTTCTATGGTTTCACATGTAATTACTCAACACCCTCCAAAGTTAATACCATATGGTGCCCCCTTTGTTTTAATATAATAAATTCTAACACTGTATAAATATGATCATGACCTTGCACATCCTATTTTACCTTTCTTCCTTCACCGTATAGCTTATGATCAGCATTTCTTTATCGTTAAGATTTTTCATTTCCGCATTAGTTTTGTTCCCTTTGAATTTATTCTCCTTGGGTATTAGGAAAAAGGCCTTAGAGGTGAAGGTGGAGATTAACAGAGAAAGCTCATATTTATGGCTGATGCATTTGATGAAGAGTGTGATTATCTCTTCAAGGCTGTACTGATTGGAGACTCTGGAGTTGGGAAATCAAATCTACTCTCAAGGTTTGCAAAAGATGAATTTCGCTTGGATTCCAAACCCACCATAGGAGTGGAATTCGCTTACCGCAACATCAAGGTTGGAGACAAACTCATCAAAGCTCAGATATGGGACACTGCCGGCCAAGAAAGGTTGGTAACTCGTTATTCCTCTTTGTTTCTTTTTACATCACTTCCAATGAATGAGTCTCTTTTTTCCCTTTAATTGGTCATCACTTTCAACTTTATTTATTTATTCGTTTTCTCTTGTTTGTTCCTTTGTTTTGTTAGTCTATGTGTGATCATTGTTTTTAAATTTATTTATTTTAATGTTTTGATCATACCCGTTTTGTTTCAAGGATGCGCGAAATTCATTAACCCGTAGCAACGTTAATTTTTTTTTTTTTTTGAGTTTCAGATCAGAATTCAGTTGCATGGTAGATGAGATCATGCCACCATAGGACTTGTCCTATTTCCTACCTGATTATTTCTCTTGAAGTGTCTTTGTTCTCATGTTTTAATGAAAGATTAAGGCTTTTCTATCTGGGGATTCAATTTCAAAGTGGGTGTCCACGGTGTTTGTTACTTTTCTCAGTCTAGAAGATTTTAATATGAATTCAACAAATTTGACTCATATTAGACTAGTCAGTTTTTGGTTTTCTTCCCTTATTATCTACTCTGCGCATGCAAACATGTTGTCCCACTTCAAGCTGTAGTTGTGTTAAGTAAGCAAGCTTAGTTCTGGGGTTTGCGCTTGTTTATTGACTAAAGTAAAGAAAAACACATAAAGGGGAGGGAAACTATTTTAGCATTTTTCTAATGCACTGTTCATCCGTGATGATCTATTGAATTTGAGGATTAAAAAAAGTCATGACTGCTAATTACAAATTGAGTGCTAGTTTAATTACGTGGGGATAAGAAAATGGAAAAGTATAACTAGAATTCATTTAGTGGGACCCTGAAGACACTAGGATTATCATGAATTGAATTCCATGCTCGGATTTGGATTTGTGGTTTTGATACATAAAACTTGTTCACGAAAATGAATGCAGAGTATCTCATTACAAATCCAAGCATTGTCTTCCTTCTAAGGTTAGTGCTTTATTGGAACCTCGCCGTAATTTCCTCCTTTTCCATGGGTGCTTCATGTAACTTTTTCTTTCTTTCCAATTTAAAGGGAAATTTCAATAGATTTGAAATTTGAATAATGACATTGTCTCTCACGTGAAGTCCTTTTGTTTGCCATCCCATTAAAAGAATTTCACGATTTTTTGCCTTTGGGTTCCATGCGCACAATTTCCAATTTCTTTATTTTTTATTACCCTTTTTCCTTTATAGTTTTATTTTCCTTGCATTTTCATAATGAATATGTTACTGTACTATGTTCCATTTATTGATTTTAATGATGTGAATGGAAAATGAGTTCAAAAAGGGTCACTCTCGGTTGGGTAAGTGTAGAAACCAAGTTTTCTTTTCTTTTCTTTTCTTTTTTCTTCTACATTTGTTTCCATGATGCAATGCAATCTAAATAGCGTAACTATTAGGCGAGGCGGGTCCGGGACGTGGACTTGTTCAGCTTATGTTAGAGAAAGAAAATATGAAAGTGATTGAGAGAAAGAGCATAAAAGCAAATTGACAATCAATGAGTCGGGTGGAGAAATGCATGTGAGGTGATGAAGGTTTTGGTGGCCAACCACATAACCAAACATTTTCTTATTTCTAATCATATAACAATTCTTAGGCACTTCAAGGAGATATAGATGTGCATTACTCATTTACGTGAAGTGTTTTTCACCTAAACTATAACTTTTATGTGGGCTTAGGGGATACATACAAATTCGTGTGTGGAAAAGAAAAAAAGCCCATGTGACAGTTCAGCAAACCCCCGATACAGAGCAAAATCATGCATGGGAATGTATACAAATAGTATATACATATTTAAATTTAAGTCCCACATTAGTGTGTGAACAATATATCAGATGTATCTAAGTTAGAAAATCTTGTTCTAAATTTGTTTAAGATATTTTAAGTAAAGAAATCTCTCAAAAAACTCTCGTTTGAAGTTTAATAGGCATGCAAGGACTCTTATGTGGTAAGTAAAGAAATATATATATATATATCCTAAAAAAATATAATTACATTACCCTTTTTTTAATGGGAAAGTATTGTTCTAAAAGTGAATATACCTATAATTTTGTGTTATGTAAAGGTAAGAACTCCTAATTTATAGTTTGATCCTCTTGATCTTATATGTTCACTCTAAAAGAAATTTTGTGGCAGGTTTAGAGCTATCACAAGTTCATACTACCGAGGAGCCTTAGGGGCATTGCTAGTGTATGACATAACCATGAGATCAAGTTATGAGAATGTAAGCAAATGGTTACTGGAGCTTAGAGAGTTTGGAGGGCAAGACATGGTGGTTATTCTAGTGGGAAACAAATGTGATCTGGGTCAATCAAGGGAAGTTGAGAAAGAAGAAGGAAAAGGGTTTGCAGAAACAGAAGGATTGTGTTTCATGGAAACCTCTGCTTTGAAGAATCTGAACGTTGAGGAAGTGTTCCTACAAATGATCAAAAAGATTTATGACATGACAAGCCAGAAAAATTTGGAAGCCAAAATGGATGAGAAACCCATCAATGTTTTGAGTGGCAAAGAGATCCATATTACTGATGAAGTTACTGCGACTAAACAACCTAGTACTTGCTGTTGAATATGGGAGCTTTTGTGGGGGAAAATTTGGGATTTTGTGAGAATCTTTGAGTGATCGATTCTTCCAATTTTCTCCACTTTACTTATTTTTTTCTCCCCTTATTTTATTTGTTACATGGTGACGATGGAGTTAATTTTTAAACAATACAAGTGATGACTCACTGGTAGAATGTAAATGTTGATTTTAATATTATACATAGATTATATAAACTCTTTGCAGGTAGATGATTAGTATTACTAATTTTGCTACATTAAGAAACATTTCGAAACCCATTTATTGGATTATGCAAGGACACCCAGTTGTTAGATTACAATAATACACCTTTGAAATTCAAATTAGTTTTTGATCAAATAAATCGTATTTTAAGACGCTTTTTTGGGGCATAAGATTTTAGGAAAATGGGATCATGCTCCTCTCCAAATCAAGAAAAGATGTGACTTGCATTTGTATTGAATCAATTTAATTATAATTTTATAATGATTAAATTGACACCCATTTTATAATAAGAAATGGAGGAAATCTGGAAATCAAATTTGGCCTTTATGCTTCGCCAGCATTTACACGAGAACTCTTCAATTTGTAGAAGAAACATCATTTCAGGTAAAAAAGGGGCAATTTTTATTAAAGAATATATATAAATTAATTTTTTTAATCTCAAATTTTAATACTGAATTTAAGTATATAAAATTAATGTTTTTACATATGGAAGACCATATATAGCAACAAAATTTTGTGCAAGCCCATGGGCTTGTATTGGACATCACAACCCACTGGGCTCAAAAGGCGTTGAAGCCTGTTAGGTAGTTGGGTAGTTGTCAGGGCAAAATCATTGGGTAACGGCGAGTGGGACCCAAAGCGAAGCAGTGTGATCCACTCAACATTGATTGGCCCAAGAGACACGTTTCACGACCCGTGTGTCACTCTAACTTTTACTCTCGATCTTCTTCCCAAGTCCTAAAAGCTTTAATGCCATTCTTCTTCTTCTTCTTCACTATCATGGATCTGTCTCTAAAATCATCATCAACGTCTTCTTCTATCTTCTTTTATGCACGCGCATAACTTCCTTAAAACGCTGCGTTTTGCAATACACGCGCTAATTGTGGCTCTGTGATAATCTTTTCACGCCACATCTCATCTTCTGAAAGCCATGGCGAATTGGATCTCCTCCAAACTCAAAGCCGCAGAGAACATTCTCCACCAGGCAAGTCCAACTATAAAAATGCTTCCCATTTTTTTTCCCATTGTTGAATTCATTTTCGGTTTTTCTGGATCCCTAACCATAGGAGCTGTAAATTGTAATTATCATCGTTAATTTTAATTTACGGCATGATTATATTTATATTTTTAGTTCTCTATGTAATTTATGGATGCTATTTGTTTTTTTCCCTGGCAATTGCGTAACGGACGGTTCAGATCGATCAGCAAGCAGCTGAATCGCTTCGCAAGAACGAGAGGCTTCGGTCCGAGGAACCCAGCATTGATGCTCCTGTGAAATCTGGAAGCGGTGTGTCTCTGAAAGATCAATTGAAGAGGAAACCCTCGGAGAACAATGATTATCAGGGAAAATTGCGCAGTGATCCCAGTTTTAGTGTGCTTAAAGCTACTGCAACTGCACCTAAATTATCTCCCAAATCTAGCCCTACCCTCACAGATGAAGATTGGACTGAACTCCTTAGTTCACCTAATCAATCTATAGCTTCCGCTTCTGGGGGAAATCATGGTAACGGGGTGCCTGCAGCTCGTAGTTTAAGCAAAAATAGCAGGAAACAAAAGGGTTTGGCTTCGGGGTTATTGGTTTCGGATGTAAAGAGGAATTCTAAAAGTGGTAACAATGGTCCGAGGTCGTTGCAGAGGTCAGGCTCTGTCAAAGAAGTTAAATTGAGTGGGAAAACCAGTAATGATGGGAAGAAATCTACCTCTTCTGGTTCCACAGAGAGGAATTTGACTGTAGAATCAGGGACTGACGGTAAATTGGTTAAAGGACTAGAGGATGCTGGTAAGAACAGTTCTGAGAAGCTTGTGAACGAAAGGGAAGATGAAGTAAATGAGCAACGTTTTAATTATAGGGACGTTTCTCCACCAGAATCCTCGCAGGAAGGTGAAAAAACTTTGGCTGCAGAAACGATGCCAGCATTGGGGGTTGATAAGGTGCAAGAAGCTAAGATTTCAGTTGATGTTGTAGGCAGTCAATTGAGAGGTGCAATAAAAGGGAAGGATGAGCTTAATTCAGTCTCTGGAAATTCAACATCTGAAAATTTGACAAGGGGTTCTTCCATTGCAAGTGATGGAAGTTCTGTTTCAGATACTGATTCTGGTTCAACATCTGATTCTGAAAGTGAACGTGAGAGGGAGGAAAGGAGAAAGAGGAGGGAAAGGATTCTGGCTGAGAAAGCAGCAGCTAAAGCAATAAACGCTATCAAGGAAAGGGAGAATATGGTTGCCAAATTAGAGGGGGAGAAACAAAGTCTAGAGAAAATACTTGAGGAACGAGCTAAACAACAAGCACAAGAGGTAGCATCATGACAATTATTAGAACTGATCTTTTATGTTCACTTTTTTCACTGCTGTGGTGTGCTGGTTATGGTCAACATGATGTCTAGTGTAGGATATGGATAATGTTGGACAAATTTTTGGAATATTTCTTCCTGCTTGATGTTCTTCATGATTTGGTGGGAAAAATAAGATGTCTTTTCAAGTTCTATAGGTAGTATTTATCATGCTGACATAGCAGAATGAAATGTTTATTTTCTGAGTTCTTCCTCTTGGTTTCACCCTTTTAGTGGAATCAAATATACCACTATTTATAATCTAATGTCCGGTTCTGTTTTGTATTTAAATATGTTCCGTTTTGTTCTAACCCTTTGACCTAATGCTACGATAGTATAGGAGTTTCTTCTAATGATCTGAAATTGCTTCAAAGTTAACTTTTGGATAGATGACTGTTCTGGATGGAACTTAATGTTAGTGATCTGTTGATTATTTATCTGATCCTCTTTGTTCCTTCCTTCAGGCTTCACAGCTTCAGAGCACTATGATGGAAACAATGGAAGCTGTTGAGTTAGAAAAGCAGAAACATAATAATACTAGAATGGAAGTTCTTGCACGCTTAGCTAAACTGGAGGTTTGTTGATTTAACTTATTCAAGACATTTGTTTATACTAAATATATGATTGTATAACTTTCTACCCCTTTCTGTAAATAATTTATTATGTTTAGGTTCTGCAAATATATCTAGATAAACTTGTTGATAATTCTGTACTGATTGCAGACTGTCAATGCTGAACTTGCAAGATCCCTCGCAGCTGTGCAGTGGAATCTTGAAGTAGAGGTATGTTTAGATGCTTAGATGACTTCCCTCCACTTCACATGATCTATAGGAAAATAAACTTGCCTGCCAGTTGCTGTTACGTATCTCAAGGATTTGGACTTAGTCCTAATTTTGTGGCAATTTATGATTTCCTAAAATTAGCAACAACATAATTGATAAGATAATTAATATGACCATTCTAACATCATAATGTAGCTAATAAGGGCCAATGTCTTGGTTATTGACTCCAACAGTATCTAGAAAAATCTCCAAATAGTGCTTGAACTGAATTGAAAAACTAAAGTGAATTGACCCATCAATTTCATAAAGATGTTGTGATTACAAGTGTAGCTTTTTGGAACAATTAGAATGAGTCCCTTCCCTTGTGTGAAAATTGAATTAACCAAATCACATTCTTTGCTCCAATTTCCATGCTTCCTTCATCCTTGGGTCATCCTCGTATCTGGACAAAAAGACTACTAAGTTATTGTGTGTTAACTCTAATATGTTTTTGAACAGGTTAAACAAGTAGCAGAACTCAAACAGCAAATTGCATCAAAAGAGTTGGTTCATGAAGGTACTACTCCTTCGCAAAGTTGTTGACTCACTGTTAGATACATTATTTCATTCCAACAGATAATAATGTCTTTACACGGGACTCATTGACTACCTAGGTTTATACAAAAACCTTAAAGATTAATCTATGAATATTTTTAAAAAAATGGCAAAAGACTAGTGGGATAAATTTCAATCTCGTTGAACAGCATATACATAGTGAATTAATGATTAATTTGGGTATACTCAATTACAAAGAGACTGGTGAATATTCATGATTTAAAGCTATAAAATGTTTTGGAGAGAATAGGTGGTCAGTACGTGATCAAAGGACATTTTAGGTTTGATTTTGGAGCAAAATGGTGCTAAGCTGCTGTAGGGATTTCAGAAACCTTGTCAACCAAGATGTCCCTTTCTCTTTCCCGATAATATCTCTGATGAAGAATATGTAGCAGTACTGGCTTTATTTCTGCATTTCCTGGCCAATGATAGCTATGATTTTCATTCATCATTGAAAATTAAATTATTATGTAATGTTGCAATTGGGTTATATTTAGTGACCAGGAATAGTTGTAAGTAATTATGTTGAAATGAGCTAATCAGTTAATAGGTTGATCCTTTTACCTTTTGTAGAACTCAGAAGGAGCATGAAGAATCCTCATCAAACTGGACCTTCACAACATCAAGTAAGTTATATTATTATTTGCTAAAACTGGTATACAAATATTTTTGTTTTTTTTTTTTTTTTTTCTTGAGTGGGAGATTTTAAGAGGGAGTATCTGGTATCTTCATTCTGTTTTATTTTATACTCCCCTTTTAAACTTCTATGGTCACTGTCTTTTAGTTGGATATTCTTCACTATTGAAGATTTAGAAAGAAGAGAGAGAAAGGTAGAGAGAAAACAGAAAATATTATTCAGTGTAAAATGAATACATAATTCTATGAAAAATTACAAAGTGTTCATGGCAAACAACTACATATAGGCAGCTGACTACTCAGATCTATTAACAGAAAGGTAACAAGTATTCTGTTATGACTGTCACATCCTGTGACAGCTAACAGAAAGTCACGGCTGCATGAACAGCTTTATCTACATCTAACTGATGCAGTTTACAAGGAAGCTAGACTTAAATCTCAATTGAGTTCTATACTCCAAAATTAACATCTGTTTATCTATGCTGATGTTGTAGCTAGCTTCAAAAGGTGTTGAGTTTGAACGAGAAATCCTTGAGGCAGAGCACTCCTTAATTAATGATAAAGTTGTACAATTGCAGGAAAAGGTAAGGTTTTAAAGTTTAAATTATTGTACTGATATATATTTGCATCTTTTCCCTTGAAGAGCTACGATGTTACAGATGCCATGCATTTCATGAATCGTGATTTTTAGTAATGCCTAGAGTTTTCTATCTAGAAGTTTGGTGTCTCTTTCTTTCTTTATATTAATTAAATAGGGATTTTTCTTGTCAAATTATGTTTTATAGAAAGGAAGTACCGGAAGAATCAAAACAAGTTTCCTAATTAATTATACTTGTGATTTATATATTCCAATTTCTCCATGATATTGTATTCCAAGTTGTGGAATTTTTGCATTGTCTATGTCCTTTTTCTTGCTTTTAAAATTTACTCGACTATGCCTCCAGTTATGTAATACTATTTTACCCATTTGGTGTCCATTTTTACTTTTTCAAAAATTGAAATGTTTTACTTAAATAATTGAAAGTGGGCAGAAATCATTTTATTTATTTAAAATCAATTACCTTGGCCAAACTCTTGGACATATTTCCTAGTTTTAAGGAACGATTTGAAATTATTAATTTTAAATTAATTGCAAATTTTTAAGTCAGTTTCCATTCAAATTTGATTTTAAAATATAAAAATGTCTTGATATCATAATTAAATTAAAAACTTCTCTATACCTGCATCACTGGTGCTTGCTTAACTCTATTTTGATTTAAGTCTTGCATTGGGCATGTCAAGTTAATGTGATTTACTTTTTCTGTGAAATTATTTGATGTGTACATTATAGTCAAGGAAGCTTGAAGCTGACATTGAAATGTCAAAGAAAGAGATTGAAGAGCCAACAGAAATTGAAATTGAGCTCAAACGAAGGCTTCATCAAATGACTGATCATTTAATACAGAAACAAGCCAAGGTGTGTCTTTCATACATCCAGTTGGCTTTAATGTGTATGCTTATGGATCAGGGTTTTAAATTCAGACTGAACCAGCCAGTCTGATCAGTTCAACAGTTGACTAAACTCATTAGCAGTTTGTTAAAACATCCTCTTGTGCAGTCAAACCAAAACAAGCAACAAATTTACTGGATCTGATTTTCAGAATTCATCAGTTTAAGAATGCAAACAAAGTTTTTTCCAAAATTCATTCAAATACAGGGTTGGGTTTTTTTTTTTTTGGGGGGGGGGGGGGGGTGAAAGAATTGGGACTTCCTAGTTTCTGACCCCTACCTATATTCAAACAATTTATTCTGCTTGTCAACAGGTTGAATCACTCTCTTCTGAGAAGGCAAGTCTTATATTCAGAATTGAGGTATGCTTTCTTCTGAGCCCATCATACTAATTGTTGGAATCATGATATACTTGATTTTCAATGTTCATAATCATTTCAGCAGGCTGTATCAAGGCTGCTGGATGAGAATATGCCATCGGGTGCAACAAATATGAATCCTGCCTCCTCATCAAGTGACATAGAATCAGGATTGTGGGAGCTCTCAAATTCAAAGTTGAAGCCTATGCTAAAAGCCAGAATTCATTCTGGCAAGAGACAGCTGGGATCATTGCTTCAACAATTAGATTATATTTTTGTGACTGGTGCACTTTTTTTGAAAAGAAACTCAACGGCAAAAGTATGGGCTTTGATATATCTTGTTTGCCTTCATTTCTGGGTGATTTATATTCTAATATCACATTCTGGTCCATCAAATGAGGGAAGATCTGGTGCCGTGATCTCATTGGAGAACATTAATAACACTGGTGGAGTATGATTGTGTTGTGATAACTCTTTACTTGTCGATCACCGCAGCTTTTAGGAGGCCATCAATACATCAAGCTCCCGCTGTGGACATGTAGGAATGCCGGTACCACGCCATGACTAGAAAAATACGTGATCGAGTCTTCCTATTTCGATGAATTACGACTCTTTGACATCGTGAAACTTTGCTTTGGAACGAGGAACTCCATGAGAGGAGCAATGCCCTGCTATTTGTATTGACAATGATGAAAATTTTTCGTAGGGATTTAGTAGCAGTATTTTGCATGTACAGTGTAGCAACAGATATGTTCACGGAATGAGCCTGAAGTCGATGAGGGAGTGGAAGAGGCTTGGTTGTGAGTTCTCTGTTGTGACCTTAGCATTAATAGCCAAAGATGCTGCGTGCAGTGTCGAGTTATTATCTCTTGAATTTGTAGAAAAAAAATCATTTTTTATTTGTATATACAAGTATTTTGGTATATACAAGTATGAATAAATATTTATTCAATTATATAATGGATTGGAACCACTTACTAGATGACATAGCATGATTATAACATAATCTAGACTTGTAACCTCTTGGATTTTATTTTCTATTCGTGTGATGTCACGTAGATTTAGTTCCATTAATCAAGTTGCCTGGGTCCGCTGTATACATTTTTTGTAACTCCAAAGCTGTCGAGTTGGCAACAAGGATGAGCTGTCGTCCTAATTAGAATGAAACTCTCCCAAGTATTCATAGCATGTGTTTATTTAAGATATGTTTAGAAAAGCTTACGCAAATTTATATCAATATTATAAGCCTTTTTATTTTATTTCAATAAATTTTATATGCTTATTAAAATGATTTTTTTAATTTATTTTAATAAATTTATAATCAAATTTATATCGTAACTCAAATAATAAAAGTTTATTAAATAAATGCATACATAAATTATATATTCAAACACATCCTTTTAAGATAGCAACGTGTAAAAATTAATAACATTAGGAGAACAAGATGAGAATGTATTAAATCATAAGTAAGTAATATGTAATATAAATAATTAATTTGAAAGTTAAATTAAAACTTAGTTTAATTAATTTAACTTGCAAAAAAAAATTAAGATTACGGTGACATTTAAAAAATCATTTAAATTTGTAAAAATGACTTATGATTTTATAATATTTTTTGAGTTTATTTAATAAAATTTATAAAGAAATTCTAATTTATGAAAATTTATATAAGCACTTTATTATTATCATCCTTTTCCAAATTGAAGGGAATTGCGAAGGGTGCACAAGGAAAAAGGTAAAGGAGAAAGAAAAATGAAAAACTTGATAGTATTCGGAACATTCCGCCGGAAGAATAGCGGCTGACGGCAGGGTTCCGCAGCGGCAGAGGGTTGTTGGTTTGCAGAGTGAACAAACATCCAAACCCAAAAGCATTTTTTAAAAATCACTGTGCATTGTATTGATAGGATGCTGAATGGAAGGTATGTCATCCCAAAATTCCCTCGTTTTCTCATACTCATTTCTTTCCCTTTTTCTCCACACGTGAGGCTCTTTGGTTTTTTGCAACGCCGATTTCCCCCAAATTTTGATAATGTAGATGACGCCGTTGCTTCCTTCAATCGCATGGTTCGCGCGCGCCCTCCCCCACCCATTTTTGAATTTGACAAGGTTTTGGGAGCCATTGTCAAAATGGGACACTTTCCCACTGCTATTTCACTCTTTAGGCTACTTCACTTTAGAGGAATCACCCCTTCCATTGCTACCTTAAGCATCTTGATCAATTGTTATTGCCATAAGGGTCACGTTTCTTTTGCCTTTTCTCTTTTGGGAACTATTCTCAAGATGGGTTATCAACCCAATATGGTAACTTTCAATACTCTTATCAATGGTTTATGTATCAATGGTATGATCTCTAAAGCTCTCACCTTTAATCATGAACTAATGGAAAAAGGGTATCTTTTGGATGAGTTTACATATGGGATTTTGATTAATGGGTTGTGTAAAAGTGGACAAACAAGGGCTGCACTTCAGTTGCTACATAAGATGGAGAAAGATTTGGTTAGGCCTAATCTAGTGATGTATAGTACGGTTCTTGATGGTCTTTGTAAAGATAGACTTGTTGCTGTTGCGCTTGGTTTGTTTTCTCAGATCACTGCCAGGGGAATTTTGGTTGATGTTGTCACCTACAATTCTCTGATCTGTGGTTGTTGTAGTGTGGGTCAATGGCATGAGGCAACTCGATTGCTGACTATGATGGCGTGGCAAAACATTAATCCTGATGTTTATACCTTTAGTATATTGGTTGAAGCGTTATGTAAAGAAGGAAGGATTATAGAAGCTCAAGGTTTCTTTGCTACGATGATGAAAAGGGGGGATAAACCTAATGTTGTTACTTACAATGCGTTGATGGAAGGGTATTGTTTAAGCGATAATGTTAGTGAGGCAAAAGAATTACTCAACAAGATGGTCAAAAGAGGCTTGGAGCCTGATGTCTTAAATTATAATGTCTTGATTAATGGTTATTGCAAGATTGACATGATAGATGAAGCCATGATTCTTTTTGAAGAGATACTTCGTAAAAATTTAGTACCTTCCATTGCTACTTATAATTCTCTTATTGATGGCTTATGCAAATTAGGGAGAATATCACATGTGCAGGAGCTTATTGATGAAATGCATGAGAGAGGTCAACCCCCTGATGTAGTCACTTGCAATATTTTGTTAAATGCGTTATGTAAAGAACGAAGGATTATAGAAGCTCTAGGTTTGTTTGCTACGATGATGAAAAGGGGGGATAAACCTGATGTTGTTACTTATAGTGCGTTGATGGAAGGGTATTGTTTAAGCGATAATGTTAGTGAGGCAAAAGAATTACTCAACAAGATGGTCAAAAGAGGCTTGGAGCCTGATGTCTTAAATTATAATGTCTTGATTAATGGTTACTGCAACATTGACATGGTAGATGAAGCCATGATTCTTTTTGAAGAGATACCTCGTAAAAATTTAGTACCTTCCATTGCTACTTATAATTCTCTTATTGATGGCTTATGCAAATTAGGGAGAATATCACATGTCCAGGAGCTTATTGATGAAATGCATGAGAGAGGTCAACCCCCTGATGTAGTCACTTGCAATATTTTGTTAGATGCTTTTTTCAAAACCCAACATTTTGACGAGGCAATCTCATTATTTCAACAAATTGTCCAAAGAATTTGGTCTGACTTTTACATGTACGATGCCTGCAAAGGTGAAAAATTAAAGATTGCAGAAAAAGCTCTTCAACATCTTTTGATACATGGCTGTTGTCCAAATGTCCAAACATATACCATTATGATCAATGCACTTTGTAAAGATGGCTCTTTTGATGAAGCTATAGCCTTGCTTTCAAAAATGGATGACAATGATTGCCCCCCAGATGCCGTAACTTTTGAAACAATTATTGGTGCTCTCCTTGAAAGAAATGAGACCGATAAAGCAGAGAATCTTCGGCAAGAAATGATTGCAAGAGGTCTAGTAAATGTGAAACAAGGTCAGTAGTCAGTTCCTTTTTTTTTATTATCTTATGTTATCTTTCACTCTATAAATGCCTAGAAAATGTGTATTTCTTGTGTCAGAGAAATTGGGTAAAATAACAATATATATAAATGTGTGTGTAGGCATGAATGTACTGTGTCATTGTCACTGTTGCTGGTTGATTTTAAAAACTTGCCATGCATTAACTCTTAGCTCCTTGGTCATTCTGCAATCTGACTAGTTGTCAAATTGATGAGTACTTGAGTTCTTGGATTTTAGCATTTAAATGGAAAACCTTTTAACAATGAAAAACCCTGGCAGATTGATGAACATTGAGGGAATCTGTGACCGCTAAACTTGCTGTTCTTGTTCTACTGCATACAGCAAGCAGGGCATGTGTGGTTGTCTGGACTGTGAATTCCTTAGCAATTATGCTAGAAGACTGCATACTTTCAATGTTTGTACAGGCGACAGTCGGTTGGAGTCAACAACACCAACCCTATGCTGTTTCCTTCCCTGCCAATCCTGCCTTTCTCCCTGCTTCCATTTTTTTCCATGATCTCTCTACCATGCATTTTTTTCCATTTGCTTTTTTTTTGCCACAATATTTGATTAAATGATGAATCTTGAGCCCCTCATTGCATGTTTGTTATATATTTCATTTGCAATTGTTAAAACCTCAGTGGTATCAGAGAAGAATGGCTGTTTAGTTCTTGGGGTTGTGAGTTTCTTATTACCAATATTTTGACAATCTTGTACTTCATTTATCAGATTGCTTGATTTCTCATCCTTGGAGCTCGTGGAGATTCAGTGCATAGCCTTGTGGTTGTGGACTCTGTCAGAGATATGTGAGTAGGGTGTATATGGGTTCAACATACTTGTCACATTGATTGATGGAGAGTGATATCGTGATAGAACCAAATGTTAAACTGAATATGAAAGAATGTTTCTTTATTACTGAACCTAATTCCCAATGCTACACCAAGGTGGTACAGATTAGGAATAGGAAGAATTGTTACAAGATTCCAATAACCTGAGGTAATTCGAGATACCTTACTCTCCAGACTAGCCTATTCTATTCCAACTAAAAAACTGAACTCCTAACCATAGGTGTTCTTTAATTTGGAAAAGGCATACAATAGGGTGCCAAGAAAGGTATTGTGAAAGGCCGTAGAGAAGGTACACACTGCCTATATTCGACCAGTCAAGGTTGCAACTAGCTTGAGAACATAAAAGAAGGGTCCCTACAGATTTTCATATAACTATAGGAATATATCAAAGGCCAATTGTGAGCCCCAATCTTTTTTACCTTGGTCATGGACGTGTGCTTACTAAGCAACTCCAAAAGCCAGTGTCACGATATATGCTGCATGGGCTGTTTGGTGAAAACTAGTGGAACTGAATTAGGATCATAGATCAGATGGAGGGTAGTACTATCACTAGAGATTGAAGGAGGCCCAAAAAACTACCGGAACAACCATGAAGAAAAGAATTTAGAACTCAATGGTTTGTCTATGAACATGATTCACAATAGAACATTATGGCAATCATATGATTCATATAACTAATCCTATGTAATAGGTTAAGGCCTGGTTGTCGTTTATCTGTCTTTCTAATGTTAAGACAACCAGGAATAAAATTATAGTAGACCATGGAAAAGTTGAGAACTAGACAATAAATTTGATTCATCTGCAATGCTACTCTAGTAAATAATTGTAGCATAGTATTTCGAGAGCATGGCTGTGAAGTTTATACTTCATTTATTTTATATGCGTAGCATACTCAGGGTCATAGTTTGTGCCGCTGTGCTGCCTAAGCATATATGAATGAATTATAGATCTGTTGTAAAAGAAATTTCAGTTTCACATCTTGTGTTCTGCAGTAATAACTTTTATGGATGTTGTGGGTCATACGCTCGGTGATTTACATATTTAGTAGTGTCATTTTATACGTTCTTATAGTTTGAATGCCAAATAAATAAACGTGAAATGTCCATTTTCCTTGTTAAATATTAAAGTTCTTTCACGATACAATTCTGTGAGCATGTATGGCTATGTAGACACATGATTCTTCGTGAAGAGAAAATCCCTACAATGATTTTCTATGAAAGAGAAAATGACCCCAAAATTTGATCGCTCAAATTTCCAATAAGAAATGGAGATTAATGAGTAACCTTAATTTTGATCCCCGTTTCAAAACACTTTTTGGTACAAAAAGATTATTACTATATCAAGTTAGCCCTTGAATGATACTTTAACATCATAAAAATTAAAATTTGCTGTTTATTCCATTTAAAAAGCACACTTAAGAGACCACTTTCATGTCTAATTTTCAGTGATTATATTGATATATATATATATATATAGATGCTCGATGACTGATTTCCTCAGCACATGCACGAGACAGAAGCGTCCTGTGAGTTTATAACTAAATTGTATTAAAAATGATATTTGCTAAAGCATACAATATTAGCATGCCTTGGCAAAATATTTGGGTTCAATATCTGCCGACGTCAGCATGCTGCAAGTCCAAAATGATAGTTGAAATTGAAGAAATTAAATGAGAAACACAGTATGTACTTGCACAAAATATTTAGTATGTACATTATACATAAATAAAAGAGAACGGCAAACTTTAAAAAGAATGAAAAACTAGAAGGAAACCTGCAACAACATTAGAAGGCCACATCCCTAACAAAGGTAGATGACGATGGCTGCTGCAAATTCTGGTCTGACGTAAGATAGGAATCAAACAAATTCAGAAACCGATTGCTAGCCAATTTTCAGAGCATCACTGCGTTTCTCACTGCTTACTCTACACCTTGCGCAATAGTAAATAATTTAATACCGTTTACGTCAACCTACAATGCAGCGATGCAATAAGGAAATTTAAAGCATTCCGAGGCATTCAGCGACAACAAATCTGACACTTCTATAGCAATTCCTTGATGTATTAGTCCGACACTTGGATTTTTAGAGATACAAGGCTCTGAGCCAAGTTTATAATTTAACCCCAAAAAATACAAGTATGTGATTTAAGATTGTCTATGCAGAGCAGAAGCTTGCGACATGATTGTAAGGCTCTCAACATCATTGTGGGGTAATGTTAAATTAACTACCAGATTTTACGATGGTCTGCAGGGTCAACTTCAGCATTTAGTTGTAGGTCCAAGACATTAGGATGCAATAACCAACAAGTTTAAAACATAATCGTCTTGTTCTAAATGACATAATTTATGCTTCCAGTATATCTATGGCATATGATATTCTAATCCACATAACAGTCATGAATCAACTTCAAGGTGCAAACAATCTCATTCTTCTTTCAAACAAACGGTACTTGATAAGTCATTAACACAATTTTGAATATTAATTCCTATAAAATTTCGCGCACACAAAAAAAAAATCAAGTTGAATTAAAATCACTTCTCACCAGTTTGATTGTTCTTGTGGAAGATTACGACTGTAGATTGGAAACTCGAAGAGAATAGTTTTGAACCATGCAGGCAAGTTCCCATAGACTGATGGTGGCAACGGGATTAAAGGGCTGAAAACGATTTGACTTAGTTATTTCTCCTTAATGACGTCACACTGAAAACAAATAATAACATGGAGAGGTAAATTAACCTGGTTCTCTTTTTGTACACCCTATATCCATCCACATTGCCAAACTTCTTATCTGCTGAATCCTGTCTCCATTATACAATTCGTCAGGAAAACCACAAAATTACAGCACATTTTTTGTTATCAAATCTGAGGTAAGGAGCAAACCTCAAGCAGTGGAATGCCACTGACAAAAAGAAGCAACAAGGTGAGAAAGATTGGTCCAGTTATTACCAGCCATTCAGCACCCTTCAGTACAGGTGTAGATGCCACAAAAATTCCCCACCAAAGCAATATCTAAGTTAAGCATTCATCAAATTCCATTAATTTTTTACATTAGTTTTTTAATAAAAGAAGAAACATTATGAGAGCATTGAAACCCCAATTAGACTAGCCATAAACGTTAGCTGGGCACCAGAAAGGGGGGTGAAATCACTTTATCTTATAAAAGAAGCAGGAATGTAAATAATCAGCTTATTTTGACAAATCCCTGCATGCAACCATATCCACATTTTGCCGGCAATTATTATACAACATAGAAAGTCATTATTTAGTGATTTGTCCAAATAATTTGTGTATGCATTTAACTCGAACCTGTACAAGGGTATTCGTTTAAATTCTCATTATTATTATTTTATTTTCTTGTTATCTTTTAAAGGATTTCCTCCAAGTGTTTTTTTTTTATTCCGCCCCAAAACAAAGAGATTACTCAACTAGCCCCTAAGTGTCAAAGTAGATTTATCTCACCTCTTCTACTGAACAGTAAAAACTCCTCACTCATCTCTATAATATGTCCACGCCCCAGTCAAAGGGAAAAAAAATGATAGTACTAGTTCAAATGCAATGTTTGGGGCAAGATTTTTAAAGGGCAACCAAAACAGGACCTGATCCCAAATCATATAAACCAACATAAATGAGAAAAAAAAAAGGCAAATCAATGTTTAAAACAGATCTTTGCTTAAGAAAAGACAATATAACAAGAAATTTTAATCTCATGAAGATACTATACTTAACATAAACAAAGGATTTTCACAGAACTATAGAACCACAAAGAAAGACATCCAGCTGCTGCTGTTGCTGTACCCAGAGTGTATTTGAGTACAAAACTAAATTAAGCACTTATTTACTAAGGGTATCATATAAGAACTTATATCATAAGCTTAACCATGTAATTTACTATAATAAGTGTTAAAAATGATTTTTTTGATAAGCTTCACAAAAAAATTTATTAAAATAAGTTAAAAAGAGTTTATAGGAAGGTCACTAGCCGTATCCATGAATTGAACTAAGTTTTGTATAAGCTCTTCCGAACAACCTTCAAATCCAAAATATTTTTCATTTGAAAGCAATAACAGCACTAACCTCACCAAAATAGTTAGGATGACGAGAATATTTCCAAAGTCCGACGTCACACCACCTCCCTCTATTTCCTGAAGATTTTTTGTAGCGCAGCTTTTGTTGATCTGCTGTACCTTCAACAATAAAACCCACAGACCACAAAATCCACCCTATTATATCCACAACCTCCAGAAAAGGATTTCTGTTGCTTGCATTAACCACTGTAACAGGTAAACTCACAGTCCACACCCAGACAGCCTACAAAAAATTGAAGTAAATCCTCTACTACAAAACATCAAAAGAGAACACTTCTCATAAAAACCAAGATCAGTTTACTAAATCATAAAAGAAAATGATAAAAATCTAAGAAACCTGAAATGTCCAAAATATTGCCAATTTGCCCAAATTATTGCGCATTTCATCAAAGCGTCGGTCCTCTCCCCACTGCAAAATCCTGACAAGCATATCCAGAAATTAGATCAACTAGAAGACATTCACAAAGTCACTATGAAATAGTCTTGATATTAAGTTGCATGCTAATGTTGAAGGCTTATGATGAGCATGAAAAATGGGAAGAACTGACATGTTTACAGTAAAAATTAAGAATTTTTTTTAACAACCTAGGACAATCATATCATAGATTATTTTTATTTTTCTTATTCCCAGTACTAAAACTTGTAATAGGAAATATATTTTCTAAAGAATAAGCAATTTTTTTCTAGATCTATGATATTTTTGGATACCACTATGGACAACAAAACTTTCCTTTCGAGTTTTTAACGCACCTACATATGATACATGAACTCAAGAACTCAGGTTAAACTAGAGCAGCCCCAAATCAACTGATTTACATGCTCTGAAGTTGTAAAATATAAATAATAAGCAATTTTATTCAAAAGAAAGAAGATTAAAAAAAAAGGGTAAAGACTGCAAAAGAGAAAATAATCCGTTCAATTCAAACATATGAAAAAAGGGGATATGCAACAGAGACAAATGTGTAGCCGTGAGAAGCAAGCAACTCCGCTAAAGTTGAAGATCAAATATACAGGGTCTGGCAAAGTAAAGTAAAGGTATTAAATAAAAAGAAAAAAGGACTTGGAATGATATTGGTCCCAATGGTACGAGATACATGGTTGGGAGATGGGACAAGGGGGGTTATAACTTGTAATTATACCGTCGAGTTTAATGAAATCAATCACATACTTTGTGAAAAGCTATAATCTATACCGTTACTACCATCACAAGTTCATCAAGCTCCATAGTTTTCAGATTTAAATCACACGAAAACCACCCAAGGCAGCACTATTCGGTTTTTATTTATAGCTGCAGCAATATATCCCAGATCATATTCATACCTGAATAAGAGGAAAAGCGCGAGACGAAGTCCCCATAATACAACAAACAAAGTCAGAATTATCTGAAAACAGTGATTTTATTTACCATTAGCGAGGGTTAAAAACTATGTTCCAACTTCCAAATACATAAAAAAGAGAATGCAATGTTAATGTTACCTGTCGAAAATGCCAAGCACCTTTGAGCACGAGGGTCAATACAGCAATTATAATGAAATTTGTACTTCCTTCAAAGATAAAAGGCATAGAAGAATGTTTTTAATGACCATTTGTTTATTAACATAATAGATTACTACTAGTTTCCTTAATACTACATGTATATAATTTAAAAGTGAAGTTAGGTGAAGAATGCAATACCAGCAAAATCAGTGACTTTGTCGAATTTGAGGAGCGCAGTGACGACGAAAAACAGAAACTGATAGGCAATCTGCAAAATTGAAAATAATGAGTATGATGTTTGGGATGAATAATATATGAATGGAAAAGTAATATAAGTGAAGGAGATTGATTACAGTGACAATGGCGGTGAGGGCTAAGAAATGGGAATCGATGACAGTACCCATACTTTGCAGTTTTGTGTAACAGAAGAAGAAGAAGAAGAAGAAGAGAGTGCGTTCAAAATGGAATTCAAAGACGTATATACGACTAATCGTTTTACTTGGTAACGTTGAATGCACGACACAACCCAACCATTATCCATACACTTTATGGAATGTATGTATGGTTACGGGGTGCCCGCGCGACTTGTTTAGAACAGTCAAACACTACTCATTAACTGCTTCATCCACAACTAATTAGTTTTTAACATATAATTATAATTTTTTAATTAAAATATAGTACAAACACATTAATATAGATTATTGAATATATATTTTTATCATCGATTAAAATTATATTTTTAATGAAATTTCAGTCCTTAAAAAGGACATACTAAAAATATATATTAAAAAATGTATTTCAAAGCTATCTTTGTATTTCAGCATAGTTGAGCAATTATAGATAAATATAAGAATATTTCTCATGTATTGTTTTGAAAAAAAAAACTATAATTAGTAAAAATTAATTATTCTTTTAAAATTGTTTAGAGTAAGGAAAATTTTCTAAGTTAAAAATTATATAAAAAGAAGCTACATTTCGACAAAATGTTGAGAATCAAGAAGGAACCTAAAAATAGATCTAAGCTTGAAGAGTATTGGAAAGTTATTCAAGACCTTATTGATTCATACCAAAAAGGACACATTTCGAGTTATTTTAGAAGTTTTTGTCACCTCGTTGATTTTTCTCTAAAATTGCTCAAAAAATAGGACTGACAAAAGAATATTCTAAATCCACAAAATTAAAGGCTTTTTTTGAGGAGTTTCCAAGTTACTGACACCCAAAATTACTTGAAAAATAGGACTGATAAGAAAATATTTTAAGTCCACAAAACTTATGGACTTTTCAAAGAATTTTGAGGAGTTTCCAAGTCCCTGACATCAAAAACTGCTCAAAAATCAAGAAATAGTCAAAAAGTATTCTAAGTCTAGAAAACTGATGGGCTTTTCGAGGAGTTTTAAGGAGTTTCCAAGTCCTTAACACCCAAAACTGCTCGAAAAACAGGAAATGGTCAGAAAATATTCTAAGTCTGCCAGTCTAATTGAGTTCCAGAGTCCTTCCAGAATTGCTCGAAAAACAGAAATGAGTAAAGAAAATATTCTAAGTCTATAAGACCAAGACAAACTCTCAAAACTCCAGAATTGCTCTAAAAACATAAATGAGCAAAGAAAATATTTTAAATCCATAAGACCAAGACAAGCTCTCAAAACTCCAGAATTAGTCGAAAAGAGAAGTCAAGAAATTTTTTTTTTAAGGCCATAACACTAAATGAGCCTCTTAGATTTCTCCTAGAAACACTCGAAAGATAGAAAAACAAAAGTCTTGATAGGATAAGTCATTGCAAAATCCAAAAGCAGTTACCAGCAGTCATCAACATTTACCACTATGCAAAGGAGATCGTGTGCGATAGCGGTTACGAAAGAAGCCCCAACCAACAGCACGATCACAAGCAATCGTGGATAATAGGCATCAACAATTGAAAGTAGTTACTAAGAAGTGTCCGCAAAAGGAGGAGAACGGTGGTGGTCTTATTGCCTATAAATATTCCAAAGCGTCATTTTACAAAGGATGACTTTTTGCACCCTGACACCGCACCTAAAATTCTCTGTACGCTGAAATCCTGTACCGCGCCAAACATCAGCTACAAGGAGACTCATGGTGGCCGCTGTTTGTGGTTATGAAGAGTCGTACGTTTACATTTGTACACGTTTATCCTTCCGTATTTTAATTTATATTCCTTTTGCTTATTTTCTTGTACGCAAAATATAGTTCTTGTTTCTGCAATTTGTTTCCTATTTAGCACTTTTTGCAAAAAACTTCTACGTTGTGATTCAGTTTTACGCGTTTCATATTCACTATTCTTGCTAAACTATTTATTCTGAAATGTCTATTTTACTGTTACGTTAACAACACACTTAAAAAAACTCAAAGAGAACATAATTCAGTCCCCAGATTGGTAATTCAGTTTCCATATTGTTCTTGGATTATTTGTTTACAAAACTGTCATTTTTTATCGTAAACAGAAATATAGTAATGCGGATATATATTTGCAACTTTTAATTTTAAAAACTATTTTTAGAAAAATAAATTCTCAATGTTCCATAGAAATTAATTGATAAATAACTTGATAATTAGAAAATTGTTAAAAAGAAAAGTAAATTATAATATCAAAAAGTTAATTAAAATTTATGAAATGTCTCTAAAATATTAGTTTAGTTAATAGAAAAGCAAATATTTTAAATAAATATCATTTGAAATAAAACTATAATAAACACATAAGAGTATAGCAAATAATTAAAAATTTAAAACTTTTCTTTATAGTTTTATTAAACTCAACTTTTTAGGACTAAGTAATAATAATAAGATTTTATTAATAAATATATTATATTTTTAAAATAATATTTATTTTTTTAGGACTAAGTTTGCTTAAGACTAAAGTTAATAAAAATAATTATTGACAAGGTTAATGTCTCATTAAAATATATAAATATATATTAATAAAAAAAATATACCTTACATTTGTTGTGATATTAATGTTAGTGACACATTTACTCATTACCTATATAACTATATTTATTTGTTTATCTCATAAAATTCATCACTCATGGGTAGAGGTGAGTTACTTAGTTTCTAGAAGGAGAAAGAAACAAATATAGTTCATATTTTTAACTAATCAACAGTTCGTAAAATCTATACATATACTAATAATTGACTTTAGAATAAACGACAAATCTTGGTTCAGTTCTTTACGCTTTCTTGGTTCTCTCACCATGGCTATCTCTTCCAACGACGTGCTTTCTTCTATGTTCCCAGCAGGTATCAGTGTCTTTGCCATTGACGAAGACATCAAAGTCCTTCAAAGCATCGAGCAAATGTGTATGGAGAATAACTATCAAGGTCAAGTATAACTATTTTATTTATAATATTTTAGCTAAAGAAAGATATAATCTTTTTTGTTAACGATTGTATTTTTATGTTTCAGTCACCGCATGCAACGATTGTACATTTGCTTTGAATCTTGTTAATGACGGAAGATTGAGTTTTGATATCATACTCATTGATGTTCGTATGTCAAATACGGATGGCTACGAATTTCTTCGCCATGCTTTCCAAGACATCGATGTTCCTTTTATTAGTATGAAACTAAACTTTTTCAACTAATTTGTGTATGTTTTAGATTTGTGTTAGTAATGATGTGCAATTTGCAGTGATGTCCGATAATGATGATCCAAATGTGGTATTAGAGTCAATTAATGACGGGGCTTGTGATTTTTGGATTAAACCACTGCGTGAGGAGCAAATTAAGAATATCTGGCGGCATGTTGCAAGGAAAGTTTTGAATGATAAAAAAGAACAAACGAATCTTGGCAGTCTGGAAAATAACAATGACCAAAATAAAAGGAATAACGATTCTGAAGTGAATTCTTATGTGATCGATGCAACAGAAGGAGTCCAAACAAATAGCAATTTAAACGAAGCTGATGAATCAGAGAGTTAGGATGAAATGTATCAATTCTGTTAGTTTTTGCTGAAGTTTTAGGATGAAATGTATCAATTCTGTTAGTTTTTTCCATTTCCTTTTGTTATAAATCTCTCTGTTGTAAGTGTACATATACAATTCAATATACAATACACCATGTTTTCTCATTCTGTTTTATAGTCTTTCACAGAGAATAATTATCATCCTCCACCAAGGAGGCCCCGTGTACTGTGGACATCACAATTGCATGATCAATTTGTTTATGTTGTGAACCAACTTGGCAGATACAAGCCGAGATACTATTATTTGAATATAAAACTCAAATTCTGCATGCATAGGAGTAACAAGAAGTTCGATACAAGTTGAACATAACAAGATGTGATGAAATTTAGAGTGTCTGAGTCAAGTAAAAGATAAAGCCCCATCATGGCCTCCAAAATTCAGTTATTGATAGTTAAAATGTAAATTACCTTTCAATCCCATAAAAAAGAATGAGAAAAGAAATGGATAACTTTACATGATACATGCTCAGCACCATGCATTATTGGATTATAAGGAACTATCAACAATGCTTAGGACTAAAGGAAAACTTGATTTGGCCATAATTTACATGCTTGCATTGAATCATTAAGCGGGTGCAATGGAGACTTTTTCAACTTCTACAATGTATTCTAGTGTTGCAAGTGGAGGAATTTGCACACCAGTGCCTAAATCAGCACCATTCTCTCTAAACCCCAATTGAGGAGGGACAATTACCTTCCTCTTGCCTCCAGCTTTCATGGTTTTTAGTACATGTTCTATCCCTTCACACACTCCTTTACTATATGGCCTTGACCCCATTACTAGAGCCAATGGTTTCTTGTCACCCTCAAATGTGTCCACAAACACTTCTCCAGTGCTTTCAATTTTTCCCATAATATCAATCACAACCAAATCACCTGGCCTTGGCGAAGCGCCACCTCCAACTTTCAACTCATAGTACCTGTAATTCAAGACATTTTGTGAGGTCACAAGATGAATCATATTACTGTATAAAATTATCATAGCTTGTAACAGTGTGAAAGATAATGAACCTTATGCCATTAGGAAGCACCACCTCTTCCTCTTTCTCAACGTTCCTATGAAGACAAGAATGCCATCAGCCATCACTAAAAGGATTAACTCATATAATTTTGATGAATGTTAAGCGGATTGTCAACTTTCTTATACCCTCGCTCAGATTAAATTTCATTTTAACACTTTTTATTCTTGAATTATTTATCACTTTAGAATATATACTAACTACTTTTTCAATAACATTCTTATTAATACCAACTAACTAGTGTAATAACTTAAACAACATTTAATAAAATTAATTTATTTTGCTAAAGTAATTGATAAAATTAATCATTTTTTTAAAATATGCACATTAGTATTAAGCGGCATCTAAAACGAGACATGAGTAAGTAACTTACAAGAAGAAATATGTAGGCTCTTATTCCTAACATGTTACAGTAACTTAAAAAATTTTCCAAGGATGAAACAAATAAAAGCACACATGTTTGTGAGACACTTGGAACACGGACCTTGTATTTGCCTCTTGCTGAGAAACCTCAAAGCGGGTCTTAATTTGTTCTGAGATGACACCAAATGCAAGAAAGCCAACCCATGCAAGACCAGCTCCTAGTCCAAACCGTCTGGTCAAAGAAGTGGCAATCCAATCTGTGGATTCAACCTTAGTTGATGAAGTGACAGGTTTGATGGGCTTCTGTTGCTGTGCTTCAGTAGACACTTGCACTGATTCCTCATTCAAATTTGTTGTTCTTAGCTGTGGAGATGAAGTCGGGGGCTGAGACTGTGAGGGAGGAGTTGGTGAAGGTGTTGGTGGTGGTGTTTGTGATGATGAAGAAATGTGATGAGTTCTCGTAAGTGGGAGGGAGAAAATTGGTGGGGAACCAAAGAAAGTAGCCATGTTGAGGATGACTAGAAGGTTGGTTTAGATACAAAGGTAAAAAAGAAATATCTTACATGGTCCAGTTAGGGTCTAGTCCCCACCTTATCCTTTGTGTGAGGTGCCCATGTAGTGGTTCCATCTTAGCCTTTAGTTCCACGTTTCACTGTTGATAATAACTCGAAAACCTCAGATGTTGCACATAAATTATGAGAGTTGATTCTCTGCTTTTCTATTAAACATAGGGCACGTTTCTTTCTTTCTTTCTTTGAAAAAAAAAAAAGAAGGTAAAAGCTTCTTGCAACCGAGTAATTGTAAATGTACGTACTTCATGTCAGGAGATTGGAATACCCCTTGCTATTCCCGAATAAGATCTATATATAACTTTTTCCAAGCAATGTTAGTTGTAGAGATACTTGTTTTTACGTGGTCTTCAGCAAATTAAAAGAAAAAATATATATACTTCAGTTTATCTCTTCATATAAAAATTTAAAATAATATAAATCATGGTTATTTTATTCATATAAAAATTTTAAGTATAATAATAAAATATTTAACTAGTCCAAAGTTCAAAGAGAGATAATGTAATAAAGGGTAAGTCAAAAGGCTTGTTAAATAATTATAATAAACTAATTAAATTTCATTTTTTATGTAACTTATTTTCTCTCTGAATAAATAAATAAACAAGAATAGGAGTGTATATTTTTTAATGGAATAACCAGTATTACCAGAAGGCAAAGTGATACTTCAGTCGAATATAACTCCTATGATGTTGCACTATCTTTAGATGATCATTTCATCTAAATGATCAAGGCTCATTTTTGGCACATGGAAAGTGGTTTGATTTCATGTCACTTATTCATGTGTTACTACCTTACATTATCTTCGCAAACTGTAAGCCATACAACCCCTAAAATACATTAACCATAATGGAATTGCCAACCCAGCAGAAAATAAAATAACATTTTTCCTATAACAGTGTGCAAGTCCCAGAGTGATCTGCTAGCACAAAGCAACTGAATTTAGAATATTTAACACAATTTACTCAATTCACATGGTCAATAATTACAGCAGAAAGCTAGTTTCACTTATAATTAATCATTTCTTCAGCACAAGTTACAGCTGCAATTTTCCAAAACTACTAAGGCACAACAAAATTTAGATGCTGATTACAACATTTTCCAAAGAATTTTGTACAAACAAATGGTGCAGTCTGACAATGGATACACTGTAGATTACAAAAGAGACAAGGAAACAGACGTAAACAAAGAAAGGGAAGGAATAGGAGTGAAAACCTTGAATGAGAATGTAAGTTAGCTGATGGTCTTCAACCAATCACTTTTATCAATCCCAAATGGTAAATACTCTACAACTTGCCCTCACATTTTTTAGCAGTAAAATAAAAAAGGGAGAAAAAAACTTGTTAGCTGTATAATTGTCTCCTAGCCTGCAGGATCTTCAGCAACTCTTGATAACTGAAAACTTGTTCTATGCACTTGAGAGCCGGTAATTGGCTTCTGCAATGGCTTCAGAGCAGCCATGATTTCAGCAAATGTAGGTCTCAACTTTGGATCTCTATAATTAAAAAAAGTAACATATCTAGTCAAACATCTTATTGAATAAATTCTCTCACAAGGATATATTTATTACATGCAATAACTAAGAGAGATACATCATTGCAAATTCATGTATCCAAAGACATAAAAGCATGTTTATACCCCTTAAAAGATTGCATGCATAAGCTCTGCATCTATTTGTAAAGAAACATTATGAATCATATTACATCTCCAACTGTTACACCACATAACTTACTAAGAAATGCACCTTACAGTTGTAGAACATCAAACAGCTTGAACAGAATGAGAAGAACAATTTCTCAAAATTGTGGCAACAATAGCAATATACCAGAGTACTCTATCTGGTTCAATAGAAGAGTATAACATATTTGAGTCACAGTTCAAAATGGATGCACAAAATGTCTAAAAATTATACTCACGTCTGCCAGCATTGTCTGATAATATCTGCAATAGCAGGGTCCATATTATCTGGAATGTCAAGACGGCGATGTTGGAAACCCACAGCTCCAACAACTTGCATAGGATTCATTCCTCCCCAGGGTTGCTGCAAAGTTGAGAGCTCCCATAATATGACCCCGTAGCTATAAACATCACACCTAGACAATGAATCACAACTTATTACTATCATAAAAGTATTGAGTTTTAAAAAGTAGAAAAGCCAAACAGAAGATAGATTTGAGATAAGGAAGCCAGAGAACAATATTACACATGAAAAGAAAAATTATTGTTTTCCCTAAGACTATAGATTCCGGAGGATTTGGTAAATAAACAAGCATTTTTTTTTTTTGGGTTCACAACACCTTCCTGTTCCTAAAGAAAAATAACAAATATCAAGAATAGCAAAGCTTACTTTTCATCTGAAAGTTCACTTCTCAACACTTCTGGAGCCATCCACTCAGCCTGAAACATACACAAAATGAAGTAAGTTCTAATATATCCAATTCCAATGAGTTTTAAGTTGCCTTTCATTAATACAAATAACAGAATGACAATGCAAAAAATGGATGTCATAAATATTGCCCAAATTAAGAGCTTAGAAACCACAAAACACAAAAGGTAACAGGAAGTAGTTTCAAAATTTACAGGGAAGAAAATTCTTGGCCTCTCCAAAAGAGCTTCTTGTTAAAAGATATACCATGTGTCTGAATTTGTGTGTGAACATTTATATATTAGCATGCGTTCATTTAAAATATGTAACAGCATAAACAATCAAACAAGAGAATGAAAGAATAAATAGATAAAAGGGGACAGACAATACAGTAGTTGTTGGACTAAGGAAATAAAAATCATGATAGCTTACTGTTCCTGCTGTCGATCTGGAAGAAAGGAATGTACTATTCTTCATTCGCGATAAACCAAAATCACATACCTGTTGAACAAGAAAAAGTGATAACATTTAAAAAAAATAGCAGTAAACACAATCAAAGAACATTAATCACAAGATTCAATTTGCACCTTTACAACCCAGTTTTTGTCAACAAGAAGATTTGGGGACTTCAAATCACGATGCACTATCACTGGAGTGCAGTTGTGCAGATAGTTCATTCCTCGAGCCTGAATAGTCAAAAGAGACAAGTTATATCATGAGATTCACTGATCATTACAGCAATAATTTGGTGAATGAAGCTGCATTGACTTAATAAATCCCCTACAGCATCAAGGGCCATCCTCAACCGTCTTCGCTCATCTAATTGATTGTTAGGTCGATGAATTAATCTATACAAACTCCCTCTGCAAAAGATTATCTATATCTCAGTATGCAAAGAATCAAACTTTAATGTTCTCCAAAAAGACACTAATCAAATAAAATATATTCTCTTGAGTATGGTTATCTAAAATTTCTGACTTTCTAAGTTATTAATCTAAGTATCTGACAAGCATCAGTAAACAGTTTGGTTTAAGTCAACAACTTGTATATTGTACATTTGCAAATACATGCCTACAGATTCGGTTCATAGCATTTATCAATTAACACATGGAATGAAGCACAATCATATTTTTTTTATGAAAATGATATACTAAATGTATTTAAGGGTACTACTATAGCTTTATATGTAATCTAAGAAATATAGAGAAGATAGGTATAAATACAAATTCAATCCTATTTCACCAAAAAGAAATCTTAGTGGTTTTTACCTTCCAATACATATTTTCTCCTTCTCACGGCATATGCCACATTATTCAGTAAAGAAATTCAGAAAGCAATTTTGATAGATGTAGCATTATCCTTTTTGACTAATAGAACAATAGAAACTATCTGTATTTTTCATTAATTATATTGGCAGTGCAAGCAAGTATCAACTTTCAAAAAATTACAAACCCGCAATAATCAGTCTCATGAAGCTCAGGAAATGAAGAAACTCAAGTTACCTAGGAAGAAATTCAGTAACAATTGAAAGATTCGGAGGTCGAGTTACAGCTCCCATGAAGAGAACAACATTTGGATGCCTCAGTCTTTTCATTATTTGGACCTATTGCAAATTATATCATAAATTAAATAAGCACTTCCATCATTTTACAGGGAACCATTTAGATAAGTAAATGAGATGATGGGACAACAAAAACAACCAATATTACATAATGTCTGAAGAAGTAAACAAACTATCTTCCATTTGATCGACTTATCCCACTAAGACACTGAAGCCTCTATTGATCTTCCTTATCACATAACCAGGCCTAGATATAATCTTTTCTCTCAATGCCAAAGAAAAAACCAAGGGGTAGTAGAGGTGGCCTGTACCTCACTTTTGAATTCTTCAAGTGATTCCCCAGAGATATCTTGATCTAGAAACCTCTTCACAGCAACTTCCTACAAAGCAAAGAGCAGAAACATGCTGTAAATATATAAACCCTATATTCTGCAACATAATAGGAAACCACCCATATAAACATTGACAAGTGACAACATAAATGAGTAGCAGTCACGTAAGGTAACAAATTACATTTTATAATCTGTCACACTTCCATACACAAAGGTGCAATTGTAGCCATGAAAAGCCTTACAAAATTCACAATTTCATTTCAAACAAAAATGATTAAATAAATAAAAGATACAAAATGTATGCAGTATGATAAAAAAAATGCAATCAATTAGGTTCATGAAGATAAGAAACTCACGGTTCCATGCCATTCACCACGGTAAACTTCCCCATATGATCCTGCATGCCAAAAAGAGGCCACAAAATTGCCATTGAGTTTTTCTACATAACACCAGATGAAAAAGAAGTGCTGCTATACATAACAGCACCCTCTAAGAGAATAATTTAAATGACTCTCAAAGAACAATGTACAGTTAATACCAAGTCCGATACGCTCACCCATCGCAATTTCCTCCCATGGAATGTCATACTCAGCAACATCGTCTAGCGCAGAATCAGATTTTGAACTATCATTACTTACAGATCTATCAGATTTTCTTTCACCCTCTGAGTTTTCTCCTAAAGCATTATGATCTCCGTCACCACTACCCTTTGGCTCATAACCAGCACCCTCTGTATCTCCATCACTTCGACTGCCCTGCTCATACTGCTTACTGACAGCAGCAGTTGTTGCTACAACTGCTGCAGCTGCAGCAGTAGCAGTAGCAGTAGCAGCTGCTGCTACAGGAATTTCAAGATTTGAGTCAGTGCTTGACTTTGCCACAGCAACTACCATAGAAGATGCAACAACAGCAGCAGCTGCTGCTGCAGCTGCAGCAACTGGGACATTTTTCCCATACTTTACTTGAGTTGCTTCTGCCAAAGACGTTATGTGCTGTACCACAGCTTCCCCTGTATCAAGAGGAAGGTCAATTCCTAAGCCTTCTACAGTCTTGGAATGCTCCAGGTGACTGCTAGGATTTGCTTTGGGAGGAACTCTGTAGTGAGGCAAAGGAGGCAAAAATCGAGAGGGGCCAAGATTGTCATCAGCTTTAGTTTCTTGCTGTATACTTCCCTGTTTATTTCCGTTCTTTTGTTCAATTGGAAAATTGACCTCAGTTGAGGTACTTAACTGGTTATGATAAATTTCAGAAAATAAGTTAGGAGGAGCAACAACACCACTTTCAAGTAAAACATCATGAAGTTTTTGAGCCAAGTTAGGGTTCTCCTTAGCAGCATCAATCATATATTGGAAAACATCTTTGACTTTCATTCTACGCACTGCAGGAGAACTGATACCTTCAGTCCAAGAAGGAGATCTTCCATGCATATATGGATAATTAGGTCTGCTAGGTGATTCCCTCACCGTGATCCTATCTCCATAGGGGGTATTTTCGAATTCATTTGATGGTTTTTTTAATTCTTCCTTGCCTGTAACAAGCCTGCTTACATCAGATTCTTTCCCTGCATGAGCAAAACGTTTTGATATGTTTCCTTTATCTGGAGTTCCGTGGTCTGAAGTTTCTTCAGATGAACTTCCAACCCCACTACTGAATGATGCAATATGAGACGAATCCAGCTCTCTTGACGAAGGACTGGCTACAAAGGAAGATTCATCACACTCAATGTGTGAATGTGATCCAGTTGCATCAGATGGAATAAGTGTTCCAGGAGCTGCCATTAGGTCAACAATGTATTCCCTGACATTCATATCAATCAAAACTTATAGATACATAATAACAATCAAGAATTTTCAACTGCCACTAAAGAAAGTTACATAGAGAATGAGACAACATTCAGCCATAAAAGATATTAAATGATTAACTGAAAATATGAACAAAATGCTACAACAGGAAAGGCAAACCAAGATAAAATTAAATCTTCAAGTCTGGAATAGTACAAGACAAAAGAAGCATTAACAAGATTTCACACACATTCTACTCAAACTGAGCATTGACGATAGAAAACAAGCAAGGCTATTGATTGATATGTGCATAAAAAGTTTGTTTTAATGTCCACAAGGGGAGAACTATAAAAGTGCTGCCCAATGCAGGGTAGATAGATATACGCAGCCATATTGTAGAGACCAATATTTGAACTAAATCATTCATCCCATGTTCCTATATTCCACCAAAATACAACTTTAATAGCAATTACCTTCCATCATCAGTTTTGACAAAGTTCATTGCCACATCATCAGAACCTATATATTGTAGTCCTTTTACCAATCGACATGGGATGCCCAGACTATCAGCCAAAACCTACATTAATACAGAACAAATGATTTTATTACATGAATCATGGAAGTTTCTAAAAGAGTATAATGAAAATTTCATAGTATATTGTGGTCCCAACTCCTGACTGCACATTGTCTTAATATTATCAAAGAATTTTGTTTGGGTGTAAATCTAACCATAATTAATGTTATTAGGCTTACATCAGCCAATAAATGGGACCATTCTTCAATGAAATGCAAACTGAAAAAGAAAATGTCAAGATCAGCACCTTAAATAAAAGTGCACGATGCCGAGCCAATCCAATGGTCAGTGAACCAAGTGGCAAAACCATGCTACCGAGTGTTGCTTTTAGACTGTAACTAAGACTCCTCCATGCTCTTGACATGCTTTCAGGATCTTCAACTGATCCACCCATATAGTCAGACACTATTATTGCAAGCTTGTGTACCAAGTTACTATCTACAACTAATTCAAAATCCTTTCTTGAATTGACTGCCATCTCTAGGACTTTTTGTTCAAGTTTCAACAAATTGGAATCGCCAGCCCTATTGACTAAGACTGCTTCCCATGTGACACCATCTGAGATTGGTGTTCCTTGCAGATCTAGAAGAGAAGGCATTGCAGGAGTTGACTCAGTGGAGATCCCATACAGATCATAGAAACCGTCTGAGATTTTGTCATCATAACCAAGAGCATTGTAATTCTGTGAAGCACGGATAAATCTACGATATGAGATAAGTTAGAAAGGAAAATTGGACAAAATACAGTTAAGTAACCAAGTTGACATCAAGGAAGGAGTTAGCATTCTGGTCGTCTATCTTTCAAATGTGTCAAAAGAAAGTGACATAAAGGAATCAGTCATTTTATGACAGAACCATTCAACATATGGATCACTTGAGACAATCCAAACAACACAGAGCAATCTAAGTGAATTCTAATCCTCCTAACGTGAAGAACCAAAAACTGCATTTGACACCAAACATTAAAAGGCAAACACAGACTATCCAGAATTATTTCCATAACAAAGATTGCAAGCCCATAACTATAGATCGTATAATGAGGTTAAATAATAATCCACAACAACTGTAGACTTTGAGGAAATCAGAGCAGAAAACCATACTAGGTAGCCACGTCATAAACTAACAATATGCATGACAAAACAATTGAAAATAAAAAAGTTGAATGGTGAAAGTATGTCTTTGGACTAATTCAAATCTGAATAGATGACATTCATATTCTGAAAAACATGATATATCAAAGCAATTGCAAAATCTCAACGGAAGGCCATCCTTGATGTAAAACAACATTTAAGGCAATGAACAAAGACCTAATGCTTAAAACCAGAGCAAATTTTGATCCGAGTGCTGAAATGCAATCTTAACTGATTGTAGGACAATCCAAGAGGACTCTTCTTAGCAAGGTACTCTCACCTTGACAAGGCACTCCCCTGATAAATAAAACAGGAGTACTAAACTAAGTACTCCACTAGAGCAGAGTGTTCATACGACATATATATCAAATGTTCTATTAATAAAGTAAATATCAATTATCAATTATGCAAAAGTCAATATTACATCAGGCACCTAAAGGGTATTTATCACCCATAGATGGTTAAAATCAGAGATAAATAGAAATCCTATACATATCCTAATTAGATACACAATCTTACGTAAAAATATCAATAATCAAGATATAATATCAAAGATAAAGCACTTAAAAATAAGGATAGATATCGATGTCTTTAACAACATAATTATCATCAAGTCCAAGATTAAAAGCGAATAATCTGAATCTATAATGGATCATTAACTCTGAAGTAAGTTTCCTATATCTCAAACTAAGATATCAACAGATGTTCACATCATTCCAAGAAGTACATCCTATAAGTCCAAAATGCAAGTATTTAATGCCTCCAAATTGCAACTTCAGCATCCCTTTTCAATATAGGTGGTAGGACTGATGTCATAGCGATTATAAAACATCACCTTCTATGAGCAAATATGCCAAGTGATATTGAAATTTCCAACGCCATTCAGAATGTTATTGATATATTTAACAATGACAAAATTCTACCAATGAACATGATTTGATGTCCGTCTCATTTCACATAGATTAGAAAGGTTATAGGGGAAAAAAACACGAGTGAGGTCAAATGCAATATAGAGAGTCCCAGATCCTTTCCTTCCATAATCCCCCTCCCTTCTCTTCTTGATCACTTAATACAATTCCATGAATCAGATTATGAAAATGAAGCACCATCTCTGTATCAGAAATTCTTTTCAAAATTCTTTAAGCCTTTTGTTCTGGTAGCACCATCGTACATATGACAAGAAGAAGGTGACTTCAACCTTAAGTCAATGGAGTAACAAAGTGACTTACCCAGTATTGGTAGGCCACAACTTCAGCTGGTGTACTATCAGGGTCACAAGATCCCAAACTGATCTGCTTAACAGCTTCAATTTGCACAGCTTCAGGATCCTCTTTAGCGCTCAGCTCTAAAGCCAGTTGTATCTGATATTCTTCTTCCACTTCAGGATCCCTGGAAGTGCTAGACCCCGAATCACGCCTAGCATAATCAGAGACAATATCTAAACCACCACTGCTCACTGAATCAGATGGCTCCATTCTTTCTCCTCTTGCCAGGTTGGGAGATGGAGGACTGGGACTCTGCCTGTTAGAAACTGAATGCAACCAACTAGAAAGCCTCTTTGGGGTAGGGGATGAAGATGAGCCATCACTAGACTTGTTGCTCCTTGATGAAGTAGCCCCTTGTGCATCTTCCGATTGATTAGACATGATATGAAGCTTCTTAAGAATGTTCTTCATATCTTTTCACTAAGCAAGAGTACCGAATGCTAAAGAAGTGGAAAGCTCTCCATTGGGTTCTTGGACCAAGCATGAATCTCAGTCTCAGAGAATGAATGGTACTGATAGGTAGCTATAAACTAATTCAAGAAACCCCTTTTCTGAAAACAGCTCCTAAACCCATAAACCAAAACAATCAAATCCAAATAGTGTATATAAGCCATTTCAATCAACAATCTTAACAAGTTTCCAAATCAAGGTGATCCAGATGCCTGAATTGAAATTGAGCAGTCTCCTATTGAGCAGACAACACTAAAAACATCATAATAGAACACAAACAGAAGTTTAATACCATTCATCACCTTTAGGAAACAAGAGAAACCAAAATCACTGAGCACCCATATGAAGAAAGAATGGATCTTTCTTTCTGTAAATGGGAGGAAGCTGAGCACTAAAATGGAAGAGACAAGAGAGTTCTGAAGAGAACATTAAAGGACAGAAGCTAAGACAGCAGAGACTAAGAGCAAGTGGGAGAGGGTAGGGGCCACAAGCATGACCCACTTGAGTAGAGAGAGGGTCAGAAGGATTTCACAGTCCCAAAGAGAAAAAAAAAAAAGGTGAACTTGGTGGGGGTGGGACTTGGAAACGCAACCAACTTGGTTTTTCTTTCTTCATCTTCTTTCTTCCTCTTTATCTCTATGTTTGTGTGTGTTTTGAGGAGTCCCAAATGGAAGTGGTGATGGTGGCATGAGTTTCGTGTTTGTGGTGATACTGAACTGATCAGAAATGGCATATAGAAATGAACAAGTTGGAAAAAAAAATGGTTGCTTGGAGCTTCTACCTTTTACTATTTCAAGCAAACCCAATCTTTGTCCTTTGTGAATTGCAACTAAAAGACAAATGGGTTTGAAGTGGAAGTGGCAAAAAACTCACTTTCATTTCATGTGCAGCCTCATCTCATCTCTCCTTGAGTAGCCCGCACTCTGTTCCCACCTTTTAATGCTTCATTTCAGTTCAATACTACTCGCGGATAACGGTATCCCATTATTACCCTTCTTTTTTCCCTTTTTCATCAAATTATGTGTGCTGCACTGCTAGTGCTACACAATATGATAGGTTAAAATATTGCATCATTGTTTTATGGTGGAGAGTCGACTAGACTAGAGTTGGTACTATTTCAACTTTAGCTATTAGTCACCATTCATGCTTTTACACAATATGATTTTGATTGTTTAAATATATCTTTCTTGTTCCAACAGAGATATAGAATCATATTTTCCAGCGTGAGTACCGTTTCTCTGGACACAAGCAGGTTTGCTTATTCAAGATAAATACATGTCAATTTAGCTTAAACAAAATGTACATTGTGTTAGTTTAATCTCCCTTTAATTATTTTCATGTATTAAATTTGACTCATCATTTTCTAATGAAAATATTTAATGAAAATGCTTTTAAGATTTAGTTTTATTCTTATTATATTATATAACTTCTTGTGCATTGAACATTTTATTTGTTTATGTAGTTTTATTTTTTAAATATTATTTATTTTAATTTTATTTAATTGTTTATATTTTTAAAAATTTAAATCTTTTGTTAAAAACAAGAAAACCATTAATAAATTCCATAAAAATTATTAATTAAATTTTTATTTTATCTTTTGCCTAATATGTTAGTAATTAATATCTCACTTATTTATTATCTTATATACATTAATAATTATTAATTAATTTTATTAAAAAAAACAACTAAAACTATTCTATTGTCAAAGAAAAAAAAATGTTTCTTAACTTGCGTTCTAAAATCTTAAATGGTATATAAAAAATAAGATAATTCAATATGTGTTTATTTAATAAGCTAAAAGGTTATAAAATAATCTAAAGATAAATATTGTTTTAAATACTTGTTATCAGAATCTAAAATAAAATGAATGGGGTAGAAGAAAGAAAAAAAAGTCATGAAAGTAGAGGTAGGCTCTTATTTTGGTATTCAACATTTATTGCTACTTTATTGTTGACTACTGATTCTATTGGCTAAAAACTTCCTCAATGTATAGTCCAAAGTCGTTACTCATTGTCAATAATGACGTTAATTTTAAGATAAAACATAAGTTCAGTCTGTTAAATATTTTTTAGTATTTATCTTTTAATTAAAATAAAAACTTTATTCTAATATGTAAAGAGTAATATTTAGTATTATAATTAATTATCAAAGAAATATTTGAATTTTAATTAAAAAAATTTAAAACTTGTATTCAAATTTTAACTTTTATTCTGTTCTCCATCTTTCACTTTTTTAAATATTTTAATTTAATGTTATTTATAGTACATTAATAGATTGTGGGGTTTTTTTCCTAAAAAAATAAATACTCAATCTAGTTTTAAAAAAAATTACTCAGCTTAATTTAGTTTCTAAATAAGTCATTAAATAATTTCTCAAAAATATAAATGTAAGATCTTTTAGTATTTTTTATAAATATAAGAATTAAAGTATCTCCTCTTTACAATTGTTAGAAATTAAAATAGTTATTAGCAAAAAAATATAAATTAAAATAGTTACTTAGATCAAAGTGTCTCCAACATTTTTTAAGGAGTAATTTGAATATTCATCTTTAAAAGAAATATGCCTACTACGGTGTTAAATTTTTTTAATTATTTAAAATATTATATTCTTGAATTAAGTGGATAATATTAAATAATATAAGAGTAAGTGAAACTTATATTAATATAAATTGATTTTTAATTATATATTATTTTATTTTATTATATTATATTATTGCAAAATGCAATTATATTTCTAAAAATTCTTCACAAATGTATAAATTTAAATAAATTCAAATAATTTATAATATATTTTAAAACATTGACTTAATAAAAACTGAGTTTACAAATTATTGAATCTTAACCAAATGTGGGTTGGGTACGATGCCCTATTTTCTTCCAAATGAGGGTGAGTTGGAAAAGTGGATGATTGGGACAGGATAACGCCAATGCATAAGGATTATCCTTTTCTCCTTTCTCTTTCTTGCGGTGCCCTAATTAATAGGGTTCTTCGGGGCTTCTCATCCTCTTATTTCACTATTTTTTAATCAAAATAATTATTTAATTCCATCAAAAATAACGATGACGTGGAAAAAGTATCTATGCCAATTGAAATCAAATTTCAAAATTTTTCAAAAGTCAAATTTGGCCACAGCTGCCAAACTTAATTTGGAAACCTTTCTTTTCCCAGTTCAAGCAATATTTGAATTGGAAGGCACATTTCGTCATAATATTAAAAATTCTTTGTTAACAAAATTTTTAAATACAAGATAAGGTTATTTAAATATATGTATAATCAATATGCATACTATATAATATTAAGCTGATTGTTATTCGAATCAACTTTCATTGGTAAGTTAAATAAATTTAAAGACATGATAATATACTCAAAATTATAAAATTATGAATGAATATGTTGTGTTTATTTTTTAAATTAATATCACAAGAAATACAATAAAATAGTTAATTTAATGTGATAGTTGATGAGATGATGAAACAAGAAGGAAAGCAAATTTGCTAAGAATAATGAATAATATATGGTTTTGTTGCCCTACCATTGATGTTATTAGTCACAATCTACTAGTAGTTTCTATGAAAACTTTCCTACTGAAGTATTTTATGTAGTTTCCTTTTGGTGGAAATCCCATTGCATGGCCTTGTCATGATACATGTTCTTTTCAAGCCAACTGTGATTTGCGTGAACAACACAACATGCTAGAATTTTGTGCAAATTCAAGCACTTTGTCCATAAACATAGACCTAGAAGAAAGCAACCATTGTGCAAATTCTATTCGTACATTCTATAATTTATTTTCTAAAGTTTCATGTCTTTTCAACCATAAAATATGTTCACCTATGCCTATGGGCTATTAATTCTTTTAGTTCTTTATTCAAATTTTACCTTTCTAACTTTATTTTCATTCAAATTAATACATATTGCCTTCAATTTAATAAAGGACATGAATAATAAAATATTGGTAATTCTTTAATGAAGTTGGATGTTGGTCATTGTCAATTTTCTACTCCAATTAACTCTAACCACAATTGTTCTTAAACCATATTAACCACTATGCAATGCACCGAATTGTTAAGTAAAATGTACACATATTTACTAAATTATTATATAAATATATTTTTGGTGTAAATTCTCTTCTTCTTTTTTTCCCACCCAGAAGAAAGAAACTAATCTCCAAGTGTCCATTTGAGCTGTTAAACATGATAGAAATAAAAACTAAACTATAAAATTTTTACTAAAATGTTTTTATTAAAACTTGCAAAAAATATCTTTTTAACTTTTAAACACCACAATATTTTTTTATAAATATTTATAATTTAAGAAATTATTTTTTAACTTACTAGCTCCTGTTCTACGTAGACTAGAATATTTAAATTACTTTTAAACATGGAGAGTTACCACTCAAATTTACTTAACTAAGCCCTCTCTCTCAGAAGCATTCTGAAAGCATAAACAAAATAGTATTTTTGAGTTTATAGTTAAACATTTTTCTGCTAATTATGTTGTTGGATTTTACGTATTTTCCTATTTATTTTGTAGCATGATTGCAACACTTAGTTTGTATTGGATTAACAAATAATTTGTTGAGTCTTTGAAGAAGAAACAGAAAGTTTAAATGTCATTTTTCATCTTTGCTGTCGTTTTTTCTTTTTATCTATTCTCACGCTCTTTAAATTTTTAATAATTTTTACGAGGTAAAAATATTTTATTAGTAAACATCTTTTTGGTGTTAAGTGTTATGTTTAATTTTTTATTTTTTTGGAATTGTTTAGACAATCATCATATGAATTTATTTATATTTTTTTGTCATAAAAAGCTGTATTTTTTTCAAGTGTTGTTTTGACACTTGTAATTTCGATAGTAATGGCTGAGAAAAGCTTTTTAAACAATAAAAATTATGGAGATAAACTTTGAAACAGAGTAAATGATGAATTTTATGTAGATAATATATATGTATATATATAGTCCTTTTAAGAGAGTTAATTATTAATAAATTTGATTTCACAGTATTGTCATTAAGCTTAACTTTGTTAGATGAATATTATTTTACTGTATTTTAAACTTTGTATAATGTTAATTATTATGAATCTATAATTAAATTAATATATTAATTCAGAAATATATTTTAATTCCAAATTCTAGTTTAACGCAATAATAATGTAATGGAAGCTTAACATTCTTTTGCTTCCGATGATTGCAACCTTCAAGTCTGCTAAGAAAATTTTCATGGTCAGACTAATTAAAATTCCCATTTAATATATGTTTGGGCCATATTTAAAAACTTTATTTTAGTTTATCTTAACTTTACAAGTGATTAAACGAGTAAAAGTTTATTAGGGATAACAAAGAATTACAAATAAAATTGAAGTAAATCCTCTGCTACAAAACATCAAAAGAGAACACTTCTTGAAAAAACTAACATTAATGTACTAAATCATAAGATAAAATGATAAAAATCTAAGAAATATCAACATACTTAGTTTAAACAAATAAATCAATAAACTTAAGATAAATATAAATGCAGATCAACATTGTAAAATAGATTAAGCAACGGTAGTATTTTATTTTTTTTTTAGGGCATGTATTAGGAGCACTATTTAATTTCAACAAAAATAATTAAGATTTTTAGTTTAAAAATTTATTTATTTTAAATTTTAATTTATTTAATATTATATTATATTATAAATTTTATATAAAATTATTTAACATTTTATTATAAATTTTAAATAGACTATTTTATCAAACTAAATTAATTTTTTTAAATTTAAATTTGACTTATTTAATTAATTAATTTTTAAAAAAATTTAAATTCAATTCAATTTAATCTTGATATAACCTAAGTTTATTATTAAAAAATTTTTACATACACAAAAAAAATTAAACTCGAAACTTACCTTAAGCGAAATCATTTGTTACTCAAACCAATTTTAATTAGTAAACATGTTACTTTATTTTAATATTTTTTAATAATAAATATTCAACTAATTGATAGATTAATCTAGGAAGTAGTAAGTAGTAAACTAAATTTTTACCTGTAAACAACTTTGATAAAGTAAACTAAAAAAACATAAACTTGCAAGTTTGGCAAAACACCCGTTCATTGAAAACTAAAGAAAACATTAAATTATAAAATTAAGGGAATATGTTTCAAATATTTGATTAATATTATTTTTTAATATTAAAGTTTAAATTTAAAATTTAAATTTTACATTAATTAAAATTTGAATTTCATTTAAAAAATATTAGTTTTATCAAACTTAGTCATATCTTAAAAGAAACTAATCAATGTACGAATTGATAGGTTAAGATGAATAGTGAAAGTGATTTATATTTTCTCTATTTTAATAAAGTTTTTTCTTCTTTAGTTTCCTTTTTTAAGATAAATTCTCTAAGTATTTGGCTTCCTAAATTTCTAATCTAGGTTATTTAAATAGCAAACAAAATTTGAATTTTAGTTTTTAACTTTTTACATCAGTTAAAGTTTTAACTTTAAATTTTAAATTTAAATTCAAATTTGAATTTCAGTTTTTTAGTTTTTTATATTGATTAAACTTTAAATTTTAAATTCAAAGTTGAATTTTAATTTTTAGTTTTGCAAGAAAAACTAAAATTTAGTTTTGAATTTAAATTTAAAATAGAATTTCAGATTTTAGTTTTGTAGATCGAGTAAAATTTAAATTTCAGTTTTTAGTTTTTTAGATAGGTTAAAGTTCAAATTCAATTTTTTTTAAAAAAAATACATGTATTTTTAGTTTTTAAGAGGAGAAAACTCTTTTAAAAATTAAAAACAAACATATCCTTAAATTTCAGATTTTTTTAGTTTAGTTTTTTAAATTTTTTAAATATTAAAACTGTAATTTAAATTTAAAAAAATTTTAAAAATTTTAAACCGCATGTTCTGAAATTGGCTTGTAACAGTCTTTCTAAACAGAAACATCAAAATTTAAATATCTAAAAAATTAAGAATAAAAATAAACTTTTTTAAAAAATTTTTGAATGAAGTTATTTTACATGCAACAAAATTTATTGTGTAATTTAATAAACTATTCTTTTATTATTATATATTTATTTTTTTTAATGATAAAAAAATAAAATTACTGATAGACTACTCTGAAAGGCTGAACTAATTTTGTGCCGTGTAGCAAATTTGATAGACTACACTCGAAAAACATAGATTTCCAGATTCGCATAAATAAAAAATTAAAGCAATGTTAAACTATAAAATTGATGAGAAAGTATTATTCAACGTAATTTTAATATATTTTTTTATACTTCCAATTAATTAAAAAATATGTTAAATACAAATTTTAAAGTAATTATTTTAAATTTTAATAATATTTAATTTTATGATATTCATAATTAAATGACCGTAAAAGAAATCTTTACAAATATATTTTATTTAAATTCAATAATACTAAGATTATATTTGGAAGTGTTTAGGAGGAGAGAAGAAGAGAAAGAAGTAATTAAGAGTGATTAATCATTAGTTGAGAGTTGTTTGATTAGGAAAAAAAAATTTAAAATTTTTCTAAATCCTCCAAAATCTTCGTGATCCCTGTTTTTTGAGTTCTTAGATTTTGAAAATTTTCTCTTTCTCACTTTAGTACTCTTTCATAAATAAAATTATAATTTTTTAAAAAAATATTAATTTTCTAAATGATTTTTAAAAAAATCATAAAAAATAAAAATAATAATTTTAAAATAATTAATTTTTAGAAAAATAAAAATATTTTTTTTATTTTTTATAAAAATAAAAAATATAAATAAAAGATATAAAATATAATCTATATAATTAAATTCTCTCATCTTCTCTCAATATTAAACAATAAGATAATGATTTAATCAGTTTCTTCCTACTTTTTCTTCTCTTTTCCAACCCTTTTCAAATCCTTTTTGTCGAAATTCTCAAACAAAGCCTAATTTAAATATAGAAACCACACTTCATCTCCCTTTTAAATAGAAACACTAAACTGCACGGTTTAAACAGAAACACATCAAACCTTAACAAGACTACATTCCTCACTCAATTGCTTGCTTCTCTCACGATGGCCAACTCTTCCAATGGAGACGTGACTTCTTCTACGTTACAAGCAGGTCTCAGGATCCTTGCCATTGACCATGACATCGATGTCCTTGAAAGCATCAAGCAAGTGTGCATTGATTGTAATTTTCGAGGTCAAGTATATCCTATTTTATTTTTATTAGAAAAAGATATAATTTTGTTTTTTGGTAATGATTGTATTTATATGTTTCAGTCATCACATGCTCCGACAGTTCACTTGCTTTGAATCTTGTTCATGAAAGAAAAGGGTGTTTTGATATCATACTCATTGATGTTCATATGCCAAATATGGATAGCTACGAATTTCTTCGCCATGTTTGCCAAGATATCGACGTTCCTGTCATTAGTATGAAACTAAACTTGTTGAATTAATTATTGTGTAAGTTTTAGACTTGTGTTGTTAATGATGTGCAATTTGCAGTGATGTCAGATGATAATGATGCAAGTGCGAAATTAAAGTCAATTAATGACGGGGCTTGTGATTTTTGGACTAAACCACTGCGTCCGGAGCAAATTAGGGATATCTGGTTGCATGTTGCAAAGAAAGTTTTGAATGATAAAAAAAAACAAGATAATCTTGGCAGTTTGGATAACAATAATGGCCAAAATCAGAGGAATGGTGATTCGGAAGTGAATTCTTCTGTTATCAATGCAACGGAAGGAGTCCAAAGAAATAGCAATTCAAACGAAGCTGATGAATCGGAAAATAATTATCAACCTCCACGAAGGAGGCCCCGTCTAGTGTGGACATCAACATTGCATAATCATTTTATTGATGTTGTGAACCAACTTGGGGCTGACAGTATGATTCTTCAACAACTTTGTTTCTCTTTTCTATATGCTTTTCTTTATTCATCCAATGACTAATACTTCTTTGGTGGTATTGATATATAATCACACACTAAAATTTATTAATATTTTAATCATATATCGATTTCTTCTTCCTTGTTTTTTCAGAAGCTGTCCCAAAGAGAATTCTTGAATTGATGAATATCCCTAATCTGACAAGAGAGAATGTTGCTAGTCATTTGCAGGTTCGATCCTTTATGCATTTGAGTTATGTTCTTGCATTTATTGTATGATTTTTTAAGGTGAGTCATCATAAGAATTTATATAAAGTCAATTTTTACTGGGAATAACAAGAAATCGGAAGATCCAATACGTTTACAACATTAAACGTTACAATTTTTAATAAACATTTATTAGAAGTACCTTTTCTACATTAAAAAAACCATTCACTTCAAATATGATAATTATTTTTTTCTTATAAGGTAATATCATCAAAAGAGACCTTAAATTTAAATTTGAAAAAAGCATTAAATTTTCATATTTAATTGAAATTTGAAAAGAAGCATGAATAAAAACGTGTTGAGCTTGTTTGGCAACATGTATTGTATATAAACAGAATTGTTTTGTTGTGTGGCTTAAACAGTAGTTAATATTGTTACCCTTGATTGACAGAAATATAGACTTCATTTGAAAAGGAAAAATGAAGTTACACAGCAACAAAACGAGATGTCAGTGCCAAACACTGTTCCTAGTTCTACAGAAACCAATGCTGAAGTCCCACGAGAGACGCCAATGCCAAACAGCGTTCGTAGTTCTACAGAAACCAATGCTGATGACTTTCAAGCTTTGGCTGCTGCTGTTAATCTTCCCTATGAAACACTGCTAAACCTTCCTCCCAACATGATGCCAGTAGAGGCCCAGAATGCACTCAGAAGATGGTCCAACCAGTCCAATATAGCATATGCTCATGCTCCTCTTAACATTGCCAGGCCTTTAGACCATGATTCAACAACTTGGCCTCCATCTAATACAATTGATAATTTAGTAGGAAACTTTGACACATTATTGCAAGATCAAAGGCAACGGAATCAACTATCACTCTTACATCATCGTGTCCATATTCAACCCCCTCCCATGACGGTTTCTAGAAGCCCTGCTATCCATAATTGCAACTTTGAACGAAACACTCTAATACTATCACATCAACCTCAACCTAGCAGTTCACTTGGTGGTGTTCAAGGTGCTGAAAACAGCATTTTCTATGATTGCGTTGTTACTACTGATACCCTACCTTCCATTTCTCATCGTCGTCGAAATGCAATTTTGACAAGGGGTGCTATGAGATGTTTTCCTACTATTCGTTCACCAGGTTCCTTGTGATTCTAGATTCGGTCCTCAAGAGTCTGACGAAAATATTTTCCAAAGACTGGGCTAAGAAGGTGAATGTTCTGCTGCCCATCTCTTTGAAGAGACATTTAGTGCCCTTCCTACTTGGACCATAGACGTGTGTCTTATAACGTTGCACAACCATGAAAGGTTACTTTTACCCTTCCCAAACTGTGGGGCACATTCACCGTTCATATATTTTATCCTTATTTAATATTTAATTAAATATTGATTTTTATTTTTGAAATAATGTTTTATAATTAGATAAATAATAGAATTTTTTTTTCTTGAGTTTTTTTTGTGCATGTTATATTTTATAAATATAAATTTTATTTTAAATATATTCACAATATTAAATAAAATAACTACTGTAGTCACGGCTTAATAAACATATATTTAATCATAAAATAGGGGTATAATTTATTTTACAATTAATATATCTTAATTTTATATAATTAGGACAAAAAAATTATTTTATTTCTTATAAAAAGGAATAAAGAGAGTATAATATTAAGTTTAATATTTTATATTAATGAATTTTGTTTTGCTTTGATTTGTATAAACAGTAGAAATACATGTTTCAATAAGTTGGTACTGCATTATAAGTTTATACCAGAAAGTTAAACTTATTACCATAGATTAGATTAAAAAGAAACTTAATTTAAAAAGTTGGATAAAAAAACTTATCGACAAAGTTTTAAAATTGTAAAAATTACTTTTTTCTTTAATAAACTCTCTTCCCAACGCATCTTTAATCTATTTATATTCTGCGAATCGAATACCGATCGCTTGTTCTATATTTCAACTTAAACAACACATTATAGGAAAATAAAACTTTAATAGCTAAAATCACATAATTGGGGAAATTACTATACAGAAGGTAAAAGAGAAACTATAAACAGTGACGCAAAACTCTAACCAAAAGTTTCCTTTGGCAATGGATCGTTGAATTTGGATGTCATAAATAGGAATCTTCACATATGAGAATTCCTCTGGATCATTGGTTCTCTCAAACCCATACAACAGCAATAAGGCTCGGGCAGAAACTAAATAAAGTTCATACACTGCACAATCACTAGAAATAGCAAGCAATAACTACTTAAAACTTAAGACAGGAAGGGAGGGAGAGACAGATAGAGATAACAAGCTTAAATGAGATCAACGTACACATTACGGTGACTACAGTAAGCTGTAAAAGTCGATTAAATAATACTTGAATGACAACAGAATCATCAGTACCCACTAGTTATATTCAAGTAAAATACTTGGGGGTCAAACTAAAAGAGCACAACAACAAACTAACATTGACACGGTCATTTCACTCCCAGAAAAATCAGTACAGCTACTTCCTACCCTCTTTACAGATCTTTTACCTTTTTTGCCTTGTTAAAAACACTTGTACAAGTGGTTCTCCATCAAATCCAGGCCAGTATAAATTCACCCTAGCTCGGGGCTGATGTATGTGGTTGAAAAAATTGCTGCAGCTGAGGCTGAGTAGATATCTGGGGATATTGCTGTTCATACATCTGTGTCTGTGGCAGCTGCTGTGGCGGCAATGGCTGAGGTGGCAGCTGCTGCTGTGGTGGAAGCTGCTGTGGGAACTGCTGAAGTTGCTGACTTTCATCCCCCAACGGTGCTTTAAGGTCCAAAGTTGCCAGTACTTCCAAATCTTGGATTGCTGCAATTGCAGTGACTGGACTCTCATGGTTAAAATAAGGCTTAAGCACACCAAGAGATTCCTTCACTTTTGATTGCTGTAATAAAAGATCATCGCATCAAATACAATTTCTTAGAAAAGTCTAGAAACTATTTTAGTCTCTGTACTAAATCCGTTTTTTATTTGGATCACATACAAAAGAGTTTGTAAATTAGTATTCAAATGAAAAAACATTTTCAAAATAATTGCTATATATAACATATTTTTATTATAGTTTTTATGCATAACACATTCTTTATTCTAGTCTTCATACGAAAATAAATAAATTATAAGGATCAAAGTAAAAGAATATGTTACATATAAAAACAACTTATGTACTAAAGTGAACAAATAAAAGTGCGGAGTATAGAAACTAAAATAAAACTAACCATTGAAACAAGTTAAAAGGGATTAGTAATGATTTATGTCAAGTTACAAAAGGTTATATGCTAACTTTCCATGATGTAAATGTAGATTAATGTTGTTATGGACAATGCTAATAGAAGTTATTGTTTGCAAATTTTGTTAAAAAACATTTAAGAGATTGTTTGAAAATAAAACTTATATGCAGTTTTTGATACTTTTCTCCAACTAAAATTAAAGATTTATCTCTGAAATTAGTATTAACTTTTAACATTATTATATTGATTATTGAGAAAACATTTTAATTTTAATTCTACCCGCATTTAATGACAGTATTTAAATTTTATTCATAAAATAAGCAATTCACAGTAATTATTCTTAAAAGTATATGCAAATTTAGTTATAAATTTTAGCTTATAAGTGATTGAAACAAAACTGAAAAGAAAATAATCACTACTCTTTAAGTTAAAAAAAATGACTTCAATACTTGAAAATCAATTCACATCCTTTTGATAATCTTTCGTGATCCGTAAAAGTAAAATATTTTTTTACCCAAGTCTCAAACTATCTCATAATAATTTTCATAATCATATTAGACTATAACGATATTGTTTAAAATCATTAAATCATTTTTATAATCTATCACGAATTGTCGTAACATTTTTTTACTTCTATATAAAAAAAAATTCTTTCCATTTTGTCTCCTTTATAAAACACAATTTTTATTTCGATTCTGATAATTGATTTTTTATAAAAACTAGAATAAAAAATGTGTTATATATAATAATCACAATGAAAAAATTGTATTATGTGTAGGAATCAAAATAAAAAATATTTGGAAATGAAATAACGGTTTTATAACAGAGGCAAGCATTAGAGACTTTTTAAAATATTTTTATTCAAGGACTTATTTATAAACATTTTTGTACAGGGACCAAAACAAAAAAACGAATTACATATAGGCTCTATAATAGTATTTAAAATCTTTCTTGAAATACAATAAATAATTGAACATTCAAATGGAAGATTATTTCAACTTACAAAGTGTTCAAGTTTCATCCTAAGCTCTTCATTAGCAGCCTTTTGTGCTGTGATAGCAGCTGTCGCTCCCTGTTCCACCAAATCGAAGCAATGCAATATGCAAATAAGAGGAATTTTCATGAAGTGAAAAACAAGTAATCTAAGCAACAAAAGTAAAGTAATTTAAATTCATAGCACACAAATGATGATATTAAGTATAATGAGATCAAAATATATTTAAAAATAAAATAAAATTATTTATATAGAACTCGTAGCTGTCCATATTTCCTATTTAATTAAACTACATAATCCTCTCACACAGAAGTCTGCGTCTGGATGATAATCCTTATCTTTCGCTGAGGCAGAATGTTATATTCATTCTAATAAAAATTATTTATTTCCCTCTCTGCTTGCTTAGTATAAACTATGAAAGATTTATTTTCTCTTTTCAGCTTACCTAATGCAAGAATAGAGACTAATCCTGCTCTATATTTTTCATTGGCAGGTAAACTTTTACAAAAAAGTTATATCGAAAAAGTTAACGAATATAAGCAATCAATCATTCAATCTAATTCGGAAGAGATTGTTTGAGAGATCGATTTTTAGGATGAGGGAACATATTTTTCAATTTGAATTTAAAAAATTATATATCTTTTATAATGATAAATTCATCTTTAATATATTTTTATGTTAATTTATCATTTTAGATATTTATTTTGAAAATATATTTATTTTTAAAAAAAATGTTTATCAAGCTAACGACTAACTTAAATGTTGTTATGTTTATTTAACTCTGAAGAACAAGAAAAATTGATTACATAACCAAAAGGTTAGCATTTCAAACTTCAAAGATATTATTATGTAGCAATAAGTATCACCTTAGGGCGGCCAACGGGCCTTCCCACGGCGAGCTTCTGAGGAGGACCCTGTCTCATCCCCGGCAAGACCTTGCGTCCCCGTCCGCGGCCACGACCACGGGGTGCAACACCAACGGTATTCAGTGCCGGAACTCCCACATCAGCGGCATTCTTCCTGGGTCGCCCTCTGGGCCTGGGAGACCCATTGGGTACTGAAGCAGATGGAACAGCTGGCGGCACTGTGGGAAGGCTGGCAGTCACAGAAGGAACAGGAGCGGCGAAGGGGATGACGGTCAGGTTTGATTGGGTTTTGGGCGGGCGGCCCGGACGCCGCTTGAGCCCATTGGAGAAGGCGGAGACGGATTTGGGCTTGGGAGGACGGCCGGGCCTCTTGGGCAATTTAGATCTCCCAGAGCCAGGAGGGCGGCCTCTCCTGCCGGGGACGGGGGAGCCCACAGGCAGAGGTCCAATTTTTCGAGGACGACCGGGGCCCCTTTTGGCGGATTGAGCTGCAGGGTCGTCGGAGAGGCCGAGAGCCGCCCAGACTGGTTCGGTGGGCTGAGATTGGGGCTGGATTGGGAGTTTGGGCTTGGGGGGTCGACCGCGGGGCCTCTGGGTTTGGGGAGAGGAAGGTTGGTCGGGGTGAGATCCAGGAAGTTTGTATGATTTTTTGACCATAACGAGGTTCCCTTCTGCCTTTAAGCGGTTGAGGTGGTGAGTCAACAGAGCTGTGTGAGTTGGTGGCAGGTCTTTGTATGTTTGCTCTATGTATTTCCCTATTGCTCTCTTGCTCGACCCATCCTTCTCCTTCAATGCCCCTATTGCTGCCTGTATCATCTGTCACATAAACTCATTCACTGCATGTTAGTATTTACTGTTACCTCGTTCTTCCACACAGCACAATTTCACAACTGATCCGCATCACAGCTTACCTCGTCATACGATGGATGGTTCGGATTGGGGTTTTCGTTGGCGTTGTCGGCGACGGGAGGCATGTGATTGTCTGCTTCCAGGGTGAAGGGGACGCTGGCGGAGATTGACGGAGGAGCAGGCGGAGGTGGCGGAGGTGGCGGAGGAGAGATCCAAGTTGGGTCCATGGTGTGAGAGTGAGTAGATTCGAAATTTGATAAATAGATTGATGAGAGAGAGAAAGAGATAGATATTACTGAGGAAGTGAGGGAAGAGAGAGAGAGAGAGAAAGAGGGGTTAGGTCATAACTCGTAAGCGTTTTTCCATCTCGAAAGACAAAAGGGGAGTGACTTGGGGCTGTTCGAACTTCCGTTTCAGATCAATTTTTACTTCAAAATTTATCTCGATCTTTGTTTTAAGTGGAATATTAAATTAAGATATTTTATTGCATGATTTATAATTTTTCATAAATTTTTTAAAGTTTTATTTTTATGAGTTTTAATTTAATTTAAACGTAAAATAAAAAGTAGTTTAATCAAAGTATATTTGATGAAGAAGAAAAAAATATGTTGATAAAAATGTTAAACAATTATGAATTTATTTTTTAATAAAGAATAATATTTGATTAAACAAAGTGAAAATTTATAGTAAATAAAAGGGGTGTATCTTATGTTTATAAAATATTATGATAAAATTAAGAGAATGATTTTTTTTTATTTATAAATATAATATAATAGTTTTAAAACGATTTAGTTTAACTTTAAATACTTATAAGAGGGAATTGCTTTTTACACTACTATTTTTATTTTATGGTAATTTTGTTTTAAAAATATCTCTAATTATAATTTTAGAAAAGAAAGTTTCATCTTCTTCCAATTAAACAATTTTCTAAATATGTGTGTCCATTTTCATCGTCTTCTTCCCTTATTTTCGACTATGCTTCCTTCTTATCTCTCTCACCCTTTCCATTATTAAAACTTGCGAACCCTTTATCTGGGAAGTGCAATAAGTGGTTTTGCAAGGTTGGAAAGAATCAAATAATTAAAATTCAATGGTATCGAATTCGAACTAACAAGAAGGAAACAAACTGGTAAAGAGGAAACCCGAGTGTCCATTTATATAAAATAAAACATGCGTTCTCACTTGTCTCAATTTTGAGGTTTTTATTTGGGGTTTTCTTTTTTCTTTTTACCATTGTTCTGAAATTTATGAAATTGCATTTGGTTGGTTGGTTTTATAGCTTTGGTACTGTAAACATCTTCAGTATCAATTTGGGAGTTTACTCAAGCATCTTCATTGTATTTATCCTTTACGACCTTACTATTGATGAGTAATTTTTATTCCTATACAAGATTTTGTATGGTCATATTATCATAGAGGGTGTACAAAGTAAAAAGAAAAGGGAAAGAAGAGTGAAAAATCAGCCCCAAAGAGAGCCATAGTTGATTGAACGTGGTGACTTCAATAGAAATAATATTAATATGCTAAAGTTGATGCAAGAAATTAAGAATGAAAGGGAAATAAGCAAGTAAATACAGACATTGACGATAATCTCATGAATATAATGCGAGAAACAAGATTAAGGGATGCTTTTGACAGAAAAAATGCAAAAAAATTAATATAGATGGTGTCATTGGCAAAAAAGGAACGTAAAAAGTAACCTTTTTCCTTACATATGGTTTAGGGTACAGTTGTCACATTTGATTATTCAGTCCTACTTGGAATTGAGACACATTAGATACGCCCATTTTCTGAGCTCTAGCATAAGGTAGAAATAACAGCAGGTAGATTTTAGAGTATTCAAAATTTCATTATCATTTACATTTCTTATTCAAATGTTTTTTATTTGAAATTTAATTAATGTAAAAAGTAAAAATATAACAATAAATAAGAAATGTAAATTTTATATTTTATATTTACAAAGGATGCAAATAAATAATTATAGATATTATAATATCTATATCTATACAATTTGGTGGACATTCGCTCATACTCGTGCTCAAACTCAAACCCATTGAAAAGATAATTTTCCTATCATGGCAAATATTTTTAGGGCAACCAAAGGATAAAATACCCATTACTATCCCTACTTAAAAGTAACAAAGTCCACTCAGAGATGGGTATAAACAGTTGCCAAAGCTATGGTATTTTTTTGTGGTTGAGGAAAGAAAAACAAGAACTAAAAGAAGACATGGAAAACAACAAGTCTACAGCTAAATGATTGTCACAACACGTGGCAAGAATGCATCTTTCTGATAACATGACATGAGTATGAGGATGGAAACGCGGGATATTCCCAAGGTTGCGATCATTCATTTCGCTAAGAATGTTTGTTATGTTCAGCGAAAGAGTTAGGGAAATCACTCACTCACAAACCATTCACAAGGTTGCCCCTCCAAAACTCGAACCAAAATCTATTGTTGTTTTGCTTTTTTTATATCATCACTCATTTATTTTAATATTTTTATTTTTACAATTCTCATCCCTTTATTGTGTTTTACTTTACAATCTATTGTTTACTATTTTACAAGATAGTCTAACATATAATAATACAGTAAAAAAAAAATTCAACCCTTTACGATCACAGATAATTTTTAATGTATTTTTACATCAATTATTATATTTTTCATACATCAAAAGATATTATTAGATAAATATTTTTAAAAAATTTAAAATTCATCATTCGTGCTTATAAAAAGTGTTGCAATTTAATTTTAAAAATTCCAATTAAACATTATATAGGATATTCCTGCGTCTGTGCATAGTAATGCATACTGTGGTTAAATATCAGTAGAAAAAACTTATATAGTATCGATATATTTCATTAAATTTATATAATAAACACTGAACACAAAGTAATATAAAGAATTTTATTTAGTTTTATAAGTACCAAACATCATATATACCTAAAATAATATTTTATTCTATTCTATTATATTATATTTTTTCAAACAAGGACAATTCCTTTTAATCAAATGGGTAGCAATGCCCTCCCCCTAAAAACATTATATAAAAATGTTAGAATATGTATACAGAATTTTTTTGATACCCTTATTTTACTTAGTAAAACAAAGAAACAAAAGTTAGAAAATTGATGTCGGAATCAGAGTAACAACGGAACAGCAATCGTGTACAAAAAAAAAAATTATTACAATCAATTTTAAACAAATTGATAATAGGAAGTCGACACTAAACTTTATTAAAGAAAATATTTAAAAACTTTAAAAAAATCTTTAAAACTAAATTTAAGCTCAGAACACTTAATTAAAATGATTACTTTTTAATAAATTATGCAAAAATTATTCTAACTTTAAAAATATTTATTTTACTCTAAAAGAAAATAATTAATATTTTTTACTATTTTTAAATTTGTTATTATTATTTTCTAGACTTATTTCAAATTTTTATAATTTTTCAAAGATTTTAATTTTATTTTTTAAAATAAAAAAACACAATAAAAAAATTATTTCAATTAAAGGAATGTTATTTATAAAAATATTTTTTTTTTATTTTTGTATTGAAGAAATATATTTTAAAAAAGAGAACTTATCTTCACACTTTACTTTTTTATTTTTTATGAAATAAAATAAAATATTTGTTTTTTTATTTTTTATAAAGAAAATATGCTTAAAATTACTTTTAGTTTAAAATTTTAAAAATATTTTGAACAGGAATTTTTTTTTTAAAAGATTAGATTTGATAGGTTAGGTTTCCGTTTCTACGTATTTTCCTTATACAAAGAAAGAATAAAAGTTATTGCTAGTTCTTTTTTGAAAATTGAGTTTTGGATAAATTTTAAAGATTTTTTTTGTTTGAAAAACTTGATTCTGCACAGGTTAGCACATTGCTACTCAATAAACCTTACGATCTAAGCAACTTTAATGGTAGATCCATTACTTTATTAAAATCGCTTAGTCGTTTCGTGGATTCAAAAAAAAAAATTAGATAACAAAAAATCGATATACCTATTAATATGGAATTTTTGCATGTAAAAAAGGAATAAATAAGAGACATATAAAATAAATAAACAAATACAAGAGCAAAAAAAAATGATGAGGAAATAACTTTTATTTGATTTCAAAATTAATTTTTTTTTAGGTTAGGATTTGTAAAGAAATTAGGAATTTTAGATTTTATGGAAGGAAAGAATTTTTAAGATTTGAAAAAATTAAATTTTTATAATTTATAAAATTGCTAGGGTTAAAGAAATAGTTTATGTTAGAGTTTGTAAAAAATCGAATGATTTTGAAGTTAAAAAAATATTATTTTTAGGGTTTGCAAAAAAATTTAGAGTTAGAAAAAATTAATTCTTTTTAGGGTTTGCAAGAAAGGGAATACTTAGGGCTAGAAAAAAATAAATTTTCATTGATTTGAATTTTATTTTCCAGGATTTGATTGAGGGAGAAGAAATTTAGGGTTAGAAAATTGATTAGAATTTATAAAAAAATTTTAAAAAATTATTGAATTTTCTCTTTTCATTTATTTATTTATTAAACTTGTAAAAAATGTTAGATCATGATAAGAGAAGAACATACAAAATAAATAAATAAAAAAAGAAGAATCCTTAATAAATATAGGGAAGATGAGAAATAAATAAAGAAGGAGAATCTTTATTAAATAAAAGGAATAATGAAAAATAAACCAAGAAATAAAAAGGAGAACATTTACTTGATGAAAGTTTTTTTTTTCTCCTCACAGTTGAATCTCTATTTGTTCTCTATAATTGACTTTGAGATGTGCTTTAGAATGTTTATGTTGTTAAGCTTTCTCTGATCTCATCTCCTTCTTTTATTTTTCAAGTTTTCTCTAAAACTCTCTCTCAAAGAGGTTTTAATTCTCTTTCAAAGAGGTCTCAGTTATCTCTTTTTTGTTTTAGTAGATTTAAGCTTTCTATTTTTAAGTATTTTTTGAAACTCTAAATAACATTTAATATGTAATTATTTATTTATTTTAGTAAAAACTTTCTTACTCTCTAATAATCAATAATCAATTTTTTTTATCTATTTTCTTAAAAATCTACAAATTACTTTGACATTTTTAAATCTGATTTTAAATTTAAATTTTAAATTAGTTTTTTATCTACTTTCTTAACTTCCTGTTAAATTAAATCATTATAATTAATTTTTAATTTTAAAATTTATTTTTGAAGAACTCTAATAAAATTGAGTATTCAGCTATTTCCTCCCATTTTGTTTACTACGTATTTATGCAATTCTCACTATGGGTTGACATTATCTGAGAAACAAGTATTGTAAAAGCACAAACAAAGAGACATAATGACATGTTGTGACTAAACCATCACTCACTAACAATAAAACAGA